CAGGCTGCAGTGAACTGATCGTGTTTTGTTCTGAGCCTGAGAGAATGGTGCTCTTGTGTTTGATGATGATGCAGGGCTTCAACTGGGAGTCGTGGAAGGAGAATGGCGGGTGGTACAACATGCTGATGGGCAAGGTGGACGACATCGCCGCCGCCGGCATCACCCACGTCTGGCTCCCTCCGCCGTCTCAATCTGTCGCCGAACAAGGTCCGGTGCTCTCTCGAGCACCTTCGTCGTCGTCGTCGATCCATATTGCCGGCAAAATATATCCAATTGGCTTGATTGCTGATCTGCAGGCTACATGCCGGGGCGGCTGTACGATCTGGACGCTTCCAAGTACGGCAACGAGGCGCAGCTCAAGTCGCTGATCGAGGCGTTCCACGGCAAGGGCGTCCAGGTGATCGCCGACATCGTCATCAACCACCGCACGGCGGAGCACAAGGACGGCCGCGGCATCTACTGCCTCTTCGAGGGCGGGACGCCCGACTCCCGCCTCGACTGGGGCCCGCACATGATCTGCCGCGGCGACCCCTACGGCGACGGCACCGGCAACCCGGACACCGGCGCCGACTTCGGCGCCGCGCCTGACATCGACCACCTCAACAAGCGCGTCCAGCGCGAGCTCATCGGCTGGCTCGACTGGCTCAAGATGGACATCGGCTTCGACGCGTGGCGCCTCGACTTCGCCAAGGGCTACTCCGCCGACGTGGCAAAGATCTACATCGACGCCACCGAGCCGAGCTTCGCCGTGGCCGAGATATGGACGTCGCTGGCGTACGGCGGGGACGGCAAGCCGGACTATGACCAGAACGCGCACCGGCAGGAGCTGGTCAACTGGGTCGACCGCGTCGGCGGCGCCAACAGCAACGCCACGACGTTCGACTTCACCACCAAGGGCATCCTCAACGTCGCCGTGGAGGGCGAGCTATGGCGCCTCCGCGGCGAGGACGGCAAGGCGCCCGGCATGATCGGGTGGTGGCCGGCTAAGGCGACGACCTTCATCGACAACCATGACACCGGCTCGACGCAGCACATGTGGCCGTTCCCCTCCGACAAGGTCATGCAGGGCTACGCCTACATCCTCACCCACCCCGGCAACCCATGCATCGTGAGTAGCTAACTCGATCTCTAGCAAATATTCTGAATCATCCTGCAAATTGATCGATGAACTGATGATAAATTCTGCAAAATTCTTTCAGTTCTACGACCATTTCTTCGACTGGGGCCACAAGGAGGAGATCGAGCGCCTGGTATCGATCAGAAACCGGCAGGGGATCCACCCGGCGAGCGAGCTGCGTATCATGGAGGCTGACAGCGATCTCTACCTCGCCGAGATCGACGGAAAGGTCATCACGAAGGTCGGACCAAGATACGACGTCGAGCACCTCATCCCCGAAGGCTTCCAGGTCGTCGCGCACGGTGACGGCTACGCAGTCTGGGAGAAAATCTGAGCGGTGGAGAGGCACAATTAGCAGATTTTATTTACCTGCAATTTTTTCCACCCTCGACGTATAACATATACATGTGATGGCAACGAGTTGTATGCTGTATCTGATCTGAACTATGTACGCGATTGTCCACAAAGTACTACCTCCGTAAATAAAGTGAGGATATGGAACATGCGTTTGCATGCATGGTTTTACAAATAATGGTATGCAATAAAATTTTCACTGCTTATGCATTTTTGCTTGGTTTGTTTTACTAATAATGGAATATTTTATTTTACTCATGTTTTGTATGGCAACGTTGTTTTAGCACACTACTACAAAAATCATCTTTCGTGGCGGCCATTTTGGATTTTCGCTGGCGGAAATCGCAGCCGCCACAAACTAAAGGCCAGTGAAGATCACGATCTTCACTAGCGGTTTTCGACCGCCAGCGATAATTCATTTTTGCTGGTGGTCGTCTTAAGCCAACCGCCAGCAAAGATCCATTTTCGCCGGCGGCTGGCTTAAGACGACCGCCAGCGAAAATGAATTATCGCTGGCGGGTTACAGTGTGCCAGCCGCCAGTGTTAATCCTGGCCAAATTTTTTTAAAAAAAACGACGGAGCAGAGCAACCGCTCCGTCCGTCCTCCGTCAACGCTCCACCATTCAAAAATTTCATAAAAATTTATCAAGCATTCAAAAATCCACAAAAAAATACATGAACAATTTACAATCAACAATTTCCATTCACTCAAGCATTCAAACATCACAAAAATCAACAGATTAACAAAAATTTGAAGTCCGCCACCGAGCCCCGTCGGCCTCCACCGCCTCCGCCTCAACGACGCCGTTAGTGAGCCCTGCCGGCCTCCACCGCTGTAGAGCAGCGCCGCAACCTCCACCGCGGCCCGCGCGCAGATCTGAGAGAGGGAGAGGGGGTGGTGGCGGCGGGGGAATGGGAGAAGGGAGGAAGACCTGGATCCACCGCCTCGATTCGCCACCGTGCCGCCGCCGCGAGCCGCCTGCCCACCGCCGCCTCGACCTGCGTGCCCGCGCGCCGCCGCCTGCTGGATGGAGTCGCCTCGGGCCTCCTCGCCTCCGCTGCTGAGCTCCGCCGCAGCTGAGCCCCGCCGCTCCCCGCGCGCACTACCACCAGGTCCGCCATGTGCGCCGACGCCTTCTGGATGGAGTTGCCTCGGACCTCCTCGCCACCGCTGCCGAGGTCTGCCGCAGTCGAGCCCCGCCCCTCCCGGCACTGGATCCGCCGCGTGCGCCGCGTGCACCCGGCCACCGCTCTCTCTACAGCGACCCTCTCTGCAGCGAAGGGATAAGGAAGAATGAGTGGTGAGGAGTGAAGGGATAAGGATAGGGTGGGGAGAGATTTTTTTTATAGCTCGAGTAATTTTTTTGCTGGGGCTATGTGGTGAAACCTTTTCAGAAGCGGTTGTATGAGTGGACTGCTTGTAAAAAAGACCAACGCCGGTGAATATCTGCCATTTTTGCTGGCGGTGTATTAAGTGCGCCGCCAGCAAAAACTGTAATATCTTTGATGGTGGCCCGCTTAAATCAACCGCCAGCGAAGATCAGTTTTCGCTGGCGGTTCGAAACTTCCTACCCCTTGTTATATTTTTTGTGGCGGTTTTCATAAATATTCGCCATGAAAAATGATAGGGTGACGCTGTGAAAAATTAATTTTGTAGTAGTGGCAATGCTAGATTGTCAGCTCACATTTCCCAATTAATAGTCACAGAATTTAGAAAATGAATTAGAAGGTAGAAACTTCAATAGTTACAGAATTCAGAAAATTAGAAGATAGGAACTAGGAAAACTAGTCTTTTTTTTCTTCCAAGGGTTCAAACCAATGAACAACTCATAAACTGCTTATCAAAATCTCCAGCTCACCAAACATAACCCATACCAATGGAGGTATTAGACAATCCTCGAGAAAGTACCTCTATGCATCTAAAGTTTATAATAAAATTTTTGGTATCTTAATATACTTAGCACCTAGAATTACCAAATTTTATACTAGAAAATATGGTACCTTCAGATATTTTCGATTCTTAAGGATAGTAATATTACACATACCAATATGATAGTGCAAGCAAAGGCTAAAAAAAACTATATAAATGATTTATTTAAAATTACATAAAAAAATCAAAAGATTAAGAAATGAGTAAATTTCAAAAAGCCACAGGTATTATTGTTCGAGTTGCACAAAATCACCGGAGTTTCGGCATGTGTTAAGTAATCATCGATATTGTGGTTCTAAGGTTTTACAAAACCACAATGTTTACCAATCTAGTTTAGTACTGCTGCAATATGAAAAATAATGAACTTAAAGTACTACAATATTCAAATGATGAATTAAAAAGAACTCATATATTCGATCATTGTTTGGAACTCATATGTATGGTAGACAAAGAAAATTTTGTTTACGGTGTGAAACTATAAGGTCATAATACACATAGTTATGTGAAAAAGACCAAAACCCTGTAGTTTTATGCAATTTACTCTAGATCATAATACCTATGGTTTTGTGAAATTTACTCTTCTTATAGTATATATGAGAGCTTGTAACAAATACATGTCTATAAACAATCTCAAATGAGAAAACTTTTAATTACAAAGTTGAAGTTCTCATCGAGGATTGTAACATTCACACGAAATTTGCATTCATCTGACTTCATATGTAAAAGTTTGAAAAAAAATTAAATCTGAGGTTTTTCCATTTTTAGAGGTTGATAGCTAGAAAAAAAACCGCATGCACACTAATCGATGCCATTTTTAAGAAGTCTACTTGTGAAAAACTATTTTCCTTATTCTTTGAAAATGACTAAAATTTAAAAATATTTAAAAATTTATAGAAAATATCATATTATGTGTGCAGATACTTCAAACTATAAAAGACGTGCGATCTAGCAAGTACAATATCTCCACACATGATATATAGGTTTAATAGTGTTCTTGTCCCTGTTTTCAACTGCAAATGTAATCACACCCCTATTTTTTTTAACTTTGTGATTATACCCTTATTTTTTTAACTGAAGCTTGTGTTTGCCCCAATCCCATCAAGTCCTATTAAATACATGTATGCCATTTGCATATTTGCCTCTACTTTTTTTTAGAACTTTTAGATTGTGCCTATATTTTGACATGATTTTCAAATTTTCAATACTAAAACATAAGGTCAAACTAAAACTTGACATGAAGTTTGACCCTTTTTCTACATGCATTTAATACCGTTAAGAGGGCTTAATGGAATGGGGGCATACACAAACTTCAGTTCAAAAAGTAAGGGTAAAATCAAGGGATAAAATCATACTTGAAGTCGAAAATATGGGTAAGAACACAATAGCCCAAAATATACATACATGGTTGGAAAAACCGGCAAATCTTCTCAATCTTTTGAATTTTTTATGAATTATAAAAATAAATCATAAATCATTTTTAACTATTCCTTTTGAAGCTTTTGGCTACGCATCAAATTTTCGTAGAAGAACAATACTGCCACTCGAGAAGTAAAAAGAACAGTAACAATAATTCACCAGTACAATCGAACCAAGCAAAAATGCATAAGCATTAAGCAGTGCAAATTTTATTGCATAGCATTATTCGTAAAACCATACAAATGTATGTCCCTGATCCTCACTTTATTTACGGAGGAAGTACTTCGTGGACAATTGCATCCGTAATTCGGATCGGATACAGCTCGTTGCCGGCACGTATATACGTATACCGGTCAGGGTAAAAATCGCAGGTTAAATCTGCTAAACTGAGAGTCTCGTCATCGTGCGCTCAGATTTTCTCCCAGATTGCGTAGCCATCACCGTGCGCGACGACCTGGAAGCCTTCGGGGATGAGGTGTTCGACGTCGTATCTTGGTCCAATCTTTGTGATCACCTTGCCATCGATCTCCGCGAGGTAGAGATCGCTGTCAGCTTCCATGATGCGCAGCTCGCTCGCCGGGTGGATCCCCTGCCGGTTTCTGATTGACACCAGGCGCTCGATCTCCTCCTTGAGACCCCAATCGAAGAAATGGTCGTAGAACTGAACAATTTTACAGAATTTATCATCAGTTCATCGATCAGTTTGCAGGATGATTCAGAATTTCTGATCGAGTTGGCTACTCACGATGCATGGGTTGCCGGGGTGGGTGAGGATGTATGCGTAGCCCTGCATGACCTTGTCGGAGGGGAACGGCCACAGGTGCTGCGTCGAGCCGGTGTCGTGGTTGTCGACGAAGGTCGTCGCCTTGGCCGGCCACCACCCGATCATGCCGGGCGCCTTGCCGTCCTCGCCGCGGAGGCGCCACAGCTCGCCCTCCACGGCGACGTTGAGGATGCCCTTGGTGGTGAAGTCGAACGCCGTGGCGTTGCTGTTGGCGCCGCCGACACGATCGACCCAGTTGACCAGCTCCTGCCGGTGCGCGTTCTGGTCGTAGTTCGGCTTGCCGTCCCCGCCGTTCGCCATGGACGTCCATATCTCGGCCACGGCGAAGCTCGGCTCGGTGGCGTCGATGTAGATCTTTGCCATGTCGGCGGAGTAGCCCTTGGCGAAGTCGAGGCGCCACGCGTCGAAGCCGATGTCCATCTTGAGCCAGTCGAGCCAGCCAATGAGCTCCCGCTGGACGCGCTTGTTGAGGTGGTCGATGTCCGGCGCGGCGGCGAAGTCGGCGCCGGTGTCCGGGTTGCCGGTGCCATCGCCGTAGGGGTCGTCGCGGCAGATCATGTGCGGGCCCCAGTCGAGGCGGGAGTCGGGCGTCCCGCCCTCGAAGAGGCAGTAGATGCCGCGGCCGTCCTTGTGCTCCGCCGTGCGGTGGTTGATGACGATGTCGGCGATCACCTGGACGCCCTTGCCATGGAACGCCTCGATCAGCGACTTGAGCTGCGCCTCGTTGCCGTACTTAGACGCGTCCAGATCGTACAGCCGCCCAGGCATGTAGCCTGCAGAAGCATTCAAGCAATTCAACGACCTGTGCATGTATTTTGCCGGCAATGGTGCGACGACGGAGGGGATCGAGAGAGCAGAGCACCGCACCTTGCTCGCCGACAGAGTGAGACGGCGGAGGGAGCCAGACGTGGGTGATGCCGGCTGCGGCGATGTCGTCCACCTTGCCCATCAGGAAGTTGTACCACCCGCCATTCTCCTTCCACGACTCCCAGTTGAATCCCTGCATCATCATCAAACACAAGAGCATCACTGCATCATTCTCTTAGGCTCAGTACAAAACCCGATCAGTTCACTGAAGCCTGAAACCCAACTCATGGCGATCTCTTACCTGAAACAGGACTTGCCCGGCTGTCAAGTTGGAGGAGAGGCCAAGGAGGACGATGAGGACCGAAAGGGACAAGAAGTGTTTGTTCACCATGGTGTTCAGCACCTGCATGCTGCAGACACACTTCGGAGATGGATGATTGATGAAGCTCCTGGGTGTGTCTGGTCAGGTATTTATAGTCGAGAATTGCCGGGGATTTTGCCATGCTCAACTTGCAACTTTTGGAGGCCTGGCTGGGCTTGAATGTTGCTTTGGGACACTGGATTGGATGGATAACAGCCGGAGTTTGTTATTGGCTGGTGAGCCCATAGGCAATTTAATGGCCTTGAGACTTTGAGAGTTGGAGCACTCAAAAGGCGCAGGTCAGTAGGAATTCCATCTGTCTTGCTTGTGCTTGTGCGAGCTGAACATGAATACCTGATCGCACACAGAGCATTTGAGAGCAGAGGAAAAGAATCGATTGAGAATGTACGCAAAACGAGCTGAGCCATTAACGTATAATTAATTGAGTATTAACTATTTTAAATTTTAAAAATAGATTAATATAATTTTTAAGTAACTTTCCTATAGAAAATTTTTGCAAAAAATCATACCGTTTAGTAGTTCAGGAATTGAACGGTGCGCGTGTAAAACGAGAGAAATCTTCTCTCTTACACTTGCTGCTGAATTGGTACATGTTGCGAGTTGTGGCGAATATGTATTTTTTTTCACCTAGGTGCAACCGCACCCATCATTTACATACAACTTAAATGTACATAAAAAAATGTAGGGCTTGTTTGGTTTAATACTTACCAAAATGTTGGTAGTGACAAAACCTAGGCAAGTTTTGGCACTACAAATTTTTTGGTAGAGTAGAGTTGTATTTGGTTGGAGGCCAATTTAGAACCAAGCTTTTAGCATAATATAGAAAATATCAAATTGGACATTGGCAATGCCAATGATTTGGCTTCAAACCAAACCCGTCTTATGCACTGTTCAAACTATCAAAATATTTGTAGAGCACGTTTTGGCACTAAATCCAAAACGGCCCATAATTGTACTATTTTTGAGAAGGTACCTAAAGGTGCCACAATTTTCTAGTAAAATTTGGTACCTCTAGGTACTTTATACCTCAAGGTACCAACAATTTTAGTGTAAAATTTAGATACTTCAAGGTATTTTCTCAAGAACTATAAAATTCCTCTATAAAAAAATAGTTTGAAAATAATTGGTAGCATCAATCACAATGGCATAAGTCTATACACAAACATACACAACCATGCAAGGCTGAAACAGATATATAATCAGATAAATAAAAAATAAAAAAACAATATTGTGAACAGTACATCTCCAGCACAAATAGAATATGTTATTTCTGTTTCTTTACTGTAAATTAAATTTTGATGTGCATGTTTGCATAGTGGTTTATATCTTCTTTATCTATCTTAACATTTTTTTTATGAAATATTTACATACTCCCTCCGTCCTAAAATATAAGAAGTTTTAGGGTTGAACACAGTTATTAAGAAAGTAGATAGAAGTGAGTGTTGGAGGGTTGTGATTAGATGAGTAGTGGAGGTAGGGGGAAAAAATTAATGATGAAGGGTTGTGATTGGTTGGGAAGATAATGTTGATGGAGAATTTGTTATATTTTAGGACAAATACTGAGAGTTAAAAATTATTATATTTTAAGATAAAGGGAGTAGCTATGTAGGTGACATGTATACACCTAGATACGATTGCACCTAGCTATAAAAAATACTTTCCCGTGGCAGTTCCACAGGACCAGGGCATCAGGTTCCTGTTGCCATGCACATTTTAGCACGATTTCAGCAAATTTCATGCAGCACGTTGGCTGTAGCACATTCATTCCTGAACACAGGATATGGTGCGTCTGTCGAGGCAGATAACAGAATATTCAAGATGAGAAAATTTTGTGGATGGAACCACTTGGCTCCAAGTCTATGGTGTGAACCGCCCTGAACATTCCGGTTCAAACAAAACAACGGTAGCGTCCCGAGAACTGACACCGCGAACAGCTAGCCATAGTTTCATCCCAGATTTTAATTGGGCTGTTTGTTATTCCAAGGGAAAAAGATAGAGCAATAAAGGATCGGTCGGCTTATTTCCGTGCGGCTGCAAGCCTCCTCGTCCTTTTTGGAGTCAAAGGCTTGTATAAGCAGAGGCTCATCAGGATGGTTGGCTTGATAAGTCTGGCGTACACAGGTTGTTTCTGGCAAGAGCCCAAGAGCAGATCGGAACCGACTTAACAGAACAGCTTTTCTGCAAGAAGAACGAACTGATGAAAAGATCAAGGGAAAGAGGGGAGGCGCCAATGCGCCATGCCTTGGACGTCACACTGCACGCACCGGCAAAAAAAAAAAAAAGATTTAGTTGTGTTTGCGAAATTAACAGATAGTGGATCGAACAGCGTTTGATGTTCAAAAAACAGTGCCGATGGAGACGCGGGGAATCGAACCCCGTGCCTCTCGCATGCGAAGCGAGCGCTCTACCATATGAGCTACGTCCCCAACGATGGTAATGTGTAACAACCAGTGTATGATACTTTAATCCATGCAATTTGTTGTTTAGAAAGTGGGATCGCGGTAGAAGAATTTGGACAGTCAGATATTTTCCGTATCTTAAAACGCCAACAGCATCTCTAAGGCACCACAATTGACAAGAACATCTCTGAACTAATTTTTTAGACTAAGGGTCCCCTTTGAATCGCATGAATGAGAAAGTATAGGAATAGGAAAAACGCAGGATTTTAATAGGAATGTAAGTGTAAACAGAGGATTGCAAAACACAGGAATGGTCGTTTGATTGGACCGCAGAAAAAACGCAGGAATTAGAGGAGAGATAAAGACTCAGAGGAAAGTTTCCAAGAGGTTTTACCCCATGTTAGAATTCCTCCAAAACTTGCATGGCATTAGACAATCCATAGGAATTTCATAGGATTCCATAAGATTTATTCCTTTGATTCAAACGGCTATATAGGAAAAATTCCTATAGGAATGAAAACCTCTAAAATTTATATGAATTTCCTTCGAATCAAAAGGGGCCTAAAATTACTACTCCAACTACGCCAACTGCCTCTGTGTATTGTCGAACTCCACTCAACCCTACAGTTTGGATGGCTTGGGGAAGATGTCCGGCGTGAACTTCTGCGCCGCGCTTATACTCCCCTTGATCTTCAATTTACCCCTGCAACAACGCACGAACACGATATCATCACGACAACTCATAATTCCTTTTTTCCTAAGCAATCTCTGAATCAAATCAAGATTGAATCAAACAGTTCTTTCCAATCTCACATTATGAACGCCATCTGAGGGTTCAGCTTGCCGCTGGAGATGGCCAGGAAATCGTCGTCCGTGAAGGAGAAGGTCGCGTCTGGCTTCCCTTCGTACGGCCCTGACAGAAAAAGGCAGAGCTTATTCAGTACGACGACGCGACAGACAAAGACAAGAGTCGACGGAGATCGATCGCCGGGAAAGCTCTACCTTTGGAGACGACGCCCTTCTTGAGATCGACGACGAATACCTCCTCGTCGAAAGCGAGCTTCTGAGAGAAAATCCACAAGTGCAACGCCGCACGTACTTAGTTAATCTCACGGAAATTCATGGTGTTCTAGTCGATTGACCGAGATGGTTATATTACCTTGGGAGAGATGTTGAGCTGGTAAACGAAGCCGATCTTTTCGACGAGCTCCTTGCCGGCGCCGGAGGCGAGGTGGACGCGCAACTGCTCCAGTAGCGCAGCCGACTTGAGGTTGCTCCCTTCCATCGCGTCGCGCGATTCTTGGTTCAGATTTTGGAAGTTTGATTGAAGGTGAGAGACGGAGTTGTGTTCTTTGGGCTTTGATCTGGAAGGCTTTTTATGTATAAACTCCATCCACCTTGCAGACTTGGGGACACAGAACTCGGTTCCGGAGGCCTTGTCATGTTGTTAGTAGTTGCATTGAACTCTTAATTAACTTTCACTTTCATGCAAGATTGGAACAGTTCAGGTAAGGTACTATTGTGAAATCAGATTTAGGAACAGCGATGAACAGTTGCAGAATCTGTTCTTCTTTATTTATCAACCATCCTCTGTAAGACTGTAACGTGAATGAACACAACTTTGTGGGCTACAAGATCAAACCAAAACGTGATAGTACAAGCGTGCCATTGGCGAAGGCATTGTCGTCTACGTTACAAGGACGGGGAGAGATCACCGGAGCAAGCAAACCACCCCCAGTCTGTGCTCCTACTCCTCGTTCTCCTCCCTCTCCCTCCGCACGGCCCCGAACCGCTCGACCAGGATGTCGGCGACGATCGGCGCCAGCTCGTCGCACGGCACGGACTTCTTGTACACGCCGGCGAGGTGAGAGTCGCTGCCGACGCGGCCGCCGACGAAGATGTCGGCCGCCTCGACGATCTTGCCGGCGCTGTCCTTGGTGAGGCAGCCCATGAATCCGATGTCGGCGACCTGCACCTGGCCGCAGCTGTTTGGACAGCCGGTCCAGTGCATCCGCACCGCCCGGGGCACCGACACGAGCTTCTCCACCTGCGACGTCACCAGCAGCGCCCGCTGCTTCGTCTCGATGATGGCCTGGCCGCAGAACTGGTTGCCGGTGCACGCGACGAGGCCCTTGAGCAGCAGCGACGGCTGCGGGGAGAACTTCTGAAGCAGCGGCTCGGCGAGCAGCGCCTCCACCTTCTCATCCTTGACGTTCGGGATCACGATGTTCTGCTCCACGGTGAGGCGGAGCTCGCCGGAGCCGTACTCGTCGGCGAGGCGCGCGAGCTCGAACATGTCCGCCGCCTGCACCCGTCCCACGGGCACGTGCAGGCCGACGTAGGACAGCCCTTCCTGCTTCTGCGGGTGCACGCCGAGGTAGTCCCTCCTCTGCCATTTCTTGTCGATGAGGTCCTCCGGCGCCGCGCGCTCCAGCACGCCGTTCGGCATCCTCTTCTCCACCTCCGACCAGAAAACCTCCATCCCCTGCAATTGCCAACGCCGCAATTAATTGATAAGAACATTGGAACATACGTAATTCAGACAATGGCGTGGAAAAAATGGCTCACAAGTTCGTCGATGAGCCACATCATGCGGGTCTTCTGGCGGTTGCCCCTGGTGCCGAGGTCGCAGTACGCCTCGAGAACGGCCTTGCACACCGGGATGATGTCGTCGCCGGGGACCCAGGCGTCGAGCGGCAGCGCCTCCTCCCACCTCTTGGGGCTGATGAACCCGCCGACGAGGAGGTTGAACCCGAACTTGCCGTCCTTCACCGCCGGCATGTACGCGAGATCGTTGATGTGCGGGTGCTCGTACAGATCGTGCGACCCGATCACGCACACGTTCCACTTCCTCGGCCTGCCAACAACACGCAGCAACAACAAGTCAACAAACATGTCAGAGATCGACGACACGAACAGCACGAGCATATCAAGTTGATTCGATTACTGACAGGTTGGTGATGGTGGGGTTGCCCTGGAAGTTGCTGGTGATGTAGGAGAGGAGGTTGGTGTAGGATCGGGTGTCGACGATCTCGTCGGGGTCGATGCCGGCGAGCGGGTTGCCGACGGGGTTGCGGACGTTGTCCATGCCGCTCTGAAGGCTGGTGAGGCCGACGGCGTTGAGCCCGTCGAGGATGGCCGGCACGTCGGGGAGCGTGACGCCGCGAATCTGCCAGTTCTGGCGGGTTGTCACGTCGGCGCAGCCATCCTTGCCGTACGCCTCGATCACGCTCGCCAGGTACCTCGTCTGCTCGCTCGTCGTCACGCCGTTTGGCAGCTTCAGCCGCATCATGAACCGCCCATCTGCACAGCGTAGAGCCGTAGAGCGGCCGTTAGCATTTTGGGCCAAATTCACTCTGGGCCCCCAAAACACTAGTATATGTTTAGCAAAGAGTCTAATTAAAGGACCACGAGCCCACGGCTCCAGTTGGGCCAGGTGACGGAAGAGAATTTTAGCCGTGAGAGTCAGTATATTCCATTTCATTGGTGTGGCTAAGATAGTTGATCTTTTGCTTTTCTAGTTTGTTTTAAGAACATATATATATATATATATATATATATATATATATATATATATATATATATATATATATATAGCTATATGCCATTAAAAAACTATATAGTATATACCGCACCAACCAACCAATGACAGCCACCAAGTGAGCCTTTTCAACCTAGTAATAAAATGTAAACAGAACATAGAACAAAATGGATATGTAAGCTTATGTACATCCTGCAGATGAAGTAGAATTGTAAGGGACCAAAATGACTTTCGTTTTTCTTTTTGGTTCAATCAGTACAAAGGCCACACATCAGATGCTGGCGCCAAATAAAGTACTCATACTATTACTTATCAAACGGTTGTGCGAACATTATGTTACTTGTTAGAGCCTGGGACTGTGGCTATATGTGGCACATGGAGATGAAGTGATTGGATCAAAGGTTTCCATGTTTGCTCAATATAAATAGTCATTACTCACGAGATCGTAATTAAGCTATAAAAATCACAGCAACTTAATCAGTCTTAATTATGTTGCTGAATGTGCATCTTGAAAAAACAAATCAGCAGAATATCTTGGCGAATTAATTGAGGTAATTCTTCCTCGGCGCGACAGATCAACTAACCGATCGAAAGCAAGAAAATGTGTTGAACAGAGGAGCAAAAGAGAGGCATACACTGATGCTTGTGGCAGTGGAAGAGGCCGAGCCACTTGAGACGCACGTCGATGTCCTCCTTGGAGAGCTTGTCGGCCTCGATCTCCTCCATGGGCATCTTGGCGAGCTCCTTGATGCCGCCCTCCATGAACAACGATATGGGCTCCTTCCCCAGCTTCACCTTCTCCTACGGGTTCAGCCCTGCCCGGTACTTCTCCTTGAGCACCTAGTACCGCCCCTCTCGCTGCTCCACCCGCGGCTCCAGCCGCTCCGCCGACACGGCATCGTCCGCGACCGGTGTCGAGGAGGACGGCGCGGACACGGTCAACGACTGCACGGGGCGGGTGCGGACGGCGGGAGGGCGGCGGCGGGATGCTGCCACGTGTGAGGACGGGGGGAGAAAGCGCTGTAGGGAGGCGGAAGAGGCCATGGCTGGAGACGGTGGTGGTGGTGGTGCGCTGTTGCGATGAGGGTGGCCATGGGTGCGGCGCGTGTGGTTGTTTATTGCAGAGGAGGGAGGGGGCACGAGGGCGCTGTTGTTGGCTCTTGGCGAGTTCAAAAGGGCAGATGCTGCGAGAGATGGCAGCCACGGGAGGAAAATTTACAAACATGCCCGTGGCCCGGCGGGTACTGTTCGTTTGGTTGTGCTGGTACGGAATAGGAGCTCGGGTAGACATTAACATCATTTTGTCTTGTGTTGCTATCAAATGGTTTTTTTTTCCCGGTGTTTTTCATTTTTGGAAAGCAATGGTGGATCCATAAATTTTTCAAAGCTTGGACAAAAAAACCTATGGCAAACGGTTACCGATATCAGCAATATGGAATATCGACGTTTTATTATACGTCGGTAAGCCTAGGCAGCTAATAGAGCTGTCGGATAGTTAATGTTGTTATTTGTAAAGATTTGTATCCTGACATAGTGTACATTATGTATCGTAGCTTTTGTTAGTTGATTTCTCGTCTAACAAACCGAGAGACCAAGTCGTAAAGGGCGTGGTCCGCCCCATGCCTAAATCACACACTTTCTAAACTGTACGCCATGATTGGTGATACATTGGTGATACTTTTTAGGTTTTGTTTGGCAAATAGAGTAGGGAAATAATCCCATTCTCCAAAGAGTAATATTGTATCCTAACCATCCATTCTTCACCCTCATTTAATCCTAACCATTCATACATTTCCCTTTTCCAAACCCCCTCCCTCCTCTCATTATCCATTTGCCAATGTACATTAGTCCCCCATATTACACCAGCTTAGTAGTATCTATCTATCTATCTATCTATTATATACTAAAAGTCCATTAAACTTCCTAAAATCACTCTCAAGTTAACATGTGGCATCCTAAAAACACTCTCAAGCTGCCACGTGGTGCGACCAGAGGAGATAAAGGACCCACGGGTGCAATCCATGTATTTGCGTTGTTGGACTCCAAAATTCAGCAAAAATCCTAAAAATTTAAGGAAAAAATCCACGGGTGCAGCCATGTACGCATGTGGCTGCTTTCCTTCCATTCTCTTCTTTTTCTACGGTAGTTAATAGATTTTTTTTAATCAGTAGTTAAAAGATAAAATTTCTAATAAACCGCTTGATCTACCAAATAAAATTCTGAAGTCTTCAACCTTGCTGTTTTTCCTCTGTACGCATGTGCCCTTTTTCCTCTGTTTTTTTTTTGCTGTGGTTGTTATAATCGGTTGTTAAAAGATAATCAATGCCCTTTTATGGTGACGAAATTTCTAATTAACTGATTGTTCTATACCATTAGATCTAACAAATAAAATTCTATATATTCTCCGATGGCTCCAACAAGTATGCATGCACTCTTCTTTGCCTTTTTTTCTGCGATAGCTAAAAAATATATTTAATGCCCTTTTATGGTAAAAGAATTTTGCATACATGCACATTGATGTCCCACATTTATAGTAAAACACACTATGTCCATTGTTATAATATTTTTCGCTCGATTTTAGAGGCAGGATTTTAGAATTTTTAATACACATTTACCCCATACCGAGTTGTACACTCAACACAGTTATCTTTACATCCCAAATTTTAGAGATCAAAAGCATTTCAAGGACATAGAACATAGATATCTAATATTCCAAATGAAATTGCACGCATGACAAAGCGTTGTATTTGAGTCATCTAAGGTGATCACGACCGCTGCAGCGCTATAGCTTTGCCACATATCACCACGTGGCAGCTTGAGAGTGTTTTTAGGATGCTACATGTCAGCTTGAGAGTGATTTTAGGAAGTTTAATGGACTTTTAGTATATAATAGATTTGAGCTAAACTGAAACAAATTTTGTTGAATCCAAAGCCTATTATAAATTGCATAAATCATTTGAACTTTTTTGCTTGAAGTTCAATATCTATTCTTTAAAAAAATTGAATTTCTTAAAGTTTAGAACTCCAAAACGAAGATTTGATATGTATTAAAAAGAACATATAGATTAGATGATATATAGTTCGTAGGAACCAACTCCATGGTTGCGACGTAATACTTTCCTATACTTCATGGTTGTTGTAAGTAATTTTATTTTAGAATTTATATATTGCAAGTATAATTAGCATTCAAAATAGTCACAAACAATTTATTGACAAAAATTAGGTTGAGAATAAAAGTAGGAAAAGTCACGCATACACAAATATTCATATGTGTAGAGTAGTATTTCAAGCAATACTCCCTCCGTCCCATAATATAAAGGATTTTGAGTTTTTGCTTATAACGTTTGACCACTCGTCTTATTCAATTTTTTTTTGCAAATATAAAAAATAAAAAATTATGCTTAAAGTATTGTGGATAATAAAGTAAGTCACAAATAAAATAAATAATAATTTCAAAAAATTTTGAATAAGACGAGTGGTCAAACGTTGCAAGCAAAAACTCAAAATACCTTATATTATGGGACGGAGGGAGTATTAAATTTTAGATGCCCGCGCATTTGCGCTTCCTTTATAGTTATATAAAAGGAGAGAAGGCCATGCAAGTGAAGTGATGATCTCTTATGCACCAATCCTACACCTTAAAACCCTAACATCACCATACATCCCAATCACAAGGAAATCACTGGGAGGGACCCGAATAGCTAATTCTCATTTCTCACAACCGACTGTTGTCAACAACACTACAATCACCATTGTGAGAGAAGTTGGACGTTGCAAGTCAATCACCAGCGATGACGCCTTCAGCTAAAGCGGGAGATCTCACTGGTGCGGGACTTCTACATCCACATCGACAAACTACAACAGTAGCAACATATGTGATACTAATGACTTCTTCTACATCCGGTTAGTACCACCAAATTCTGTATTAGATTAGATTTGGTGATACTTGGAACTCCTAAATTTAGATTAGATTTCGTTTTAAATTTATGTTGAAAATCGCTCAGTTTTCCAACAGAAAAAGATACTTGAAACTCCTACAGTCAAAATATGAACGTCCATACTATAAACTATCTGAGGCAGAACAGTGCTCCCGGGCTTAGGCAATTCAGAGGCAGAACAGAAACCGGGGGCTTTGCAGAGCACAGCAGTTGTTTCAAAGGGTTTAGCGACATGACGCAGATGCATGCGACTGCTTCACACCGAAGGCTTCGCACGCGCCCTTCCACCCAACCCAAAACATCCAGAGGCTCCAGCCACCCACAGGGGGCAGGGCCAACGTCGGGGCAGCTTCGTAATCTCGCAGCGCGGCCAGAATTTTTGGGTATTTTAGTTTAGGTGGAGGCCGCAAAGATCAGACCAACACGATAATAGTTAAACAAGCCTGTCTAGATACACCGGCAGCGAATGAGAAACGGCCCATGAGCCGTCGTAAGGGTGGATCTGCTTGTAACGCATGTCGTTCTTCTCACCAAATTTCTCTCGTGTCGGATCGTGCTCGCCAAAGTGCAGAGGCGTGCCCTTGCTTCTCACTGTGTGTCTCAAGACTCTGAACCTGAAGGAGAAAATGAAAAATTAACATGCGTCGATGATGTTCTACGTGGAGCATCGACATTGGCAATGTTGATAATGATATACTCCCTTCGTCCTATAATGTAGCAATCTAAAATGAAATGAGACACATCCTAAGACTACGAATCTAGACGAGAAATATCGATGCTCCACGTAGTTCTAGATTGCTACATTAGAGCAGGTACAATAGCAGACTATAAACCAGCTATAAACATATTTAAAGAGATAAAGGAAGAGAGAGAATAGTAGCGGGATACATATCTATAGCCAGCTGATGCACAGACTCCAAGACGTAATATATGTATAACAGGTGAGACCAGATATTAATAGTATAGGAAGCAACTATTGTATGAATTGTCTATTACATTACACTGGTTATAGATAATTTAGAACTAGCAGTGAGCTACAATATTAAACCTGCTCTTATGGGACGGAGGGAGTACTGATTATAACACCTAAAGTCCTGATGCGACGACACATGGTTCTTCTTTTTCCTTTTTCTTTTTCTTTTTCTTAGGCAGCAACTTATGTTTTTCTGAAGCCTGCAGATGTTACTTACACACCTGATATACTGATACTATTCAGCAATGGTGGCGATGAAATCATCGTGCCATGGGGACAGCAAGGCAGGCAGCTAGTGGCCAAACGTTCGAAACCACACGCCGCGGCCCTTGTCCTTTGATGCGTGTGCAAGGGCGACTTTGCCTTGCCTATCCTGCTGATGCACCAGACAGACAGCGTCTGCCTCTTGGACGACGCCAACCTCCTGTCCTTCCTTGGCCAGTCTCTCGCCTGGGCCTCCAGCCCGCAGACAACAGATAGAGACCACGCAATTTAACACACACAGTCGTTTTCACCAAAATTGTCAACTTCCGTACTCTCCAATTTAAGCTTTGGAATAGAAACATCAGCTGAGATTTTGATTTTAGACGGATATGGCTGAGAAGAATATGGAATTGCAACATTCAGCCAAGAACTAGCACATATATAACTTCTCAAGAATGAGCGTGCTGCAAAGTCAGGCGAAGTTCAACTGGAAGACTACCCTATATGTACACACAGGAGAAGGAAATTGTATCGAGCCCAACGAGATACTTAGAACGGGAACCTTCCACGTGTGCTTGAACGTATGCAAGATCACAGGGCATTAAGGGCAAATGGGCCAAATCAAAATCAGAGAAATGTTACAAGAAATAATTTTACGAGTCACTAATTCGGTAATCTTGCCTCCTGCGAAAATGTCTGAGAATGAAACTATCTGCATACATGGGGTACTTTTGTCGTATGAGACCTTTGATGCACTTCCAGAATGAAAAATCAACTTGCTCACCATCCTTCCTAACTATGAAAAGACATCTTGAGTTCTCAAATTCTGGATGTAACCCTACCTGCAAAGTAGCGCTAAAGGTTAGTGTCCAGTTGGAGTAAACAAATAAAGAAATCACCATTTGTAGCTCATAACCATATTCAATTCAATTTTATTCAAGAAAAAAAACGCAAGTTATTTAATACACGATACAAAAGTCAAACAAGCCAACTAAAAAAAACTACAACAAAATAGTGACATTTCTATTCAGAATTTTTGTTAAAAATAAACATGCTGAAGTTTGTTGGTAATCGTGATTCATGGGACTATCACCTTGACACATCAATTACAAAATAAAGTTAAACTACAAGCTGTATGTCTAGAAGTATATTGAGAGCTGTAAATCAAAACTTTCTGTGCTCAACACTCAACAGCAAGAAGAGATAAAGATGATAAAACATTATTTCTTTGTTCTTCAGTTTCGAAAAAAAAAAGAAAAAAAACTTGAGTGTTTCGCCTCTATGTCTTAGGAGACTTCCTTATATCTGAGAGATTACATACCGTAAGGTAGTCAATACCGCATCCAATTTTCTTCTCATATTGTGGGTGATAAGGAAGCAATCGTTCCAAAATTGCCTTTTCATGTTCAGGGCTCAGTCGATCACCATTTTCATACCTGCAGCAGTTTCAATATCATACCCTCTCTTTTACTGAATTCTACAAGTGCAATATATATTTAACTTGCAAGAACTAGTTTATGAAAGGGAATACTTCCAGATGTTCAATAGACAATAAAATATAAACAAGCTGTTGCACCTTAAGTATTTCAGTTCTGTTGCCTTACAATTATATCTTGCTGATTGTAGGCAAAGCATGGAACCACAGTCCACATGGCATACCTAATACTATAAGAAGGTTGATACGGTGAAGCAATTTCTGACTTGTTATACTTCAATAGTAAGAAGCCATGATAACAAACAACACATGCTTTTTGGGAACAATGCAACAACATCGTTTCTTACATTAACACAACATATCAACATAATTAAACAATTCTTCCACACTTAGGATGCTAAAAGTGCATGAATCACGGTGAACTCATTCCATCCAAAAAATGGAAAATTATATGACAGGCACAAATATTGCTGGCATCATTCATGTGTTCTGTGATGTGTGTGCAACTGATCAAAGTTTCATAACACCTCGTTTTATGAATCATAAACTGTTAGGAAAAATTGCATAAGGCACGTGACACTGATGGTAAGAGAAGAAAAATCATATTTTGGCTGTCTGATATCCATAGCTAATTGGTTGCTTGCATGAGCATGATACACTTTAAGATTATTAATAAAACAAATAAGATCTGTAAAGAAAAGGTGCCGTACTGCTTCCTTGAAGGAACATGTGTAATATAATTGTGGCAGCTACAGGCAGGTGCTAGGACTGATTTATATCAGATGATGGTCTGGTGTGATGAAAGTAGATGAATATGAGGAATAGCCAAATAGAGATATATTGTCATTTGAGTAAAATACACGGCTGGTCCTTAAAGTTGAGCGCGGGTGTCACTTAGGTCCATAATCTTGTAAATTGCACATCTAGGTCCACTATCTTGTTTAAGTGACTCATTGAGATCCAAAGGACCTATGACCGGGTTGACTGGCTTACGTGGCTGTCCCGCATGGCAACATATTTGCATTCCCCCCCTTTGCTTCCTCGTGTCTGATCCAATCCCTTCTTCGCATGACGCACGCCGGAACGTGCCGACGGCGACGTGCGCCAGCACGCGCACCTGCGGCACCCACCCGTCTCAACCTCGCTGCGCCTGGTGACGCGCCTCGTACCCCTCCGGCAGCCGCTCGCCGGCGTTGCGCCGCGCCCAGAGGAACCGCACACCGTCGTCGACGGGAAGGAGAAGAAGGAGGGGAAGGGGAAGGCCCCCACTCCTGCCAGCCGCAGGTGCACGCGGCAAGCGGCTGCGGCAACTGCTCAAGTCGAGCTCGCCCTGCCGCCCTGCCGCCGCCGTCGAGCTCGCACCCGCCCCGCTCGCGCCGAGCTCGCCGACACCTCCCCCGCACGCACGGCCGCGGTAGGCGACCACTCCCCCGGGACGCGGCCGGCGACACCTCCCCCGTGCGTGCCGAGCTCTCCAATGCCTCTGGCGCCAATGACCAGCGGGAAGGGAGACCGGTGGATCTGGCCGTCAGTGAGGCGCGAGCGCCACCGGCACGCTAGCTACGAAGATGGTGACGGTGCTCCGAGCTCGCCCACCATGGTCATGGCGACGGTGCTCTGCAAGCTCTCCTCTAGTTCCCTTCGCCGCCCGCAAACTGCTGCCGCATTCGCCCATCGCCGCTCCGCTCGCAGCCCGCCGCCGCGCTTGCCCACCGCCGTTCCGCCCGCCGCCCGTTCTTCAAGAAGGATTTGAGGGTGGGGCGGCAGGGCGCCCGCTGTTGAGAAGGTGATGCTCATCTCCTGCACCGGCACCACGGCCGACGTGTTGTGGCAGGACGGCACATTGCGGCGCGGCGTGCCGTCCTTGGAGTTGGTGTCGTTCGACATCCTCAACAACCACGAGTTCTTCCCGGGTCAGCACGTCGACGTTGACACCATGGCGGTGGCAACAACAACGACGGCGAGGCGCGTCGGCTTTGTCGAGGTCCACGACGGCGCGACGTCCTGATCTTCGAGCTCATCCACCGGTCGCTTCGTCCCCTCTAATATTGTGTCGTTGGCAATCATGCGCCGCTTCGTCGAGGTCCACGACAACGGCGATGGAGGACGCTGATGTTGGCGAGGCGAGGCCGGAGAACGTGACAAGCGAGGCGGTGCAGCCGTGGTGCGCGACGAGGCGCCGCAGCAGCTCGGCCATCGGTATGACGTGGCCAGCGAAGGGGCTGGCGATGAGGATGACGTGCGATGGCGATGGGCGAGGTGACGACGGAGGCAGCCGAGGGATTTGGGGATTTTTTTGGTGCCCAGGGCTCTACTGTAGCGCGAAGGGGATATTTGCAAATGAGCTGTCTACGTGGAATGCAACGTAGACGGTCAGCTTCGATCAAACCGGGTTTGGACCTCAATGAGTCACTTAAACAAGATGGTGGACCTAGATGTGCAATTTACAAGATTATGGACCTAAGTGACACCCGCGCTCAACTTTAAGGACCGGCCGTGTATTTTACTCGTCATTTGGTACACCAAAATATCAAATAATGATTTTGAACTAACTCATGCAAACCACAATAGAGTAAGGCAGTAACCAGTAACATGTGGAATGAATTACATTAGAACGAATTGGCACAAACGAAAACCCTAAATATAATCAGTTTACTGATTAGTCATATGAACCCTGATACAAGGCATATGCTTTGCTGTTATGCCATAATTATAAAAAATTGCACTTGGTACTGGTGGAAATTGGTCTAATTGTGCTTGGCCACTTAATAATTCCATAATGGGATCCGCATAATAAGTTTAGCTTGCACACCATATGTTCGATGAATTGTGTTTCGAAGGAATAATGGTCTTTATAATCCTTGTGCCATGTGACAACATAATAACACATCTAAATATGTGAAAGCAACAAGCTTTCTCAAATGATATTAAGCCACGTCATATGATTTATATGAGCCGTTGGATGCAACAAAAATTCAGCCCCTGCCGTTGGATGCATTGTGTAAAAGAGTCTCAGTAAAAGAGAGCAAACGGTCAAGAATATTCTGGATAGGTTAGGAAGAAGGGAACGAGAGGGAAAGAAATCCGCTCCTGTGCCACCAGCCGTCGCCTGCGGCCGTGCCTTGCCCCGCCGCCACCTGCACCCAGCCCGCCGTGCGCCGCCCCCGTCAGTCCCATGCATCGCCACCGCCTGCACCAGCCCGCCGTGCACCGCCGCCGGCAGCCCTGTGCCCCTCCGCCACCTGCGCCCGTGCTGTGCGCTTCCGCCACCTGCGCCCGGCCCGCCGTGCGCCGCCGCTGGCCGTGCCGTGCGCCCGATGTTCCTGACGGCGTGTGCTACTGCCTGCTCCAACCGTGGTACTACGCCACTGCTCCTCTAGGTCCCATGCCGGTACAGTGGCAAGGCACTGGCGAGGCTGCATACTGAATTTAGGTCTTTTTTCTGCTGCCGTTTGAGCAATCTAACACTGCAAGGCAGTCTACATACAACATGCAGACTTTGATTTACTCTTTACCAGCCAATAAGCAAATAAATAAGTCTTAGTCCATAGCAGGTTAGAATTTAGCTGATGACTTAAGAATTCCCTTCCATATGCTCAATTCCTGCATACAATTTCCAAAAGGTGAACAAAGAGGCTGATGATATCCTCTCTACCAGATATTGTTTATTCATTCAAATAGATTTGTTCACTCATTTTAACTTTGAGTTCTGGGTTATAAATTTCAGCTGGAAGTCCTCATCTGAAGTTTGGGTTGGAGGGGGAGTAGTACAGTATCATGGTCATTGATCTTCTTGGTTCAATTCTAGATGACTTAATCAACCACTGCAACAGAAAGTTCTCTCTTAAAACAGTAGTTATGCTTACTGATCAAATGGTGGCTTTTTCTAACTGAATATTTTATTCTAGCTGTTAATTTCAATTTGTAACATTTTCGACTTGCTTGAAGGAACATAAAGCACTGGTGATTCCCTCCACTGTGCCCTTTTTGAATCCTACTGCTACGAAGGCAACATCTTTTCTTCAATTCTGTTATTGCCCTAGAATGAGCATTTTGTTTTTATTGAAACCAACGGCAAGAGGTCAATCTTGAATATAATATTTTAACCTTTAGTTGGAAATACAGGTTTGTCTAGACTTAACTATTCTTGTTCTCAGGTTATACAATTTTGCATAGATTCAAATTTAAAGTATACAATTTCATGATCATTATAATTACGACGCATATCTAAATATATACACATGGATTTTATACGGGAATACAAAGTCGTGCAACGCACGACTAAATGGCTAGTGCTAGTGTGAATTACAAATTCCATCTAGAATTAAAGTGAGAAGAAATGATAGTTGCTTACTTGCCGGAGTGCAGAATCATCCGGACGAAGCCGACGAGCGGCACGGTGTCCTCGAGGATGAGGTCCTCCCAATCCACCCACTCCCTCTCCGTCCCCTTCCTCCTCCCCTCCTCCGGCGTCTCATCCTCCCCCGAACCACCACCCGGCGAGGACTCCGCCTCGCTCTCCCCCTCCCCCTCCCCCTCCCCCTCCCCCTCCCCCTCCTCCTCCGCAGCCGCCGTCGTCACGACCGCCGGCCGCCGCAGGATGGCAGCCGGGTCGGGCGTGGCGGCGCTTTGGCCACGCGCCCTCACCGCCACCCCGCAGCCACGGCCACGGGCGACGGCGACGGAGGCGGCGGAGAGGGGGATACGCCCGGGGACGAGGCGCGGGCATGAGACGGCGGCGGCCACAGCCACGGCCATGGGGTGCATATGCGCGGCGGTCGAGGCGGTGGTGGGTTCCGGCCGGTCACGGCATGGTACGGCCGCGCGGCGCCGTGCCGTGGTCTGCCGCTGCTGCGCGCGGTGGGGCTGGAAGAAGAGGGGGGGAGGAGGCGAGGTGGTGGTTCGGACGCGGGGGTTTGGTTTCCACGGCGAGGTTAGTTCGGTGTGGGTGGTGGTGGTGGTGGCAAGTAGTGGCTGGGAAGTGAGGTGCGATGCCGCATGGAGGAGTGGATAGGTCTCTCTCTCCTTTGTCTCTCGGGTTCGTCCCGTGCCGGGAGCGTAGGCGTGGCATCTTGTTTTTCTCCAGTTCTTTTCTTGTTTCTACGGCCTCGGCCTCGGCCAGAAGCCGCGCCACGGTGAGAGGAAACGATCAGGTGGTGTGATATTTTTTTTATTCACCGGGGAAGAGTCCGGCTCAGGTGCAGGGAACCCTGCACATAGTAATATACAGGCCAAATCAAATTGCGACACCTGTTCAGGGTGGCCCTACTTAATTACGCATGCAACGGAGGTTTAACGAGGACTAAACGGGTGAATGGTTCTGTTACCTGATTTTGTGGGATCGTGGTTAAACCTCCGTTTACATTGTTACTTGGTTGATTGGGTGGACCTACCTTGTGTACAGGTGTCGCGATTTGATTTGGCCTGTATATTACTATGTGCAGGGTTCCCTGCACCTGAGCCGGACTCACCGGGGAAAGGTCAATTTTGATTCGCCTTCAAACTAGGGCTGTGTTCGATTGTGGGGTTGGTAACCCATCCCCTCTGCACAAAAACGGAACGGTCCATCAGCGCGTACTAATTAAGTATTAGGTAATTTTTTTAAAAAATAAATTAATTTGATTTTTTAAGCAATTTTCGTATAGAAACTTTTTTAAAAAAACGCACCGTTTAGTAGTTTGAAAAGCGTGTACGCGAAAAACGAGGGAGATGATGTTGGGAACCTGATGCAACGAACGTAGCCTGGTCTGTAACATATTTTTAAAAAAACAATTCTCTGTAGCATATATTTTAAAGTGGTTTCTTAACAGGATATCTATATGACAGCCCAATCATTAAAAATAAATCTACGTGTAAGTGATCATCTCTCGTATTTTTCCTCGCCACTCCCCCTCCCCCTCCTACTCTCCTCCTCATCCTCTCTCGCACCATAACCGACGAGCCCTTGAGCGACCTCCAAGATCAAAGGCTGGTGGCACAAGTTGATTTCCTCTTCGCCCCTTCCAGTCAGCATGTGAATGTAAACGACAACGTGCCTTCAGAGCTCCCTTGAATTGATTTGGCAGCAAAGAGCAGTGAACAGCGAGGAGGGTGTCAATCTCCCTCCCACCTTCCTCCTCCATCTCCTCGAGCCTTGTCAAGGTCTCGTATGCTGACGCCCTCGTCAAGCTCCCACGCCACCATCAGGCTCCTCACTGCCTACGGCTGCACCACACATAAAATCTATCGCTAATGTAACCCTTTGCGCACATGGTTGTCGCTTGTTATCTTTCCAAATGACTCCCATCCCGCTCCTCTACCTCCACACCTCACTCTTGCTCCTCCTCCTCTTCGTTGACGCCTCTATCTCTACCCACCACATCTCACTCCATGTCAATGTGTCCATCGCTAGGTTGGCCTCGCTTTCCCTCGCATTACTCCTAACTGGATCATCACCTACCATGCTTGTGACCTCCACCTTGTCATACATCTGGAGGTTGCGTAGAGCTCTCCTCGTTGTGCTGCCAGTAGACTCCTCAAGCTCCCGTGTTACCAACCACCGTTTGCCTTCTCCTTTATCAACATTATGACGGTAGCATATATAAGCTTCGGACTATACTACTCGTTGTCCCTACCTTTGTTTGGTCGCCATAGCCGTTGTGCATGGCTTCCTCCACGCTCTCCAGAGTTTGATTTGCTCACACGGTTCTACCGGCACTACCACTCGTTGCCTACAATCCCAACATTGACCTCGTCCTGATCTAGACTCCTTCCCTAGACCCTACCTGTCTGCTTCCTATCATATCGTGCCATCGCTTATCCCGCCAATGAGGTCATCCTTTGTACGCCAACCCTAGTGACCATTAGGAAAGACGGGAGAGATCGAGAGAGTTGAGGGTGAGAGGAGAGAGGTAGAGAAATAGGATAGGGTCCGACGCCACCGATTAAAGCCGGGTCAAACATGTTATATAGGACAAAATCATTGTTCAATCCGGTTGGGGAGGCAACAACGAACTGGTTTTCATAGCTGGGAAAGACGATATACCTAATTTTATGGTTAAGAAATGTGAATCAGATTCGGGCAAATAATTAAGGATGCCAAAATGGACTTTGTTCCTTTTCACCACGCGTATCATCTGCGCAGATGGTGCATTTCGGCTCTTTTATGGAATCGCCATGTTGGCCCAACGTGATTTCGATCGGGACAGCCCATGCCATTCACCGTCAGGCGGGTTTGGTTCGGTCTGAGGAGGCCCAGCCGCTCTCCTCTTGGCAGGCTGGGCGCTGGGCTGTAGGCAATCACGGGCCTCCTGGCTACTAGCTGTTCCCTGCCGCGCGGGGCGTCGTCGCCCTTCGGCCTTTCTTTTCGGGTGCCCGTCGTCGGTCCAAACGCCGCCACCGACGCCGGAGATACCGCGCAACGCTAAACGCTGAGCGTCAGCGATCTAAAATACCACCGCCGCGACATGCAACAAGACGTACGAGAAAACCTCCGCACACACTGAGCCGAACCGAACAGCCAGCGAGCGACCCCGTTTATCCGGCCAACCACCATCCGATCGTGCTGCGTACGTGATGGGTGCAGTTGCGATGTGGAAAAAAAGCCGCCCTATAATGGGATGCAGCTGGGGCAAGAGGGAATAATAACGAACAGCCTCCAAATCTATCGTCTGAAAATTTCTTCGTGGAGAAAGCTCAAACCCAGCCGCTAAAACTGGTCAAGATTTCCCGCACATGCTGCTAGCTGCGGCCGTTTGACATCGCTGCCGATCCATCGTCAGGTATTCCGTCGAGACCGCGACAAAAACGAAAGGCCGAAAGGGTGTGGAATATCTTCAAATCGAAGGCATGCAAGAGCAAAGTTTTGATCCAGCCAATTAGGGCCGGCCGGCTTCTCCACTAATTTAAATCTTTTGGCTCCCACACGTTGGAGTTGATACGGGTGGAGGACCCAGTCGCCCAGTGGTCGTGATGACCACTCCTGCACTGCAAGTCTGCAATGCACAGCTCTGAAATGACCAACATATAACCAGATTTGATTAATGTGCAGCTTAAGTCATGCTTCTCCATTAGCAGTACCGTGATGGCGAAGGCAAATCCAGTAGGCATCGGCAACCCTGATTCGTTAATACCCTATTCCCACAGCAACAGACCTATACTGAGGAAGCATTATATTGCTACCTGTATTATCTGTGGCTGAGTTCTACCTGCTGATTCTGTCAAATTTTGGGAGAGAGATATAATTTATGAGGTTCCAGCCTTCCAGGTTGATGTTTAATGGCACTTAATGCATTGACCATTGACGAAAAACTAGTGTCGGTTCCTTGTTAGTTCCAACCCAAGGTCAAGTCCTCTGAAAGAGTACAAAGATGTTCCAGGTGAGGTCATTGTTAGGTGTAGTATTGTATTTGTCTGAATAATCTTGCCTTCTTCTCACGAAACTATGTTGCCATTTCGCAGTGCGATTAATGCAGGTAACTTCTAGTCAGCTGTCATGACATGGACTCGAAGGGAAAAACAACTGCAAGTTGTGTTGTCACTGCATAATGGTTAAACTAATTAAGGCTTTTATTTTCTTCTGAATTCAGAACTGGCAGGTTATTATTATTAGAAGCAAATGCCAATTTCAGCCTAGGAACGGGTCAATGTTCAGTTTGGTTGTACTCCTAACTGGCTACTTCATTATTTTACACAGAGAAAACAAAACAAAACGCTTGTTTAATCGCCAACCAAAAGCAATAGCGAAACCACTCGGCAGTTCAGCTAGACGCAACAACATCATAGAGCATACATATGCGTATCTTTATGGCTGCCAATGCCGTGAAATCTCCCCAATACCTGCAATTATAAAAGGACATTATTGAAGTAGGTCGTCATCCTTCTCATTGTTTTACAGATTGGCCAATCAGAAACGACGAGCAAGAACAAGTTGCTCCTGTATATCATTGCACATCAGTACCATCTTTATACCGGTTGTTGAGACTTGGGAGCCGTCCATGATGTAATCAAGTTAAGAGGCGGTCTTCCATGACGACATTGACTAACAAGAAAAGTAGCCTCGCTTATCAAATGAAGCTCTCTTCTGATTTATTTAGTAGCAATGTTGTAATTTGACTAAGCAGTAAGCACGCATCTTGAATTTTTGTCAACTTACATATATACAAAATCAATTGAAATACAGGAGGGTTTACATTGCTTTCTAGAACATTCAGTGAAAAGAAATCAATGAAATTTCAGAATAATTCTTTGTTCGAAACATGACCCAAATGGCAAGTTAAAAGCACCAACTATTTTGGAGAGAATGGCATTACGCGCAGCTATTGAAAGCTAGCACTGAGTATTAAGCAAAGTCAAGTATGCCGTGCAAATTATGGCATGTCCTTGTTCAAGGCACGTCAGGGATTTCGTTTTCTTGACAATTTTAGACAAGTTTAGAACTTTCGATCGAACAGTGTACTGTGATATGCTACTGTGCTTCCATTGCCTTTGGTTGCTGAATTGCCATAGTTTTTTGTATAAAGTTGAATTGCTGTATTTAGAGGAAGTGTCATATTCTAAATGGGCTAGATATCTTGTCAAGCTACTCTTGCAAATAAGTTTGAAATGAACTCATCCCCTCGGTACAAATCATTGAACGTGTGGATCAGACATGATTAGGAATGCTTAATTGCGATTGGCAAACCATGAAATCCTGGTGAGAACACAAGTTCCATTGTGTTGTCGGAATCAGATTGATTTTCTGATGTTTATTTCTGGGTGGGAAAATGGATTTTAAATATGTCTGCAGATATTTTTGTATTGTCAATCCATGTCGAGAGGGATTACGATTGATAGTGAGATGCATGAGGGATTGTGGATACTCAATCATGTAAACGTTGATCGATCATTCTTCTTTCTGTGCAAGCAACTCTTACCACCTAATGTGGTTAGCTGATCAAGCAACGGCAATGCTATTTCGATTGCAGGACTTTCACAAATTTCAAGCAGTCAAGCTAAAACCGATTAGATCTTGGCATGATTTTTTAAAAAACCTTCCCATGTTAAAACCAAAATCAAGCATGGGCTCTTCTAATTATCCAATTTGAATACTGATAAAACTATTCCCTTCGTACCTCCTAAGTGCAAAATCTTCACCTGATTATTAATACGGAACAGGATATGGACTGTGGATCGATTACAGAAGAGAGGATGGGTGAATCAGTGGATCTGCCCACTATGCTACACCACTCAGAAAACATCGACGCATCTTCTCGCGCACTGCAGGTTCTCCAAGCGAATCTGGCAGGAGATCCAACGCTGGATTGGTCTAGACCTCGACATGTAGAACTGGGGCAACCGCACGTCCGTAGAGGATTGGTGGTATCACCTCATGCTGAGGTTGCCGAGACCGACCAAGACGCTGAAGTCGTTAATCATCCTCATTGCTTGGGAGTTTTGGTGCGAACGTAATGCAAAGATTTTCCAACACGTTGACACCATACCACCAAGGCACCAACCATTATTGCAAAGATCAAGAAAGAAGCGGTTACATGGGTGAGGGCAGGGGCAACCCCACTAGCAGAGTTCATATTCTAGGAAACGCGGACTAACTAGACTTTTTTCTTTTGGCTTTTGCTCTTTGTCCCTATAAATATGTTCTATCAATATATACTAGGCAAAGCTTTTGCCCCTTTTTTTTGAAAAAAAATCTAATTGGTTGAAAATGAATGAGTTGTTTGCATTAGAATCGGTGTCCCATAAACAATTATTATGTTGTATTAAAAAATTTTAGTCGTATAAATTTTACACATATTATTATATTGTAAACACTAATTACATTGCCATATATTTAAAAAATATTATCTTTTACTGTATCATCATAAAGTTTCTCTGACTACCGGTCCCACCTGTCATCGACCTGCGCTCGTAAGGCAGCCGAGCAGGGCACTCGTGTCGTACAAATACTAGTGTGTACCGCATCGCACTGAAATCACAACCGAACCCACCACAGATTCAAACGGGCGAACTCAAAATCGGCGATTTAAACGGCAATAAACGGGTGAAATTTTAGTGCATTTGCTCCTCATTCCCGTGAGTCCGTGACCCAAATTAAATGCCTTTATAATTACTGCCCTCCGATTCAAACCACCACCGTTGGATCAAGGGCTATATATATATATAAATAAAAGCTTCTTTCCCTCTTACGTCGGCACACGTCACGCAGCTGACCGCGCAAAGGAAAAGGAAGGCGGCGGCGGCGGGAGGAGGAGAGGATAAAAATCCCATCGCCGCGGCGGCTTCGAGGGCCTCGAAGCTCTCGTCTCCCACATCCCCCCTTCGCCTCGCGGGGCGGGGGCCGGAGGAGGAGGAGGAGGGCGGCCCGACGCGACGGCGTACGGGCGGAGGAGGACGGAGAGGGAGGGGCCGACGGCTCGCCGCCGTCATGGAGAAGGTTAGCCATCTGATGAACGGCGGCTGCGGCGGCGTGGGGAAGAGGAGGGGCCTTCCGGCGGCGGGGGTGGGGCTAGGGCTGCAGAAGCAGAACTCGTGGTCGCCGGACATGGAGAGGGACGAGGCGTGGGAGCGGCGGCGCGGGATGAACAAGGGATCGTCGTCGTCGTCGGCGCTGCGGCGGGTGAGGAGCGTCACGGACGACGACCTCGACGAGCTGCGCGGGTGCATGGATCTCGGGTTCGGGTTCGAGGCGGCCGGGTGCCCGCTGTGCGGCGCCGGGAGGAGCCGCCTGGTGGAGACGCTCCCCGCGCTGGACCTCTACTACGCCGTTCACGGCAACGCCGGCGGCGGCGGCGGCGGCGCGGGCGAGGTTTGCGCCGCCGCGAGCCCCTGCTCGTGCGGCGCCTCCTCGTCGGATGTGTCCGAGGAGTCGCCGCTCGGGAGCCCCATGTCCATACTCTCTCCAGGTATGTATACGTGTTTACCTCGTACTCGCAAGTCGCATCCACTTCATTGATACATCAATCGTGCTGTTGTTGATTATACTTCCATGATATATATCAATCGTGGTGTTGATTAGATTGAGAGAGGCCACTTCCTAGATGCAGAGCACCTGTGAATCTTATCAGAGAAAACAGAGATTTTTCTTTTCTGTAATAAATATGATTTAGGTCTCGTCGTCTCGATGTTTTGGTATTCGATTATTAGTTAAAAGTTTTGGATTTTGATTTCGATTCTGATTGATCGATGTGGTGCAGGAGACACGCCGGAGACGGTGAAGATGAGGCTGAAGCAGTGGGCGCAGGTGGTGGCGTTGTCCGTGCGCAACCGTTGCTGAACTCGTCGGCGACGCCACGCCATTGACATCTTCTCTTGCATCGAGAAGAATGCAAGAACGAAAACTTAGAAGGATAAGAAAAGAATATCCCCTGCCTCGATGCGTCGGATGCGGGAAAAAAAAAAGGAAAATGAAAGGAATTTAGGGTTTGGTGGGCCGCCGCCTTCCACCCTCCGGCCGGCTCCCCTCCTCCTATCTATCCTATCTTGAACAGTTCAAGTTCATTTAACATTATCATAATATCATTCAGTCATTCAGCCATCCTTTTTCTTTACTTTAGCAGATTTCTTGCTTATTCCCCTAATTCAGATCTTTATCAATCATCAATGTAAATCCATGAGGTAGACTAATTTTATTTCCAAAAAAATGATTATTGCTCATGCTCATTGCTCTCAAAATTCGATGAACAATCAACCATGCAAAAGTGAAATGTTCTCTGCAATCTGCATGGAGACGAAAGAATCTGAAAGCCTGAAATTCTTCTTGAGAAAGCGTCAGCCGTGAAGCAGAGCAGACGGCCCGGTTTGATGCAGGCTTTGCATCATCTGTACATCGTCGTCTTCGTCATCGATGTGCAGTGCATTCTACGGAGAATTGTTTGGTTGGGGTGGGCAGGACAGGCTGTGGTCCGGCTGGCGCCGAATGGGGGAGGAGGGATGCACGCAGCGCAGGCACGTACAGTTGGGCGTCCCTGTCCGTCGTCGTCTTGGCACGGCGATCTGTCTGTCTCTAACTGGTACGGGGGCTCTCGTCTCTTTCTCACTTCACTCTACACACACGCAGGGTCACACCCGTCACGTTCGTCAGGCGCACGGCGGCGTCGCAGTAAACAGCAACGCCGTCTCGCCGTGCAAGGTTTGCTGGTACTAACCCGGAGGTCAATCTTGTGTTAATTGGCGTGCATTGATGCGGGCTCTTTTTGAGTGGCAAACGGTGCTCGTCCGTTGGCGCCGCGACGTACAGGCATTACGGCTGTGTTTAGTACCTTCCAAAGTTGAAAGTTTGGGTTAAAATTGATACAATGTGACTGAAAAATTGTGTGTGTATGACAGGTTGATATGATGGAAAAAGTTGAAAGTTTGGATCCAAAGTTTGTATCTAAACACAGCCTACAGCTCACGATAGAATTGAAGAGCTATAGCTAGCTCTGTCAGTGAACGTAAAAAGTCAGTGAATGTAAAAAGAAAAGGCTCTGACAGTGCCCTTCAAGTGGCACGCGGGTGTGTCCTGTGCTGCAAAAACGATTTTACCGCGACTTCTGAGAGAATTTTAGCCTGACTAACTAACGTGACCTCTGAGAATGTTTGTTATACTATCCGACGCTGCTAATAATACCCAATTGGTGAAAGAATCGTGAGATGCTTGTCCAGATTCTCCAGGAGAGCTATTCCGATGAAGTGATGAGGTGAAATGAGATGCCCCCTCAGGTGCTGCACGTGTCTGGACAGCGAGTTGGATCAATCCCGGAGTAGGATGGCCACGACGGAGACGGACAGCTACACGAAACGTCCCCCAAATTCATGTCGCGTCACTGGCCGGCCACATGACCAGGCGCCCCCACATTGCTCGTGGTGTTATCCATGATAAGCAATGCGTTTCTCACAAATTTGGCACAATGCTATACAGTATACACACACAGCCCAGTGCCATGGTTCATATAAATTCAGATACATCTTGTCCAAGTGTTATCCATGATAAGCAATCCGTTTCTCACAAATTTGGCACAATGCTATACAGTATACACACACAGCCCAGTGCCATGGTTCATATAAATTCAGATACACGTTGTCCAAAATGGGTTCATGTAAATTCAGATACATCTTGTCCAAAATGGCAAGGAAAAGTACATATGTATAAGTTCAGATACATCTTATCCAAAATGGCAAGAGAAGTACACAAATTAAGAACAAGATGGTAACACCGACATAGGTTCCTACAGCAGCAAAATACAATACAGGTAGCAGGCACCATGGTTAAATAGGTTACATACAATGCTTGGATATAACTCAGACAACTAAAACCTATCGAGTGAATATCTCAGGCAGCCTGTCCGCCCAAGAGACAAGCCCACGGACTAATGGTTGGCCTACAAGGGCAGATCGATCTGGCGATTCTGAACTAACCTACTACTATACTCACTTTGAAAGGACTGTGTTCTAGTTACAGGTAACTGGCAGCTTCACCATCCTACTACTACTGTAATCACTGCTCACTTTGAAAGGACTGTGTTCTAGTTACAGGTAACCAGGTCTTCAGCTTCACCATCCTACAACTACTATGATCACTGCTCACATTGAAAGGACTGTGTTCTAGTTACAGGTAACTAGGCCTTTAGCTTCGATCACCATGGACCCGTCAGAGTCCTCCGAAGGCAAATTCTCTTTGCTGTCGGTCCAACTTGTCGGCTCATTCTCTCTAGAACCTGCAGAAACCATTAACAGTGCATTATTAGACTTTTACGCGGTGGTGTCTTGAAGCCAGAGGAAAATCTCAAACTAGGAAACGAAAAGCTTGGAAACTTCTCTCCCAAATTTACCAGGAACAATTGTCAGATAGTATGCTGACAGAAAAATAAGGAACCCCATTTTGAAGTCATTAAAACCCAACCAAAGGACAACATAAATTAAATAGAATTGAGTGGTGATTTGCTTTTTCAAAAATGAATTGTACAGTTTATGATAACATCAGAGGCTCCATTGTTTTCCTTTTTACCAAAATACAATTATGTCGAGTAGAAGTGGCAAGAGTCTACAAGAGGCTCTTTCTCAGAAATAGAAATACCAAGTATGTGTGCTACATACCAGTATTAGTTAGAGCAAGCATTCAGTAATTCAGTTTTTGTCCAATCCACATTTTTTCAGGGTTAGAGTAGCCTCTAAAAAACTGATGATTCTAAGTTTCAAACCATTTGTGGCACTCCCTTAGCTTCTGTACACATTCAAACTAGTGGTCTAAGATGTGGAAAAACAACTAGGACATGGAGGGAGTGCGGTTTGAAATTCTGCCGCCTCAGTGTTATGAGAACATATCCCTTTTTACAGAGAACAGTCAGTCTTCTCAGCAGAGTTTACAACGATTGGCCTAAGGAGGTATCCACAGATTTTACAGTGTTGAGAGATGTGTTAACTTCATGTAAAGTTCAGTCAAAATTGTCAGTTAAATTGATTGTAACAAACAATATTGACAGTTTCACAATTGTCTATCCTGTCATAACTTTTTTAAGTGTTATGTTGTGGAAAATACAGTTATACCCCACTACGATGGAAACATAGGCATTAAACTATACACACATCAAATAACTGTTTTTTGAATAAACTTTAATATTTGCTTGCCCTTCCAATGTTGCATTTAGTTAAAACTGTATTATTATAGATGAAATATCATTTAAATGGTTATAATTCAACAATGATGGCAGTTGACTGATCAATTCAAAGAATTTCTTTTTTAGTTTAAGCCATTTAAATGCTGCCACCTAACCCCTGATGTAGGAAAATGCAATCAATCACATCGACATCAGTCCTTGCCTCATTATTTCTCAACCCCCCACAAAGCTTTACTTCATCATTGCTTAAAATCCCATACTATAAGGTAATAGTGTGAAAGCCAAAACTCACGACCAGTAGCTATCAATCAGAACATAACGTTTGACATTCAAACAAGTGAATCAATAATTGTTAATATACACAGCATACATTTTCCTAACAATAATTGTTAAAATTCACACCATACATTACGAGCGAAAAATAATCATAGAGCAGAGCATATGTATGATATTGACAGATTAGGCTGTAATACTCATGTAAAGGGTAAAACTATCAGATTTTACAGAGTAAAACTTTTTGGTAAACAAGTAAGCTATCAGTAAAACAGAGCATGCCTAGGTTGCACAGCTTCGTTTTGTTTCTTGTTTGACATTAATAAGCAAAACATAGTACCTATCCAGAGCAAAAGATTTTTTTTCCAAGATAAGCAATTACCTCATTCTTTTGCTGCTCCAACATTTCATCCTGCACATTAGAATACATAAAAATAAGTTCAAATGCTAAAGCATAATCAAATGAATAGAGTAGCTACTGCCTACTAGTCCACTATCCTAAGGGAATAGAATTGTCAGGTCTTAAGGCACTTATGTTTGAATCATGTAAAGCCTTTCTTTTGTTTTCCTTCTCAGAAGTACTTACCATGAAAGGCGGACAAAACAAGGGCAAACCTCAAAGAATGTAATAAGACAGTGCAAAATGAAATAATCACAATTGTGGGTGTGGGTGCAATGCAACATTCATAAGTACTATTTTAGTTAGACTTGCAATTAAGATGCATGATAAGCTACGTATATTACAATTTATAAAATGAAATATCCTGTACAAAGAAGGCAAGCAACTAACCAGCAGTCCACCACCAAACTATTTAAACAGTTTAAAATGGAACCGACTTTGATTACTCTACCATGCCTTCAGTTTTGTTTAGAACTAACTTTCAAGCGTGGAACATATTTCATGGTAACTTGTCAGTTTAGAATTAGTTTCCAATTTCAAGAGTAGACTATAAAGTAAGGGGCTACACTAGAGTATAGCGTCAATACAACTTCTGTCACTAAAAGAGTGGTATTGTCTATGTTCATAGCTAAAAAGATACTCTTTTAAGGATGGAGGAAGTATATGAAAACACCTATAATATTTCTATTGGTAAGGACCTCACTTGGTCAAATGCTCTGGAGACTACTGCTAGAAACTAAGTGGACATGTGGCAAACTAGTGACAATTGAGAATAACAAAAACTGATAGTTTAAGATTTCAAAACAGCAATTTTTTTAGTTTGATGATTAGCAACTTGCCACCATGTGACAGTGACACAAGGGTCCCTCTGAAATCAATGGCGTATCATCAAATCCCCAATCTAAAGAGTGGCAGTTCACAGGCAAATGAATAATATGCCAGCATCAAATGCTTCATTGGAATTCCATATGTTTGAAAGTTTAAAGATTACCAAAGTGTACTACGTACTTCAACTCATGAAGAAGTATTTCCAAATTATAACGAACAAAACTCAAACTAGAAATGTAAACAGAACATGGAGAGTACCTGCTTTTTCTGGAGTTCATCGTTCAGCTCCTTAAGTTTTGCTACCTCAGCTTCCAATTCCATCATATATGCCTGCTCCATATCAGGAAGCACAAATTAAATCCATAAAAAATGACAAAAAGTTTTAGAACATCAATAGCAACTTAGCAAGGAGAAAGATATGCTTATGTTTTATAAACACCACTTTGTTTTATGTTTATAGCGTGTATACTAATTTTAGGCTAGGCTTAATACGTGCAAAAGATATGTTTATAGCGTTTATACTAATTAAATTTCAGTATGTTTGAACCAAATACAGCATAAACTTTGCAAATATGAGGCACATATCCTAGTTAGCAAATAAAACGATCAGCATGATGATAAACATTTCTCACGGTTATTACTATTTGTTAGTTGTCGCATCGAAAAGAAAAGAAATGCTTAAAAGGGAAAATATATGTGCTACACATGTCACTACAGGCAAGTACTAGAAGGCAAGGCAATTCGACAAGTAAATGCTAAACAGTTGCAAGTTGCAACAAAAAGGACTTTTCACCTGTTTCCTCTGGCGCGACCTCGCGGCAGACTCCCTGTTCTTGATCATCCGCCGCTGTCTTCTCTCGACAACCTTCTCGATGCCCGGTGCCTTCCTTCCCCTCAGCCCACCTTTGAAAACGTACGGCACCGGCGATGGCGACAGCGACGACAGGTCCCCGCCTTCCATCTTGCCGAAGCCATTGGACGAGACCGGCCTCACCGGCGAAACCAACGACGCGGCACCACCACCGCCGTGTCCGACAGCTCCCGAGACCAGCCCATTTCCCAGCGAGAGCGGAGGCACCATCGGAGGGAACACATTGCTCTGACCGAACAACATCGGCGTCTGCTGCTGCGGCGGCGGCGGGGGAGGTACAGCAGCCGCCGTAGGAGTCGGCGCCGGCGGGACGGGCGGGACCGACATGTCCTCCCTCACCACGCCGGCCCGCACGAGGAACTCCTCCAGCGTGATCTCCCCGAGCGTCTGCTGCCGGTGCGCCGGCGGCGGGGGCTCCGCGGCGGCCGGCGCGGTGGAGGCGCCGCCGCCACCGAAGCACATCATGTCGCGCCAGACCTCGTCGACGGTCTTCTGGCTGAGCGTGCGGGGGAGGGTCAGCGACCCCTGCCTCTGAACGGGCGGCGCCCCCACCGCCGCGTGCTCCGCCGCCGCCACGGACGCCGTCGTCGCCGTCGTCGTCGTGGCGGCGCCGACGGCGTGCGACTCCTCGGCCGTCCAGATGCTGCGGAGGAGCTCGTCCATGTTCATCGACCCGAAGTCCTTCCCGACCCCGCCCAGCGTGCTCTGGAACTCGTCGAACGTGAGCGAGTACACCGACCCCTGCCTCGCCAACGGCAGCGGCGTCATCGGCGGCAGCTGCTGCTGCCTCCCGCTCCCTCCCGGAAAATCCATCTCCAAACTCCAACCAACCAATCCCCAACACCCCAGCACCAAACTCACCCAACCAAACCAATCGAAAACTCCGCACGGGGAGCAACCACCACGCCTGCTTCCCCGTAACGCAACGAGGGATCAGAGACGGGAACCTGAGGAGAGGTGGGATGTGGAGCTCTGGCGTTGGTGAGGAGGACGCGGGCGCCGCGGCGAGGCGAGGAGAGGAAACCGGACAGGTGTCGGCAGCGAGGAGCCGTGTGGGGGGGGCGTTTAAAACGCCGGCCTCGAGAGCGACGAAGTGACACCCTCCAATCTCGATTAGTGCGTGCCGGGTAATAAAGTTTTAGTATACTCCTTCCTCCCCTTTTCGCACCGCGCACACAGCGATTGGTCCACCACTCGTACTCCGGTCATCAGATCTCGCGGGGGCTTCGCAGTGGGGCCGGGGTGTCAGTGGTGTGGGGGATCTGCGGGGTGGGGTGGGGTGGGTCGAGTGGGATAAGGTATTTTAATCGTGTTTGGTTCAATTGGTTGGGATGCTGGACTCAACGTGGTGGGGACCACACGGGGGGGAGGATTGTGCGCGGGGGACGCGAAACGTGGCGGCATCCGCACGATGCTGACGGGTGGCGACGCGACGGACTGCCCTATGGGAGGACGCGAGGTGGGAGCATCTGTGCGGGCGGGAGGGGACAGGTGGACGGTGCGGATCGTGGTGGAACCACCACCAACCAGGCAATCAGCCGTGACGCGGGCCGCGTGAGAGGGAGCACCTAGCATTGGGCTGGATAGTGTGGCCTTGGTGGGAAGGGCCTAACTGCTTTGCATTAGGCCTTTTGGATAAGGAAAAAGTACACCACAGGTCCCTCAACTTGTCATCGAGTTACAAAATCGTCTCTCAACCGCAAAACCAAAACCAGATACATGGCATCCTCCAACTTACAAAAATCATGCACTCCAGATCCTTCGATGGTTTTAACACCGGTTTTATCCTACGTGACGGCTAAGTCAACATGAAACCCACATGGGACCCAGATGTCAGCCTCTTCTTCCCCTCCCCTCTCCACCTATCTTCCTCTATCTCTCTCTTCTTTTCTCACTTTTCTCCTCATCAGTTGGGCAGGGGCAGCTGGCCGGTGGGAGGAGGCCGGTGGGGGAGGCGGGAGTCCAGCGGCCGACGACGGGCGACGAGGCGGCGGCGACGACGACGCGAGAGCAGGAGGGCCTCAACGCCGGGCGCAGGCTTCTACGCGCGCGCCAGCAGCGGCTACGTGCGCGCCACCGACAGGCGTAGATGGGCGGCCGCCTGACAGCGGCCTGCGCGCGGATGAAGGAGAGCAACGCGAGCGTCTTGCGGTGCTTGTACCGCCGCCACGCGAGCTGTACGGCGACGGCCGCCCACGTACGCCACCCGACCAGCATCTGCAGCGGCGGCGGACGTGGAGCCTGCGTCGATGGCGGCAGCCGCATCAAGATACTCTGCAGCTTCGGCGGCCGCATCATGCCCTGCCCATCCGACGACGCCCTCAAGTACATCGACAGCGAGACCCGCATCCTCGCCGTGCCCCGCTCGATACCCTTCTCGCCGCGTGCAGATTTGAAGAAGAAGGTGGAGGAGATGTTCAGGACGGAGGTGGCGGTCGTCGCCGAGGACCTCGACGTGCTCGTCTCCGTCACCTGGGACGAGGACCTGACCCACATGCTCGACGAGTACGACTGCTCCAAGGAGAAACGGTCGCCGTCGGCGTCGCCACGGTTCCGCGTCTACATCTTCTCCTCCCACGGTTCCGCATGCACCACGACAGCAGCTCCGGTGCCCTCGCCGAGGAGGAGGAGGACGTGGGGTGCAATCGCCACGACGTCGTCGCTGCTCCGGTCCCCGTCGTGCGTCGTGGAGAAGGACACCTCGTCGGCGTGGTTCCTAGGATAGCCGTTCCGCGTCGAGAGGTGAGAGAGAGAAAGGAGGGGAAGAGGGAGGGTGCTGGCATGGCATCCTGACATGTGGGGTCCCATGCTGACTCAGCCGCCACGTAGAATAAAATCGGTGTCAAAACCACTGAGAGACCTACAGTGCACGGTTTTTATAAGTTGGAGGATGTCATATGTCTGGTTTTGTGGTTGGGGAACGATTTTATAACTCAATGACAAGTTGAGGGACTTTCGGGGTACTTTTTCCTTTGGACAAAGTACATCGAGTGGAGTAATAACAAGTACTTCCTCCGTATATAAATATTTGACGTCATTGATTTTTTTAAATTTGTTTAATCGTTCGTCTTATTCAAAAATTTTAAGTAATTATTAATTCTTTTTCTATCATTTGGTTCATTGTTAAATATGCTTTTATATATACATATAATTTTACATATTTCACAAAAAATAACGGTCAAACATATTTTAAAAAGTCAACGGCGTCAAATATTTAGGGACGGAGGGAATAATTCAGTATACGTGTATAAAATATTATTCTCTCCAAGAAAATCAACATCTACCTCATCGCAAAGTCTCCTCATCGCGATATTGTCGATTAGAAAAATAAATTAAGCTCCTCTGAATATCTCCCTATGCATAATAATAACAATATATCCTCTCCTGATTATCTTCGTGTAGATAAATTATCGCTGTCTCGTGAATTGGCAAACTAGGCCGGGCTGAGTCCGGCGATCCTGGCGCACTGGTGAGCGACGACGTCGGCCGTAGACTTGCTGCGCTCGAGCACCACCTCGTAGCCGTCGGTCCAGCTCTCCATCCCGGGCGCCATCACCTGCCAGAAGAGGCCACCGGCGCACGCGCCGCCCTCCCGCGCCGACGCGTACACCGCGTCGTACACCGTGCGGAAGTAGGCGTCCCGCGCCGCCACCGTGTACCCGTTCGACCTCGCCGACCACCCGAACTCCGTCACCAGCAGCGGCTTCCGGAGCACCGCCGCCGAGTCGCGGATGTGGTCGGCCATCCACTTCCTCATGAACGCCACCTGCTCGTCGCTGCTCGCGCCGGACACCCTGCCGCAATATGATTTTTCACCAGTTAAATTAACCATATCACACTGGATGGATGGATTAATTTGTCATTCGTGTGCTATACCATTGGTCGGGGTAGGAGTGGATCGTGGCGAAGTCGACAGCGGGGACGAGGTTGTTGGCGATGAAGTCGGTGCCGACGGTGTAGCCCGGGTTGAAGTTCTTGTGCATCGACTCGCCGTAGAACCCTTCCAGCCCGATCTCCACCATGTGGTTCGGATCCACGGATTTCACGTACCCGGCCATCTCCGTGACCCAAGCCTGCAAGCACATTGATCAAACGATCACAAATTAGTACATCTTGCAACACATGGCGTGATCGGGCCGGTGACGAATTAAACGAGGGTTAAAACTGAGTTTTGTTTACCTGAAGTGTTTTTCCGGAGAGGTCGCTCTGGCAGCGAGGCTCGTTGATGAGCTCCCATGCAAAGATGGTCGGATCGTCCTTGTACGCCACTCCGGTTATCTTGTTCACTCTGGTCAGGACGGCCTGTTGCATGCATGCGAGCAGAACGTCAAATCGACTAATCGAGGACGTTTTTTACTGTCAGATATGTTTTTTCCTCTCTTTTTTTCAGGTTATAAACTGTCAGCGTATCGGATGTTAGCTCGTGCCTTGACATGGTTTTTGTAGAACTGTTTGGTCACGTCGCTCCGGAAGAAGTCGTCGTCAGAGCCCAGGTTGTGTCCCTGATCCCTAGCCCACTGCACGTACTGCTTCTTCCCGCCGAATCCGTCCCAGTTGTTCACCAGGCTCAGTATCAGATACAGCCCTCGTTTCTTCGCTTCGGCTATCACAAAATCTAGTCCCTGAATCACACGACAACATTGTTATCCAAAATTGTCACCATTACGTACGTACGCATGCATGGTGTACACAACACGTACGCAACGATACCATGAACATGTCCTCGTTGTACACGCCGGGGGACTTCTGCAGCGGCCGGTAGCCGCCGTCGCTGAACGCCCACGTCCTCACCAGCGTCGCGCGGAGGCTCGCCGCCTGCTGGAGGACGCCGGCCGCCTTGCTCCGGTCGCCGGGGTCGGACGCCATGTACATGAGCCAGTACGCGTTGAAGCCGTTCGAGTAGAACGGCCGGCCACCCACCGTGAACCGCGTCCCGCTCGCCCTCGCGAATTGCCCGTTGGCGACGTCGGCCGCCTCGCCGGCGTGCAAGAGGACGGCTGCCGCGATGGCCAGGACGACGACGCCCAAAGTTGGCAGCAAGATTACTCGCCGTTTGCTCCCCATGATACGATCTATGTTGTATTATAATGGATGTTGCAGTGATCGATCGAACACAACGTAGATTTGGATATGTGTACTGCCGTTGTGCATGAAGTGCTTCTTTATATATAGATATGGCTAAAGCTTGCCGGCCGGCCATGACATCATGGCCACGCAGGGTTTCCTGTTCTGGTGTAGCGGCAGCCGGCATGAAACTAACTCTCCTGTATATGTAAAGATGGTTTGTGGTGTAAGCTAGAATGGGTTTCATGAAACCAATCCTGCAGATTAGGCTATGTAGAGAATGCGAGGCCGTTAGCTGGAGGAAGACGAAAGTATGTTCCAATGTCCCATGCTCGAACGTATAAATAGCTCTCGTATAGGACGGTTCTGTTCTGGTATAAATTAACGTCATACAACCGGACTATTGCACTTTAACTTATCAGGGGTCAGGCTGTGACCTAAGGTTCTGGTTCAACTCAACTTGAACCCATAGAACAACAAAATAGAAGAACGCTGTACTCCTACTTATGCAAAGAGAAACTCTGAGAACCTCTATGCCATGAAGGTACTCCCAACACAACTTCAATTTGTACCATAAAAAAGCGAGCAACCTGGCGTTCAATGGCCTGCATACAAAATTTTGGCCCCAGCGGATTGTATATGGATTGTATATGTTCGTTTTGTTTTTTCATCAATGTATTTATGCCCATGCAATCATCACTTTATATACTCATGTATAGCTAGTGCTACAGCAGTTACTTTGCAGTCTCCCCCAAATGTTGCCAACATTGACTAAACTCCAACTCTACATCAGTTCTGGGTGAGCAAAGGATAATCTGAAATTCTAAATAGACAATCACAAATAACTATTGGCATCCTGGATGTCTAAAAAGGAAACGTATCGTATGCACACAAGTCGTCTTTTCTTGTACACACCAACTAACAAATATCGTAAAAAATTCTTTAAAAATAATGTACCTTTAGTAATATTCCATCTACACATAAAATCCAATCTTTAAACTTTTGGTGAAACTTTTTAGTTAATGTGCGTAGTATGTACACAAAAAACTTGTATGCATAAGATATAGTAACATCTAAACAGAACCACACGGGCTTCAAAGAGCAAAACTGGACAAGAGAGCAAGCTGCAGTCGTAGCTTGCAGCTCTCATAACCTCTTTCAATACAATATATCAGTACAAGCCCCAAGGCTTGCTTTGCTTACAGAATCCCATGGAAAGATACATATCAATCAGAATGAGAACCACTGAACCTGGCCAATCTGGTGGTGACTAGCATAAAGCTCTCGAACTCGAAGGAGCTTCTATTGGGTGTACAGAGATTGATTGTAGGCACAGAATAACGGGAGCAATAATCCACGAAATTAACTACAATATAGATTTTGCTCGATGACTGATTTATACCACTCCACTGGCACTACAGGTATTTCATCGATCAGACCATGCAAATTCTCTTTAAATAACCCCGTCACCTCCAGCTGCCACAGCAAGGAAAAATCTGACTTCCTGATTAATTCTGATTTGTTGGCTGACATGAGCTGCAACGTCCTGAAGATTCATGCGAAATGTTAATAAATTTTCAAGTAAAAATGCTCTAATAAGACAGGCAACACCACAACAGTACATTGCACCACAATTAGTTTACCATTATACGAGCAAAAACTCACCAAAAAGTTTCTACAAAGGTACATCCATTGCTACGCCCACGGTACCAACTATGTCACAACTAGCAAGCACGATAGGTGAAACAGCAACTGAATGATTTGCCCGTTCTCCTCAAGTATGATGCTTTCTTGGTTGCTCTCACTCCACATTGATCTTCACTCACAGAAACTGCACTACGCATGTCTTGCGCTTTCTTTTGAGCAGTGCGTAGTTTGCCCAAGATTCTATCCATCGATGATGACCTCTTCTTTTCAAGCTTCATCTGAAAGTACAGAAGGCAGAACATGTAACCACAACTTATTACATTAAAAAGACTTAATTCCATATAATCAAAGAAAAAGTAAACCTTCAGGAAAATCAATTATACAAGCATGCATTTTTATGGTACAGAAGTACAAAAGACTACCTCTAACTTTCGAATTGCTGCCTCTGCTTTTGCTTTCTGCAGATTTTCCCAAGCAGTGATCTTCGCTTCCTCCCTCTTGCACCTTGACAGAAATAAAGTCTCAGCAATAGAACAAGTCACAGTTTGTGGCCTTAATTAGTAAGTCAATATTACATACTAAGCACTGCAAAATTTTCTCTCTTTTTTTTTGCTCTGTATTTAAATTATGACACTATTGACTTTATCTGCTCAAACTTTTTAAACTTTGACCATCAATAGAACTCAAAATATTTAGTATGAAAACATAAAAATCATATGGGTAGATTTTTCATTAATAAGTACTTTTATAATATTATAATCTTGTTAGATATTACCATTATATTCTAATAGAAAATTAATGATCAAAGTTGCACACCAAAGACCAAATAAAGTCAACAGTATCATATATTTAAATACGGAGGTAGTACTATTATCTGTCCGGAGTTCTGGTATTCACGAAGGGTAAAGAAAGAAGTAGGGGAAACATATTTTTCTTCTGTTCAAAGGGAAAAACAGGCACAAGGTTTAGGTTGCATAACTGAATACTAAAAAGTAGGGACTGAGAAAATTTATAGATAAAAAAAAGGCTAAATTTACATATGACTAAGTGGATATCTCATCCATACAACATTGGTTCTTGATTATATTAGTATGGTTTTGTCTTTTATTCATTTTTTTCTGCCACCTAGCTAGTTAGACCGTATAAAAAAAAATAACCATTTCACAGTCTAGTCCCTTATATTATAAATTGGAATGCTGTGAAAATAACTTTATAAAAGAACCTGTGGCTTACTGGCTTGTGATCCTATGGCATCTTGAAATAGATTTGCGCATTAAAATCAAATTTGTTGCATAGTATTTGTTTCTTAAGAAGGAAAATGAGTAAATATTTAATTTGCCACTTATTGGCAGACCATATAAGAGTCAAATCGAATTCCGCTTGCCTATGTATATGTACAAGCATACAACCAAATCAGCTTCAGCAGGAGACCTGGAGTGTGGCATAGACTTCTCTTTCAGGTTTCAACAAAAAGAACATAAGACTTTCAAAATTCAAACCAACAGAGAAGTATAGTCACTATGGCACTGACAGTAGGTTGGCAGTATAGGATTATGAGTTACAATATGAAGTACATGACTGTATGCTGGTCTCTAGGCATAAATCAAATTTACAAATAAAAAAAATGATAAACATGGGGAAAATATCTTACTTTGATACGCAGCTTTCTCTTTCTTTTTCATCAAAAGATGGAGCTCGAGTCTCAATTGTTTTCTTCCTCCACTCGACAATATTTGTTGACCGCCTATCAGACCCTCGTGTTACATGTCGCTTGGACCACCGGGTCACAGTTACTTGATCATCTACCTGGACATCTCGGACTTCAGGTTTAAGTGCATTACTATTTGGTTCTTTAATAGGATGTCCTGATGGTAAACTGGAACATGAATGTCTTGCTTTTGGAGAAGACGATATACTGTCATCAGGACTCATTTGTGTGGCAACATCTTTCTTTATTATTGGACTGGAAATGGCAGGAGTTTCTCCTCGCAGGCCTTGCAATTTATCATCTGTGCGCAGGGTACAAATTTGTTAAGAAATTTAATTAGCATATATGAAGATACATCTGAAGGTTGTTGAATTAACTGTGGAAAATCCCCAATACATAAAAATGCCATAACATTTTTATTTTGGTTGACAAAAATCTAATTATATCCATTTCATTGTTAAGCAAGATGGAAATAACATAATCCTGATGTACACTATCTGATGGCATACATGGTTATGGAAAGTCTTTTATAATGTCCATCTAAACGACACAACTAGCCTTCTGAAGACAGAAGATCACAGAACACATCAGACACTTGAAAGGCCTTAGAACTGGAAAAAACAAGATGTTACAAGCCGATTCAAATGTTCCCAAACAATCTACCAGTCCACATGTCAAAGAATTAAATGTTCAAGTGCATATGCATCAGGTGTTTTTGCATGCTTAGAAATGTGAACAGGTAAGATCAGTCTAAACAGAATGGATGCTCGGATTTGAGTGCCAAGGGGTTGTATGATTGAAATCTCCACCTTTGTGCTACACTGTATTGATTGAAGAACTTTAGATGCATTAACAGGTAGTAGTATGACGTTATGCATGTGAGCATCTTTCTTATTATAGTATCTCACTGCAAAAATGACAGGATATGCAAATAGCATAATGTCATGCATGCTCACTAACCACTACAAACTAAAGTGGAAAGTTCAATTTGATGATACCAAAACATATCACAAACGCCATGCACTCTTTTGGCCTATCCCAACATCAACAGAAAGTTGGAAAGTCGCGTATTCGAAGCTTGTGATAACAGGCAAGCTGTTACTTGAATTATGAGTCCACGCTGGACAAGTGACACAAGCTGCAAAACTTATATCAAGCGTCCTCATGAAATCTTATGCAAAATAACAAATGTGCAGACTGCAGTAGCAACAGAATCAGAACGCATGACAAGATACCAACAAATAAATGATAACAATGGAGAAGGGACTGCCGTAATCAAACCTTGTGCAGTTTCTTCTGAGATATTAGCAAAGGCGGATGCTTCCATAAGTGTCTCTGTCCACGCATGTATACTTGCTGATCTCAAGATATATGGGTCCTTCTCTGCAGAGTAAGATCGGCTACTGCCATCATCCCCACTTCTACCTCTTCCACTGCTGAAGTCACCATTGCGCACGTGCTCTGGCATGAGAACCCCAGCAGAAAAAGGAGAATGTGCTGCAAAATTAGCCGCTGCCAGAACACCATCAAAGCAGGGCACAAACGGCGAAGCAGCCGCATAAGCACCCGGTATTCCGCCTGGGTGGCCAAGTGGGCCACTCTTTGACTTGGGCCGTCTATGGTGAGGCGCCGGGGCTGACATCCTTCCAATCCCATCACAGGAAACTGGACTTAGGATCCACTTCTCTGCATCCTCCCATTTTGATGGCAGCTTCCTCCCATTGTTGAAAGGAAGAACAACCCCACTGCCCCCATACCTCCTATTGGTACCACCTCCAAGTGGCACCCGCTCTGAGCTCCATCCCTTAGGGTACTGCATGGTGCTAGCGCAATGCCGGTGGTAGTTTGGGGTACCGGGGCTCGGGAATGTGCCTGATCTGCTCCGTGATGACGCTGTGGAGCTCTTGCTCATTCCTCCAACATTACCCCCAACCAAGCACCTCGGCGAGAGCACCAGCAGTTCTATGCTCCCACCACCTCCGCCGGTGAGCTCATGCTTGGCCGGTGAAAGCAGCAACGCAGCCCCCTCCGCTCTGAGCTTCCGCTGCTTCTGGCACTCTACCAACCAACAGATTCCAAACCGAAGTCAGCAATCACACTCAACAGAGCACAAAAGCAGCAACCGTACTACAAGGGAAGATTAATCACCTCTCAGCGAGTGGGAGAAGGAGTCACTGACCGCTTCCCCCTCCTCCTCCTCCGAGCCCGCGTCGCCGTCGCCTCTCCACTCCTCCTCCTCCTCTTCCTCCTCACCTGCGTGTGGAAGAGGTTAGCTGGCGACAAATGTGCGGGCACTGGGATAACACAGCACACACCAAGCCGATCGCCCGCCCACCAACCTCGCGGTGCCGTGCCACGCGAGGCGTGGCTGCCGATGCCGATGCCGTGCACGCGCAGCGGCGAGGGCGCTGGATCTGGATCGGTCGCGCCGCGAGGCCCCACCGCCGGCTGCAGAAACCGCCAAGAGAGGGCAATCGCCTCAGCAATCAGGAGAAATCAAAACCACCGAACACCACTGCACAGTCGCCGCACTAGTCACACACTCACACTACCCCAAGCAGCAGAGACGAATTCGAAACAGCGAGCGATCCGTAAGCCGGCGAATCGCACCAAAATAGCAATGATAGAAAAGCGACGAAGCAGTCAGATGCGGCGCTTTTGCCTAGCTTTGTTCAAATTCGCCCGCCCTCTTTCTCCTTTTTGGCTTTATCTTTTGCTTGGGCGGGATGGTTTCGCCACTAACCTCGGATCCGCCATGTGAGCGGCGCGCGTGGCTGGATTGGATCTATTGACTTCTACCGCGCCCGCCCGCCCCTTGCACTAAAATACTCGCGATGCGCGTGCCGCAGCCATCCCTAACACGACAATGCGGCGGAGGAAGGGGAAGGTTAAGAGCGGGATATGTTTATTACTGCTGCGGCCGCCGCCGGTCGCCTTCGCCGCTGCGGCGGCGGCTTCTTCCGTCGTGCGGGATGGTGGCGTCGGTCGGCCGCGGCGGCGGCGGAGGCGGAGTCGGGGAACCCTAGCCCGGGCTCGAGGCGTCGCATGCTCGAGCGCGCGGTCGCATTCCCCGATGAAGCAGAGGGGGTGGTGGCAGTGGAGTGGGGGAACTGGGAAGGAGCAGCCGAGGTGTGGACGCGGCTGCCGACGAGTGCGGCAAGGTTTCAACCGGGCGCGAGGGGGCATTTCACACTCACACATGGGTTCCTCGCTCTCGCTGCCAGGTGGGCCCGTCCCCCGCACCGCTCGCTTCCAGTACAGACATGGAAGGTGGGACCCACGGGCCCGGGGTTTTGACTTGGCGCGAATCTTTCTGTCGGGGTGGTAGAGGGAGTAGTACTATTCCTTTGCTTCGTTTAAAACCCAGCCGCGAACACGTGGACACCGTCCGCGTCGTGGACCCCGCGTGTCAGCGGCGGATCACGTGGCGTGTCAGGCGGAGCCGGGTGCGTCGGAAAGGTGGTGGGTCCCGCTCGATACACTGCGACAGTGTGTGGGCCCCCCATCGAGGTGAGACTGTGAGGTCGGGTGATGATACTGCCGTGACAGTACCAGTGCCATGCTTGCCAGGGCAGGTGCCCCAGACGCGTGCAGTAATAAACGGCGCTTTGCTTTGCTTTCTCCACTTCTCCGTGGCGTCTTTCAGGCCCAGCGTAAAGGATTCCTGCTCCGAGCGATTTTTTTTTGTTTCAAATGGTGTAATTCTAGCATCTCTTATTGATTTACAGGTCAGGTTAGTACAATCTGGGTTGTTCAGCTGCAGTAGAAGGATAATACATTCTTGATTTACCGCTCCAGCTAATACAGTACTACTGCCCCTGCCACTATTTTACTGCTAGGCGCGTGCTGTGGGCTGTGGCATGATCATGGTCAGCTAGTACTCCTACTGAAAAAGGTTCACGGAGAGAGAGGCGTTAAACAGTCTAGGGAATTGGTGGAATCATGACACTTGTGCTCCCCCTGCTCCTCTCTCGAGTGACATACTACAACAGTGGCACTATGCTATCCAGCACGGTTGGCCGGTGATGCTTTTAAGGAGAAATCAAGTCACGCAGTAAGAGCAGGTACAATAACGCTGTTAGCCAACTATAAACACATTTTAATAAGAGCAGGTATAAAGCCTGCTTATCTAATATTTTAACATATATGATAAAGAGAGGGAAAGCAGAGAGAACAAAGCGGACGACAATTCAGTCGCCGGCTCAAGCACGAGCGCCTAGGGGCTCTGCCACTGCCGCTCGGGATAACCAATCGAAAATTAGAACTTGAACATTCAGAAGTTACCAACACCTGACAGGATGCGTTGGTTAAAGCATGGGTGTAGCCAATTGCTGTATCTACCGTTGTTTAGTTATCTCTTAAATAATGTGGTGAATTTTGGAGCCGGCAGTTAACTCTCTCTACTATTGAACTTGCTCTAAGATAAACGATGAGAGAGAGAAGCAGCGGGCTACAGATCTGTAGCCAGCTGCAGCACGGATTCTAAGATACACTATGTGTATGACATGTGGGATCATATATTAATAGTATAGTAAGCAACTATTGTATGAATTGGCTATTAGATTGGTTATAAATGAATTGGAGCTGGTAGTATTCTGTACTGTTAGACTTGCTCTAATGCGGTGACCCAACAATCGTGTAGCAGGGGCATCGATCGGCATCAGCATCCGTACGAGTTTGCAATCAAGTCATCAACACGCCTGGTTCTCCGTCAGCGTCAACGGACGTCTTCTGCTCTTCATGACGAACAGTTCTTTCCGGTATACGATGTGCGTACATCAGCTGCAATTTGGCACGGCTCTGGGTTGCGAAAGCAAAGCTTCGCGCTTTTGTAGTAGGGCCGATTGGTACACATGATTGCGCTGGATCATCACGGACCAGCCTGTCCGTTGTACGCTCGTAGTCGTATAATAAACTCAACAGATCACGGACGAACCGCTCGTGATAGTCGGACGTCCAGAGAGTGATCGATGATCATACATGGCAAAGAAAGTTTACTGATACAATCACGGAGTGTTTATGTTCGTCTTCTTCTCCACAATGCACAATCTCGACTCCGCCCTTATCATTGGGGTGAATCCACTAGAGATAGGCCGCCGCAAGTGAGATATCATATTGTAAGTTTTCTTTTAGATGATTGCAGGGAAACATCACGAAGTCATGGCTTTCACTCGCAATTTGTTCGTGTTATGCTTACCGATCAAGATTAGCTGATTACTCAATAAATACACACACCCAAGATTCAGCCTGACCAAGAATCACGGTACTACTTATTCACCGCCCTGCTACCGTTGTTGGCCTCCATGGCTACCCGCACGTGCCCTCCACGTCGACCGGCTCCGCCTCTTCCCCAGGTTCGTTGCAGCGAACACGCTGTAAATTTTGATATATTAGGTTATTCCTAACTCAAAACACTACACATAGTTTCCATAAACTCTACATCATTAAAAAACTGGTACTAGACACTACTATTCCAATACAAACATCACTATATATATTTAAATTTAATGCTATTTATCTCATATGATGTCTTGGATGTTGTGTAGAAACCAAGTCTCATATAAGACAAGGTTTCCTTCTCTTTTCTCATGTATTCACTTTCCACATCATTTTTCATCCTAGGTGACAGTTTTATTTAATGTTACGGATACCATCCTAGTCATTGGGTTGGAAATGACCTACTTATTATAGTTGGATTTGCGGCTTTGGAAACTTTCTAGCTTCACTACCGATCGGTTAGATGCGTAGTCGTCGGGATGTAGACGGGCTCATGGAATGACGGGGTGGAGCACTGGTTCGACCCTGGCACGGCATGCAAGAAATGCCACAGCTAGTGGAGGGTGGAGCGCTGGTCCGCCACCGGCGAGTGGCGTGCAAGAAACACAACAGTGGGATTGGGGGAGAAAGAACGAAGGGGAAAAGGGTAATCTCATGCACTCCTTAAATTTTCCAAAGCTGTCTCAAACGTCAAATAAAAAAAGATGGAGACAATATATTTTTTTATTCTAATATCACATAAGCGTCACGTGAGACAAAAACTAAATCAACACCATCACGTAGGCATTACGTCAGCAAACCTCCGATGATTTAAATTGTACCGGTTTTAGTAGTTGAGGGATCGAGATATCCGATATTACGATTTTGAAGACTGGTTCACTAGTTTTAAGGTAATCAAAGTGGACTTATTTCCTCCAAATAAAATCTGCCACATGGGCCTCCTTTAAGTGTCTAAAGGTTAGATGGGCCGAGCGGTTCTCCCTTCTGGGCCTAACCGGTAATTCTCTCTTTCTCTCTCTACAAATTGGGCCCGAAACGCTGAACCGTTAGCCCGCACGACAACTCTAGGTCAGCCACGAATCGTTTCACCTCACTTCCCACCACCTCTCGCCGCTTCGGGCATCGTCTCTCCCAGCGCCGGCCGGACCGATGGCGGCGGAGCCAGCAGCGGCCGAAGCCATGGATGTCGAGGCGCCGGCGCGACCAACCACCACCACCAGCACTGTATCCACCTCGAAGGGCAAGTCCCCCCACGACCTCCTCGCGGAGACCCGCGCCTCCGTGGAGGAGGTCGCCGCCCGGATCCTCGCCATCAAGAAGGACGACGCCCCCAGAACCGAGCTCCGGGAGCTCGTCGCCCAGATGTCCCTCCTCCTCATCACGCTTCGCCAGGTCCGTGCCGCTCCCGAATCCGCAACGCCTCTTCGCCGGGAACCCCTCGCGTTAGATCTGCTGTTTGCTCACTCGAGGGTTTGGATTTGCGCAGGCGAACAGGGAGATACTGATGGAGGAGGACAGGGTGAAGGCGGAGACGGAGGCGGCGAAGGCGCCCGTGGACTCCACGACGCTGCAGCTGCACAACCTTCTGTACGAGAAGAACCACTACGTGAAGGCCATTAGGGCGTGCCTCGACTTCCAGACCAAGTACCCGGGCATAGAGCTCGTGCCGACGGAGGAGTTCCACCGCGCCGCGCCGGCGGACATCCGCGATAAGACGCTCGCTGCTGACGCGTCCCACGACCTCATGCTCAAGCGCCTCAATTTCGAGCTAGTCCAGGTTGTGTACCGTGATCAGTTGATTCAGTTCCTACACAAATAGGAGATTTACTTGTCATGGGATAAATTCTTGTGCTTTGTTCATTGTTCGTCTAAATGATTAAAGCATCATAGAGAGTGTACAGGATTGTATGAGCATTTAGATTGGGGGTTTGTTCTGAAGGATCAGGGTAATAATCGAAAGAAAGAATCACATCGTAGCTGGGTTGACCTGCTAGTAAATTTAACGTAAATATTTAGCTTGGCTTGCAGGATTGGTTCTCCAAAAATTCAAATGTATATATAGAAAATGTTTTATAAATTCACCGTTATTTTTGTAGTTTAGAGTGCTCATATATCAAACTGTTCTTAAGTAGAACGCTTTGTTGTTATGGAAACTCTTTTTATGTATATTGATTTTAGTCAGTTGCATAATTCTTCTTAAATCTGATAATTCTTTGTGTGACTAGTGATCAAGGTTTGTAGTATGTTTTTGGATATGATTTGATCTGCTTAATTTGTTTATCACCTCTAGTTGTTTGAATATGTGTTTGCTTGCTAGGACAAAAGTCCCTTACTCCCTTTGTGCTAGTGTGGTCTTGATTTGTTTGGGTCCCAATATTTGTTCTGATATCTAAAGTAAGTTTGAAATCTGAAACAGCGGAAAGAGCTATGCAAGCTACATGAGAAATTGGAGCAGCGGAAGAGCAGTTTGTTGGACACAATTGCAAATCAGAAAAAGTTCCTTTCGAGCCTCCCAACCCATTTGAAATCACTGAAGAAAGCATCATTGCCAGTGCAGCAGCAGCTGGGGATGCAACATACCAAGAAACTAAAGCAGCATCATGCAGCTGAACTGCTTCCAACTCCTCTATATATAGTTTACACGCAGTTTTTAGGACAGAAAGAAGCATTCGGAGAGAATATTGAAGTGGAGATCACTGGAAGCACAAAGGATGCTCAGATGTTTGCTCAACAGCAAGCTAAGCAGGAAAATGGTTGGTTCATATAATCATATCTCATTGGAATATAGTTTATTTGATTTCCTATTACAGAAGTGCAATACTCGCAATAATTAATGACATTTATTCTATCTCTTCTCATGTACCGTATGATATGTAAGGGATCCTTTTTACTACTTTTAGAAAAGCAATGTAGCGTAGCCACATATTAAATGACCAGATGCAATTTCCTAGTAGATACTTGTGTCTAGCATAAACAGTTCGTTCTCATATAGCAGTATAGAAGCCCCGGTCTTTTATGGAAGCTGTTATATTTTAGTTCCTCATTACAAATTGAAGCTGCATGTAAATAATGCATGCTTGCTTCAATACTTGTATAATGGTTAGAATCAGATTGCTAATGGTTCTCTTCCACTTGTTATAATCTGTAAAGGTGGTAGACTAGGAAATATTTCTGATAAAGCGTGTCTTTTGTATCTGCAATAGCTGGCACTTTGTCAAATGGTGATAATAGAGTGGATGACGATGCAATTGATGATGAAGAAGATGCTCAAAGAAGAAGGTCAAGGTCAAGAAAAAGTGTTGTGAAGGAAGCTAGTAATTCAGTAGTGGCATATCAACTTCATCCCCTTAAAGTTATTCTCCATGTATACGACACTGAAGAGTCTGGAGCAAAGCGTCGTAAGCTCATGGTCCTGAGATTCGACTACTTGGCAAAGTTGAACGTTGTTTGTGTTGGAATTGAAGATTCAAAGGGGCTGGACCATGATATCCTATGCAACTTATTTCCAGATGACACTGGTTTAGAGTTGCCTCATCAGGTTGGAATCAGCTGATTTTGACTATTGCTAGCTGAATGCCCTTGCATTTTAATGGAATTAAAAGAAAAAAAATCATATCATTACCATTTCAAATATTAATCCAAGAATTCATATTGCTGTTGGAATTTGATATCTTCCCCTTAAATACTTTGTATAAAATTCTCTTATTATTGTTTTGATACCTAACACAGTATACCTACTTGTTCATATCACTATTTGATGGTCCCACATGTCAGGAGATATCATAGTGGTAGGTTAAGGCAGATTCACCATTCACCACCACCACTTGAGTTTTTTTAAAGGAATATATATACAAATCATTCTGTGACAATCTCTAGTTGATAGGTCATTTTGGTTTCCTTATATTTGTGGCCATAGGCAGCAGTGAGCTATCATGGCTTTATCTCATGTTGGTAGCCAAATGTTTTTGGTTAGTTCTCTGTTATATTATCTTAAAGAGAGTCGTTTTATCAATTTTATGCAGATGGCTAAACTTTATGCTGGGGAGGTTCCGAACTTCAGTGAAAAGGATTCAAGGCCATACAAGTGGGCACAACATCTAGCTGGTATAGATTTCTTGCCAGAAGTGCCTCTATCTGTTGGTGATGATTCTAACAGAGCATCGAGAAGTGCGGACTTGTCATCTGGGCTTGCTTTATACCGTCAGCAGAATCGTGCACAGACTATTTTGCAGAGAATCCGCTCACGGAAGGTTGCACAGATGGCTCTTACGTGAGTCACTGCTTCACAATCTTGTAGTTTGGGATGTAACAAAATTTGGATGGTAGATCCTTATAGATGGAGGAAATGTACTTTGGCTGATGAGTTTTTGCTTCATTGCACATGTCATTCTGTGACGTGCTACATTATTAGTTGATGAAAAATATTTGATGAGCAAAGTTTGTGAACATCTCGTCTCCTTTTTCTTATGAGTACTATGCATTTCCTTTGTGATTAGTAGCATCTTGTATCTTTTACTTATGACCTCTTATATGTTTTTGAGTTATTTGATTACAGGTGGCAGCTTGATTATTTAACTAAGCTGAAGTGGCCTCAAATTGAACACGAGAATGCACCATGGGCATCACGTACCCCATTGTGTAGTCTGCATAGCTGGTCATTTACTGGGATATTTCCTGAGCCAGCACCTCGTTCTCCTTTGATGGTTGTTGGGGCTGCAGGAAGTGTTGACAGTGATATGGAGCGAAGATCTGTGACGCATTGGGAAGAAACTGAGAGTACCAGGGAGGATGGGGAGCTTCTGGCCGTGGTTCCTGCTGAAAACACGCCAAGTGTTTCTAAAATATCACACTCTGAAGTGTCACCGGAGGTTCGAAACCATTCTAGAGGCTTATCCCTGATATCAAAGAGCGCCACACCATCTAAACTAAGCATCTCACACAGTTTTGGTAGAAATGAGGACGATCTTGATCTCTTGATGTATAGTGACAGTGAGTTAGAGGAACAGACATTTGTTGACCAAGAAGTGGAAAAAGTCAACCTTGCTACAGACAAATCCTGGGAGGACTATGCTTCCAGGGAGTTTACCCTGGTCTTGAGTAAAACTCTGAAGAATGGTCCAAAAGTAATGCTGGAAGCCAAGGTAAATTCTTCAGTTACTCTTTTGGTGTGAGCCTTCCTTAAAGTATGTCCATGCACAATACTTTCTCACTGTGGATTTTTCATTGCAGATTGCGATCAGCATGGAATATCCTGTTAGGCCACCTTTTTTCACATTGCAATTGCTTTCGGGAAAGACTGAAGCTTTAAAATGGCACAATGATCTTAGAGCAATGGAAGCTGAGGTTTGTACTGCTAACTGCTCTCACTTTAATGTATTTCTCAGTGAAGCTTCACTGCTTATGCTGGCTACACTTATGATGCAGGTGAATCTTCACATCCTTCAGGTTGTACCTTCGTCATATGAGGACTACATACTTACTCACCAAATTCTGTGCCTGGCTATGTTATTTGATATGCATTTTGATGAGGATCATGGTAAAAGAAAGGTTACTTCAGTGATTGATGTGGGTCTATGTAAACCAGTTAGTGGAACCATGCTTACCAGATCAGTCAGGGGAAGAGACCGCAGACAGACTATTTATTGGCGCAGCGCTGATTGTTCTTCTAGTTGTTTATAGAGTATGCATAATGCTGGCCCTACTGAATCAAGCATCTCGTCTCATTTTGAGGAAATTGGATGCTGACAGTGACAGTCTTTCATTCCTTCCCGCCACGGAGAAAGTTGCCTAACATGGATTCATGGTTATTCCTACTGGCTTGACATAGATGATGAGCTTTTTCCTTTTCTTTTGTTTGCTGGAGAGATGCTTCGCTGTTGTGATACTGATGAGATTATCTAACTACCCTGACTGTAGCCAATGGAGTGTTGTCGGGCTTGTGTATGAGGATTTTTTTTTTTTTTGGGTGGGGGTGGGTAAGAGCCAATGCAAGATATCCACTTTTTTCACGGTCATCATCAGAAGATATGTAACCGTACAACATTCTAAAACTCTTGTTGCATCCTGTATTCTTCCAGCACGTTTTGGGAAGCCTTCAGCATTAAGCAAAAGAACAGCTTGCACCAAGTATAGCTTGCGTGCCAAGGGTGATCAGACTTGTATGTGACTTGAGTCATCTGATGTTTCATCACTTGGGTGACATCTGTGAGGTAATGCATTGCTCGTCCTGAGTCCTGACCCATGGATTGACTGATGTTAGCCATGCTATCTTGGAAACATTGTTGTATGCCAACCGGACCGATTTTCATCATATTATTGTGTTTAAGCCATGAATTTACATCGAATCTACACTGTCTTGTTCAAGAATTCTGAAAATGAATGCTGCATTCCACTTTATGAATCATATTATTGTGTTTAAGGCATGAATTTACACTGTGGATGTTGCATTCCACTTCATGAATCATGAATCACAAGCCTGTTACTAGTTTACTACTAAATGTGTTGGCGCCGACGCCGACGAGCTACCTATCGGAGCGGCTCGAGCGAGGCGGCGCCGAGCCTGGTGGCGTTCACGTAGTCCTGCGGCGCGTGCGGCGGCAGGCCCGGCAGCAGCAGCCCGGCGGCCCTGGCGATCCTCATCAGCCAACCCTCACCGTACTCCGGCCCGTCGACATAGCCGATGACGAAGCTCCGGGCGAGCTCCCACGCCGCGTTCGCGTACTTGGGCACCACCGTCAGCAGCGAGAAGTAGTTCTTGTTCGGCTCCTCCTCCGTCACCTGCATCGCCACAACACCAATCCTCGTCAGTCACCAAGTTCAGTTGGAACACAGTTGTGGGCTACAACTAGCACATGCTGCATCTGCCAATTGGCACAGTTTGCAGCATCATCCTCTTCTCTCCATCCCACACCAAAGTGGGCTCCAGTTCCAGGCTTTCAGCAAGCAAGGCAAGGATGCTGCCCATGACGAGAAAAGAAGCTTCTCACTTTCTATTGTTCTTAACACCAAATTCTTGCTTGCAAGCCATGCTTGCTTGCCTTGAAAACATGACCGTGTGTATATTGGTCACTGGACCCCTTTCCAAGCTCTTTCAGGGGATTGGATTAGATGCCAAGAAACAACCCAATCTAATGCAATCTGTCAACAGGCCGGCCCTACACTACTAACAACGTACTCGCTCAATTAATAAAAAAACAACCTATGCGACATATTCTAATACTACAAATCTAAACAGACACATATTCAAATATATTATATTAGGATGTATTATATCTGATACTAAGTTGGTTTTTATAAGATCTAAACATATATCTATCTAGATTTATAATACTAGAATGTGTCACATCTCATATTAGATCCGTAGTACTATAGGTAGAAAGACTAGAGTTGGACACTGACATGGCCTTTGTAGAAGCTGTCGAAGTAGAGGCACGTCCCAAAGTGCTTGAACAGAAGGGCCGTGTCGTCGTAGGGCACCCTGGGCACGATGTCGTTGCAGTACACGAACCTGAAGTACCGGCTCACCGGCGTCGCCAGGTGCCCGTCCATGAACCGGCAGAGCCCCTCGTCGCCGACGCGCGGCTGCCCGAACGTGTACACGCCGTGGAGCCTCGCCAGCATGTCCTCCTCGCCGTGCAGCGCCAGCACGGTCGGGAAGAGGATGGCGAGCGCGCCGCCGAGGCTGTGCCCGGCGACCACGAACCGGGCGCGCGGGTTCTCCGCCAGGAACGCCCTGAGCCGCTCGCGGATGACGTAGTAGGCGAACGGCTTCTTGTCGCTGCCGCCGTCGTCTCCGGCGCCGGTGGGTTGCTCCGGCCAGCCGCCGTTCCTCTGCAGGCCCAGCGCCTTCATGAAGCCGCCGTGGACCTTGCCGACGCCGGGGATCTCGTACCACGAGAAGTCCACGTCGGCGCACCACTGCTCCGTGTCGAACGGCTTCGTGCCGCAGAACGCCACCACGGCGAGGCTCGCGTCCTCCGCCTTGTCCGACACCATGAACGCCTGGGTCGTGTAGTCCTCCTGGAATTCTGCACAAAAAATGGAACAAATTAAGCGAGTTGGTGAAAATGGCATATGCAACTCACAATGTGCACGAATTTACTACTCCCTCCGTTTCGTAAAGTTGTTTGACTCTTTTTCTAATTAAATTTTGTTAAGTTTGACTAAATTTATAGAAAAATTTCGCAACATCTAAACTATTAAATTAGTTTCATTAAATTGAACATTGAATATATTTTGATAATATGTTTGTTTTGTGTTGAAAATAATACTGTATTTTCTATAAATTTGGTCATACCTAAAAAAAGTTTGACTAGAAAAAAAATCAAACGACATTATAATGTTTTCCAAAAAGTTGTATTTTTACCATTCCAGCAGTTGTAGAAGCCCACGAAATTCATCTGCAGAAGAAACAGACTCGTGAGGAGAGGTTAAAAATGTGACGGCGATTTCAAGATTTGGGACTATGCAGAGTTTGAACGAATTTTCACTGACCTGCCAGTGGTTCTGAACAACAGTTCTGACGACGAGTTCGTTCTCGTAGGCTAGTTTTGCAGCCATGATCGACAGGGCAGCGTGGTAGTTTCTATCCTCTGGTTTGATCTTCTCGTCAAGATCGATTCTTGTGTCAAGCAATCCAATGCATGATCGGTAATTGATGGATGATTTGTCTGGCATTTTCACCTTTCCTGCAGAAGTGCAGAGATAGCAATTATCATCTTTTTTTTTCTTCTTCGCTTATATCATTACTTCATTATACCTCGATGAACAGAGGATGCAATGAAGAACATATTTTAAGTAGCTAGTCTACGAGAAATCTTCAACTGTTGAAATAGAAAATGATAGGGCAAAAACGACAAAAAAAAACAAAAAACTAGCGCTTATTTTTTTGCATATCTAATTAGAGAAGCGCAATCAATTAAGCAGCCCAGAAACACGGAATATGATAAATTTGCTTAGAAAAAACTGAAAAACAGCCTTAAATATCGAGTCTCCCTTGCTTTGTAACATTGAACACTAGCTAGGAGTAGAAATCAGGATGGAAGTTAGCTGCTAGCTGTATACTGCTACGTTGTAATACGAGGAAATGTTCTTGTCTGTGATGCAGAGCAAACTCAAGATCGGAGCACGCACGAACGTGAAAGCGAAATAATCATAAATGCAAATCTACGAGGCCGTGATAAATGTAACTGACAGCTGTATTTGTACGAGGAGCAAGTTTTTCTTGCAAGTTTAACTGCAGAAGAACATGCAAGCCAAGCTAGCTAGGTAGCTAGTTAACCTGTACAGAGTTAAAATCTGTACCTTGCAGAGCGTTGGTGATGAGCATGAAGACGCTGCCGCCATTCTCGTTGAGGAGGTTCATCCAGTACTCCGTCCCGCCGCCGAGCAGCGCCATCGGCTTCTTCGTCCACAGCAGCAGCATCTGCGCCACCAGCGACACGAACAGCGCCCACCGCCGCCGACGCTCGGCGATCTCCGTGCCGATGGGGCAGTCCACGGCGGCGTTCTCCGCCACCTTGCACGACCACAGCAGGTGGAACAGGTCGCCGATGCCGCCCTTGTCCGGCCGCAGCACCATGAAGTCGCCGCCGAAGCCGCCGCCGCCGCCGCCGCCGCCGCCGTATTCTCCAGCTCCGGCCATTTTTGATGCTTACGACCAAAGCCAAGAAAACCGCGAGCTTCGAATCTTCGTTGGTGTTGGCTTAGCTAGCGTCGACACAGCTCGTTGCTCTTCCCGTACGTCGAAGCACAGCGATGTTTATATAGAAGTGGTCATGCAATGCAATTAGGTAGAGGCATATAAGCGCAATTAGCAGCTGACCTAGCCGTGTCAACTCTGCCAATTAGCGTATGAGATTAGTGCAAAGCTTGGATGAGTTTAATTAACCAGTTCAAAGTGATCAGTCCGATCAACGATGATATATAAAACCGTGTTCATGTCCACGCGAGTACACACACACACAATATCTTTTTCAGCCAAGTCAGACTCTTGTTTTTGCGTACATTTGTAAGATGCGATATTTGAAATCCTGAGGCATTTCACAATTTCGTAACAGTTTATTTGGTGGTTTTTGCTGTGCGTGCATGGTATGCGACGTGCATCTTAAGTTTCTTTCTTGCAATATTTCTCAGCATAAAGGGGATTGGCCAGTCACAGTTCTCACGGAGAAGCGTAGATGTACTGATCTCTAGCTAGTGCGCCTGTCATGCGTGCAACGATAGCGACCTAGCCAACAGTTCATCATTAACTACAGATTTATCTGACAATTAACAATGCGATTCCTTTGTCATAACCTTGCTACTAGTACTAGTATAGGCATTGTTCAGCTGGCGGCAAAAAAAGTTTGTGTACATTTCGTCAGCAGTAGACATAGGTATTATCGATCGAGATGGGGTATCATTTGGCTGGAAAACGAGTCCTGAAAGAATGATTCAATAGAAGCAATTAAGAGAGTGACATGGCAATTTCATCCTTGGAAGCTATCACCATATCCGTAACAAGCCACCCCAGTTGCTGCAGCTCGATTATTGCTTGATGCGTTCCTTCACCCCCCACCATCTCGGTCAGAAACTAGCTATGCAATATGCATCACCGGCTGTTACGTGAGGCTCACGAAGCATTGGAGTGATCTCCCAACTAACGAGGCATCAATGGCTGGCTAGCTACTTCTCTTCCATTTCCATTTCTTCTTGGTCTTGGCGTTCGATTCGATCCCCGCCGGGCTCCTCAAGCAAACAAATTTGGTGGAAAACACCGCGTGATACTCCTAAGAATTTGTCCTTAATTTCCTACTGTTTTTACTTAAAAAAATGGTGTGATGTTTTTGTTCATAGTTAAATTGCTACACGTGTGCAGTATTTTTTAGAAACACGGTACAATTGTAAGCGTTCATAATACGCAGACTCATCCCGCCTAAACACACACGCACACCCTACCCCTATGAGCACGTTTAGAAGATTATGCCGATATATCTTAAAATCGACGAAGTCACCATGAATATCTCACTAAAAAAATAATTAGTCATAAATGAGTACTGTGTTAAGTTTAAAACTTGTATCAAGGTGGGTTGGTTTCACCACAAGAAACCTAACCAGTTGTGCACTCGTGCTACACTCACTTCAACTACGTGTGTGCTGTTTGATACAGTGGATGTGGATCCACATGGAAATTATGGTCCAAACAGAAACAGGTGTATGTCACTTTGTGTGTATATCTCGCAAATTCAGACGAAATGGATGAACCATTTTGGATCTTACTCTCCACTGAAAAAGCACTAGACATCATTAGTAAATGGAAAATAAGTAGATAACCACGTCTCCAAAAATAGACCGGCAATGTAGTAGCATCGAGTCTTTGGTCTTCCTGGACGTCGCTTACAAGATAACGACGTAAAGCGTCGCTTACAAGAAGAATACGCCTTAGTAACAACTTCTACTAGCAAATATGCAAAGAAGCAGCTCAGGAAAAATCTCAATTCTTCAGTGATCTGGCCATTAGTCATAGTAAAATCAGGGCGAAGCCAGGATAGATGGTCACCGGGGTCACTATTAATTAACGATCCTAACAATTGGCTATAGCTTCTAATAATTTTAAGTCTATTGTTGTAGTAGTAGTTACCTTTTACATATCAGGGGGTGTTTAGATCTAGGGGTGTAAAGTTTTAGCGTGTCACATCGGATATTATATAGGGTATCACATGGGGTGATCGGGCACTAATAAAAAAAACTAATTATATAATCCGTCAGTAAACAGCGAGACGAATTTATTAAGCCTAATTAATCTGTCATTAGAAAGTGTCTACCGTAGCACGACATTATCAAATCATGGAGCAATTAGGCTTAAAAGATTCGTCTTACAAATTAGTCGCAATATGTGCAATTAGCTAATTTTTTAGCCTATATTTAATACTTCATGCAGGTGTTAAACGTTCGATGTGATATGGCGTAAATTTTTTGTGTGGGAACTAAACAGGGCCTCAATTACAACCACATCATTATTGTACTAGGTTACACTATTTGGGAAAAGAATATAACAACCTCTTATATGGTGAAAATCACCTTTGTTATATTCCTGTTAATAGTGAAATTTGGTAATTGGCAAAGACGTCATCGGCTTAGAATCATTATCGGCTGTAGCATCTCGGAATCAGTCGATGGGAGTTATCAAGTCGCCAATAGTCGGATTCCTGCTATATTCGGTTAAGGAAATCAATCTACTAAAGGAAGCTTATTCCTAAGTGACCGAGTTTAAAGAGGATGCGGCATGACAGTTTATCTATTAATTAGGAATAGTTTGTTAGTTTCCTTTTATCTTTAGGAAAGTGTGTTTAGTGTCCGATAAGGACTTTATATTTTCCTTTTATCTTTAGGTTAGTTTCTTTCTTGTCTGACAAGGACTTGTATCAACCCATGGGTATAAATATGTACACCCGGGGTCTATGTAATATATCCTCACGATCAATACAATTCGGCGCATCGCCACCTTTTACCTTTTCTACTTTATTTTATCGTCCGGCGGGACTTGGCACCTGACGCAGGGCTGCATCGGTGTTCGATCTCCGGCGAAGGGGTAAGTCCAATGTTCCGTTGGCCCAGGCAATTGTCTCATCTACGTCGGCGTCGTTCAAGGCTGCATCAGGACATTCGACCTCTTGGATTACTCTGGTTTAGATAATATATTTGCTTGGCTATTTATCATATGTCTATGTTAATCTAGTCCTAGCATCTCAATTTAGTTCTATCGGCTATCTCTCGCTTTAGGGTTTCTGCCAGTATCGGTTAAATCGCCTTACTAGATTAGATTAGCCTAGGCATCTACCACCCTGAAAATCAGTCAACGGCTTAATTGTCTAGATATTGTGTTTCTTTTCATACTTAGTGCTACATCAGTTAAGTTTGATCTACTAAGTCGTGCTTAGAACCATAATTTCTAGTCTGCTTCTTGATTGCCAATAAGGGTTTCATCGGGGTTTCAGCCGATGAGTTATCTGGACGTTGCATCGGCTTACAAGGACTGCATACATATTGGATTTAGCCGATCGCAATAAGATTTAATTTTTAAATATAATCTTGTGGATTTTATGACATCGGACCTCCAGCCGATGTATGCTTTAACTTTCGGATCGATGCTTATTTATCATATCATTGCTAGCCGATTGGTTTATATTGGATTGTATTGTTATTTTATTACATCATCATCAGCCGTTTGCCTTTATATCATTATCTACATTGGACATATAGCCGATTGCTTAAACCCTATCGCTATCGGCTGGTATCGGCATCGGCTATTATCGGCTATCGGCTGGAACTACTCCATAGGCTTGTCAGCCGATCGGCTGTTTTGATCTACCATTTACATATCTTGTCAGTTGTAGGATCAAACTGACTGGCACGCCCGCACCTCATTAATTTTTGGACCTGCACAGGAGCTAAGCAGATCTCCCAGGCCGGTGTGTTCGATTTTTTCGTCAACAATTCCCCCAGGCTCATGCATCATGATCATGTAACTGAACTTGAAAAATCAGACGTTTATATTTCAAAACTCTAATTTCCTCAAATTCAGACTTGAGAGACTAGGTTCAACCAAATTGTGATGATAATCAAGAAATAATAATAGGATTAGTTGGCTACTGGAGCAATTAATCCTAAATAAGGGCCACTTTATGAGCGCCAGTCTAAAATGTATATGTATATCTATGTAGACTGATATATAATCACAATTGCTAACTAATTTTCTATTTGCTAGCTGATAATGGTATCGTTCCTTGCCACCAGTTGAGCTTTAACGAAACAATCACCAGGGTCTAGTGTTTTCTTTGACCGGGGTCATAGCTGTAAAATAAAAAGGAGTATAAGGGACTCAGAAGAAATCATCGGGGTCTACTGACCCCAATAACTTGCTATAGCTTCGCCCCTGACTGTACAAGCATCTTTATTATGTTAATGATGGTGTAATCTGGTCAGTAAAAGCGATTCTGTGAATTTTGCCTGCTCCAGAGTATGCCAAGTCAATGCTAATCTGGCCTGTACGTATCAGATAACCAGGACACCTCTGCTTGTCCAGTTTGGTCACTGAAACCGTCTGCGTCAAGAACCTAACTTTGGTATGACATGTCGATCCAATTCGGAGTTAACACAGTAAGTAAATAGTAACATGTATGTACAATTATAAACGTGATCTTTTCTTCACGAGACTACGAGAGACGAAGACGATGGCATATTGGAATGTCCATTCTGCCGCCTGCCGCCGTGGAATCTGATGTCCATGGGGCCAGGGATTGCCAGATTTGGATCGCTACCGCCTACCAGTGGTTGCGACCCATATTGGGGTGGGCCGAAATGGCTGAACGTTCTGATACGGGCCTTTCCTCGATCCAAAACGCGAAGACTATGGGCCTGAAAAGGTCCATAACAACTCGATGTGGGCCTCCGGTGCTCAAGGAAACGGCCCAGCGGTAACGAAATCAGAGGCCATTAGTTGTTGGGCCTCAAAGACCTACTGAGAAAAGAAGCCTACTACACTATCTCCAGCCTCCAGCTCTCCTTCCGTCCCTTCCGTCTCCGATGGCTGCCGTCGGAGTCATCAACTCGTCAGATCCCTGACTCCATCTTAGAGCAATGCAAATCCACTGTTATACTGCACCTGCAGTACGTGTCACTGACATATGGGTCCCACCTATTCCGGGCCCACATGTCAATGGCACTTACTGCACATGCATTACAGGAGAGGATCCCAACTCAAGTTTAATAGTATAGCCCACTACTAGCTCCAATTCATCTATAGCCGATCTAATAGCCAATTCATACAATAGTTGCTTACTATATTATTAATATATGGTCTCACCTGTCATACACACATTGCGTCTTGAAGTCCGTGCTGCAGCTGGCTACAGATCTGTAGCCCGCTGCTCTTCTCTCTCATATTTTATCTTATTAAAAATATGTTTATAGCTGGTAAATAGTCTGCTATTGTACCTGCTCTTAGAAAGCATTGAGTTAGGCCATGTGGACTCATGATGCTGGACCCCATTTGTCAGGGTCCCTCAGGAGTTGCGTCCCCTATAGATCTACGGTTGCCTCATCATCCTAGGACCTGCCATGGCGCCCCTTCGACCTCACCAGTGGCAAGGGAGGAAGGGATTGAAATTATTGCCAGATTGTACTTGTACAAGATACAAGAATTTAGTAGGTAGACGCATTTTAATGTAAGAATTTGAAAATTGGGCAAACTGGTACACTAACGTCCGAGGCAAGCTAAAAAACTGTAAATTTGCCAATCAGAAGACTACCAGACAATCGATTTACTTGATCATTAGCTTCAAAAACAGAATCGAGACACATTTGGCTCTAATTTAGATGATTCTTTTTTTGGCAAGACTATAATATAATGCGTTGACATATTGAAATCACATAGATAATTAAAAGCTCTTGATTTTCTACGACAATATTTGAAGAAACTATGGATCGGGCGCCCAAATTTTCTCCGACAAAATCGGACGCCCTCCTCTTCTCCAATGGATGCTTGATGCCTGTCTTGTCGCATGCATGTTTCCTTTGCCTCTGCATGCTTATATTTTCAATTAAAAAAAATCTATAGTGCTATAGCTCTCTTCCTCCATGCTCTCTCCAAGTAACTTTTCAACTAAACCATTTCTCTCTTAAATTACTTATCCAATTTAAAATCTAATTACACTATTATATTTATTGCAACTGAATCTCTGGAACAGAATCTCAAGTGATTATATTTTAGATTAAAAATTTATGATTATACTCCTAATTAAAACATATCATACATGCGACATGGAATTGTAAATGCTGAAACATAACGAAATGCATGCTGAAACATTCAAAGAACACTACATGCAATATGTGCAAATGAACTAGTGTCGCTGAAACACTCTAAGAACATTACGTGCAACATTTGCAAACAAACTAGTGAAACATCTCAATAACTATTATGCAACATTAAGCACGGATCCATTGTAATCCAAAAACTTAAAATGCGCAACATGGTTGATTTACAATTGAAACATTAACTTCTTTCATGTGAAAGTGAAACCTCATATCTAAACATGGTTGATTTACAATTGAAACATTAACTTCTTTCATGTGAAAGTGAAACCTCATATCTAAACAGTTGAAACATGTATATTTTTATCATCAGAATATAGTCATGTCATATTTTGTTATAAAAATATAGTTACAGTGACTATATCATATTATAGATCGAATAAATAATTTGAAAGAAAAACATAAAACTAGTTATATGCATAAGAGAGACTGGAGAGAGAGAAAGAAGGGAATCATGCAGGGAGAGAAGGCGGTGATCGACAAATCATTTGATGGTGGTTGTAGGCCGGTGGAATGAATCGTCCGATTTTATCACCATCAAGCGACCCATTCTCCGTCAACTTTCGGGTGTACTGTTCAAGAGATGGAAAAACATTACTCCATGCTCCCATCGCATCAAATGGCCTACATGCCGGTGTCGGCATGGAAGGCAATTCAGAAAGAGTTTGTTTAAAATCTGAATTTAGATGCTCCGAAGGTGATTACGAATCAGAAAGCAGCAGATTAGCAATCAGAGCAACTTAACTAGCATCACATTGAGCAGCGTCCACATCCAGCAATAGCACTCTTGGTACTTGGGTGTCATGGGGGCGATGTTTCCATGGCCCAATTACAAATTTACATGGGGAGCTTATTGATCTTGCAGTGCCGGTAATCTTTGAACTTCTTGGCCTTGTACTTGGCCGGGCTCCCGTCGGTGACGAGCTGCGGGTGCGGCCCGACGACGTGCTCCGGCGGCGGCTCGACGAACACCGGCCACGACATCCGCGTCCTGTCCTTGTCCACCGTCGTCCGATGCAGCACCGCCTTGTACCTCCCGTTGCTCAGAATCTGTATCGCATCACATGGCAGCTCCATGCATGTCAGGTGTTCGACGCAATGCGCGGGAGGCGAAGATGAGGAGGAAGAAGAGAGCTTCGTACCTCGATCTGGTCGCCGATGTGGATGATGAGGGCGTCGGGGACGTACTTGACGTCGTACCAGTGGCCATCCTTGAATACCTGGAGGCCCTGGACGTCGTTGGGGACGAGGACGGTGAACGTGCTCATGTCGGTGTGCGGCGCGACGCCGAGGGTTAGCTCCGGCTCCGGGCACGGCGGGTAGAAGTTGATCTTATGCAGGAACACCAGCTCGTCGCCGCCGAACGCCTCCCACATGGCGCCGCCATCCAGTCCCAGCGCCGTCGACAGGTGCTCGAACAGCTTCCGCGCCAGCCGCTGCATGTGCTTGCAGTACTCCTCGTTCGCCTCCCTGCCGCGCCCGGTCGCCATTAGCTTCCGCTTCCGGCGCGCATGGCGAGCTATGTATGGATGGAGACGCGTACCTGTAGCCAGCCGGATGGCTGGGCCAGATGTCGTGGTTGACCATGGCCGGCGGCGCGACGTTGTGGAAGAAGAAGTCGGCCCACGCCTTCTTGCCCTCGAGGTCCTTCTGCAGCTTGCTGCCGTAGCCCTCCATCTTGCCGGAGGACGCGTCCATGGCGTACCGCGCCTTCTCCTCCTGCGGCAGCGCGAAGAACTCGCGCCCAACGCGCTGCAGCTCCGCCACCGCCGCGGCGGGCACGCCGTGGTTCACCACCTGGAAGAGCCCCCACTCCGCCGCCGCCTCCGCCACGCGCGCGGCGGACTCGGGCGCCGCCATGTCGATCACCGGGATCTCCGGCGCGTCGCCGCCGCGGAACGTGGTCGCCCCCGGCCGCTCGTGCTCGGAACGCACGAACTCCGGCGGCAGCGCCGCCAGCGACGACGCCAGCGCCTGCACGCTCTGCACCTCCGCCATTACAACCCAACGACGACCTCTGGTGGTGCTATCTTCCGAGAAGGAAGCAGCAACCGATGTGACAATGGCGTCTCAGCAAACACACGCGTCGGCAACGAGACAAGTGGAGCTGAGATTTAAAGGGGCGACTGCACTTGCCGGTGATGAAATGATCTGATGCACGGCGACGGGGACGGCAACGAGAGGACGAGAGGGAGACTAGGCGGAAAACTTGCCTTTTTCCGTTTCGTCCTTCATTTCGCACGCATCGCGCATGCAATTCAGTTGCTTGTTCAGATCTCGTAAATAGTACCAACGAGTAACAATCGACGCAAATGGCGTACTTTCATGGCACACGATAAACTAACAAAGGCATACACGTGCATATCCCCTCCTTTCTTGCATATCAACTAAATAGGTCTCGTAAATAGTACCAATGAGTACCAATCGACGCGAATGGCGTATTTGCATGGCACACGATAAACTTACAAAGGCATACACATGCATATCCCCTCCTTTCGTGCATATCAACTAAATAATTATAATTTTTTTTAAAAAAATTATAAGATATATTAATATGTAATATATCACTCCACAAATGTTTATGGAGTGATACATTTCATATTAATCTGTGATGGCAATTTTTTTAAAAAAATTTTATAACTATTTAAATAACATGTATGTAACGAGACAACATCTTTTGGAGGGATGAAAATCCCGTCCCATATATGTTGAGTTTTATAATCCATTTGAAATGAGAGATGTGGGAAAGTCAAAACATTTACGAACTCCTTTAGAATTTTTTGATCACTGATTCACTTGGTCAACCATTTCCACCAACCAGGCAGTTCGATTTCATCGGCTTCAACCCAAAAAGAAAAAAAAACTCACTTATCCTTCCATTTTTCTTGAGAAAAGCAGATGGGAAAACAGGACAAAATTTGTATAGACCTCACGAATGCACAAATTAATCCCTCTGTTTACAAATCAACCAAAATGATCAATGCAACCGTATAATCTATCTCTAACAACACAATCTTCTCGCCGGTGTGCGCCGCCCTATCTTGGACCGGAGAGCTGCGACGACGACATGTACGACGGCCACCCGCTCATCGTCGTCACCGTCGTCGTCCCCGACCTTGTGTGGTCCCCATTGGAACCCGCCATGGCTTGCTTGATGCCGCCGCCGCTGCCGCCCGAGCCGTCGGCCGGTCCGGCGAACCCCCGGCCGTAGAGCCGGAGGAACCCGAGCGACTGCACGCGTGGCTCCCACAGTTCCATGGTGCCCTCGAGCATGCCGGCCACCATCGCCATGCTCGGCCGCAGCTGCGGGTCCTCGTGGAGGCAGCAGAGCCCCACCTTTACCACCCTCTCCACCTCGCCGGCGACCACCTTCCCCTCCAGCCGCGGGTCGGCCAGCGCGGCGTACTGCCCCGCCTCGTGCCCCTCCAGCGCCATGAGCGGGAAGTAATCGCTCCGGGCGCCGCGCGACGAGCTGCCCGTCGTCCCGTTCGAGGAGTTGGAGTCGTCTCCGGTGGCGGCGCCGGCGCCGTCGCTCACGTGCTCGCTGCGGTTCTTGCGGCCGCGCACGAGCTCGAGGAGCACCATCCCGAAGCTGTACACGTCGGTGCGGTCGGTGATCGCCGTGTTGGTGAGCCACTCCGGCGCGAGGTACCCGCGGGTGCCGCGCATCGTCGTGAAGAGCCCCGACTGCTCCGGCGTGAGGAGCTTCGCGAGCCCGAAGTCGGCAATCTTCACCTGGCCGCCGTCGGCGAGGAGGATGTTCTCCGGCTTGACGTCGCAGTGGATGATCCTCTGGTCGCAGCCGAAGTGGAGGTACGCGAGCCCCCTCGCCGCGCCGATCGCCACCTCCATCCTCTCCTTCCACTCGAGCGGCTGGCCGGCGGCCGGCCGGAACAGCGTCCGGTCGAGCGAGCCGCGGTTCATGTACTCGTACACGAGCAGGCGGCGCTGGCCCTCGACGCAGAAGCCGCGGAGGCGGACGAGGTTGACGTGGCGGATGTTGCCGATGACGGCGATCTCCGTGCAGAACTCGCGCTTGCCCTGCATCCCGACGCCTTCGATCTTCTTCACGGCCACGGCGGAGCTGTCGGGGAGCTCGCCTTTGTACACGGCGCCGAACCCGCCGGCGCCGATCTTGATGCGGAAGCTGTTGGTCATGTCCTCGATCTCCTCGTGCGTGAACCGGGTCGGGAGTCCAGGGATCACAATGTCGTTGCCGTCGTCGTCGTTGCCGTAGACAAGGTGCGCCGAGTCGGACGCCGGCGAGCGGTGGCGCCGGAGCTGCACGTCCCTGGATCGCGAGGCCCGCCTCCCCGCGCGCCGCTCTTGCTTGCGCCACGACACGACGATGACGGCGCCGACGACGACGACGAGCACGAACGCGACGATCGTCGGCAGGAGGATGGCGATGAGCGTGCTGTTGTTGGAAGATGAACCGCTCGGCGACCCCGGTGACTGCGAGCTCTGGACCTTGATGAAACCGACCATGTCGCCTCGCCTCGAGTTGGCGTTAACCAGGGAGCCGATCTGGTGCTGCACCAAGAAGCAAGACAAGGACGACTCGTCGTAGAAGTAACCGAGGCAGGAGCAGTTGCCGGAGCAGAGTGCTTGGCACGACGACCCGTTGGAGCCGACCATGTCTGGCCGTGAGAACCTATTGGCGTAGTACGCGACACCATTGCCGAGACTGATGTACGAGGTCGGGGCGGCATCACCACCGGCGCCGCCGCAGGAGGCGACGGTCATCGCCTTGGAGCCGTCGGCCGGTGTGCAGCCACCGTCATGCGACGACGCGAACAGCGGCGGGCACGTGCAGCTGGAGGCGTTCCCGTTGGGCGCGCAGAACCCGAGCGCGCCGCAGGAGAGCGGCAGGTCGCACCCGCTGTTCGGCGCGACGAACCCAGCGTCCGTCGGCGACGGCGACGTGGCGTTCGCCGAAGCGTAGCTTGTGATGACCAGCTTCCCTTCCACGCCCAGCTTGACGATACGCAGCTTGGCGTCCGGCAAGGGGAGCTGGATGAGGACGGTGTCGTCCGCGGCGAGAAGGTACAGGCCGGTGCCGTTCACCGCCATAGACGCCACGGCGCCGTCGCGATCTCTGGTGGATTTGACGTCGATGGACAGGAGCCAGTACAGTGACCCGTTCCATGTCAGCGCCGCATCGGCCGCCGTCACGTCGAGCCGGTAGCCGCCCACCGTGTAGTCCGAGTCCGACACGGCCGACGCCAAGAAGCCCCCGACGGGGAGCCGCTGCGGCGACACGAGCACGTCGGTGGGCCGGTCGAACGACTGCCAGAGCGTGCGGTTCCTCCCATCGAGCAGCGCGAGGTTGCCGGATTCGTCGAGCCGGAGCGCCGCCACGGGGGACGCGAACGCCGGCGTCGACCACACGACGGTCCCGTTGGGATCCTCGGCGGAGATCCCCCTCGCCGTGAGCCGCAGCGGCGCGGCGCGGTCGGTGATGGGCGCGTCGCGGTTGGCGACCCAGACGCAGGTCTTGGACGGCGCGTGCACCACGGCGAGGTAGTACCGGTCCTGCTGCCCCGCCGGGTTGTACACGACGGCCTGGAACGCGCCGCCGCCGCCGGACTGGAGGAACACGCCGTAGGTGTCAATGAACAGCAGGTACGACGCCACGAAGTCCGGCACGACCACCTCCGTGGCGATCTTCCCGGCGCGGACGGCGGCGCCGACAAGGACGGCGGCGAGGAGAGGGAGCAGCGGATGCCGCCGCATCGACGGTGGCGAGCACATGGGACGGCGGCGGGGGAGGGGTCATCTCATGGGGGAGGCGGGAGCGGCAGGCGGCGTGACGCGATGGCATTGCGATTGCGGGGTGGGTGGGTTTGTGCCGCGAGAGGGGGTTGACTCGGGTGGCGCCATTGGCCGCGCTGGGATCTGCGTGTGCAAGAGACGAAGAAAAAAAATAATAATGCGGCGAGACGACGACTCGCGAGTGCAGCGTGCGGCTAGAGAGTTGGTGTCGCTGCCGCCTGTTTTTCAAAAAAAAAATTTAAGTGTACGGATACACATTTAAAATATTAAACATTGACTAATAATAAAATAAATTACAGATTTCGTCTGTCAACTACGAGACGAATCTATTAAGCCTAATTAATTTATCATTAGTAAATGTTTACTGTAGCACTACATTGTTAAATCATGGCGTAATTAAGCTCAAAAGATTCGTCTCGCAATTTACATGCAAATTGTGCAATTAGTTTTTTTTGTCTATATCTAGGGCTGGTTTGGTTTGTGGCCTAAATTGGCCTTACCAATTTTTGTCAATGTCAAATTTTGGTAACTTTTGGCATGGCTAATTTTGGCAAAGGAAAAATTGTGTTTGGATTGAAGCCAAAATAGCCTAAATTAACGGTTGAAATGGCCTATTTTCTTAGGCATGTCAAAATTTAGCTCCACACCAAATAGACAATAAACACTATTGAAATTGCTAAATATTGGTAAGGCCAATATAGGCCTCAAAACAAACCAACCCCTAATGCTACATGCATATTGTGACCGAATTTTTGGAAGTTCGAAGGGAAAGCCTTGATTCTTTGTGCGAGCCAACGGCGGCGTTTGAACGTGGCGATCCATCGAATCGGCTGCCGGCAACGCGGGGAGCGGTTCGATTCGAAGCAATCATATTATTTTTTTCATATGCATGTCTACTGGCCAGCCAGTGTGTTGGTTATCTTTGCTGATTAGTTAAGAGTTTGGTGGATATTTTAGACTTAGGAGGAGTAGTATTATTAGTACATGATCACATATTTTATGGTGATTATAAGGTGGAATCAATCCTGGGTCCTGACAAAATAGATCACAAGCAGTGAGGAGAGCTAGCGTCTTTTGAAAGGGGGGATAAACCAAAATATATGAAGGGTTGGTCATATGAACCTGACCCTTTTTGTGGGCAGGTTACAGTGGTATAGATCGAGAGAACTGCACGATCAACATCATCATCGTCATCAGTACGCCTGTACTTCGTCTAAGAGCAAGTTTAATAGTATAGCCCACTACTAGCTCCAATTTATTTATAGCTAATTCATACAATAGTTGCTTACTATACTATTAATATAGTCCCACCTATCATACACATATTGCGTCTTGGAGTCCACTGCTCTTCTCTCTCATCTTTTATCTCATTAAAATATGTTTACAGCTGACTAATAGTCTGCTATTGTACCTGCTCTAACTCTAGTTAACAAATGTATCTCTTGTTCAGGGAGGTACTTAACTACAAATTATATGGTTGTCCGTTGGAGGCTAGGCAAGGTAGGGGCACCATGCTGATCTCCATTTATTTCTCTGTTGTTTACTCGTCTCTGGAATGAGTGTGCGAGAGCTTGTTTAACGTGGTGTGATACGTGAAGACGTCACGCGTGATGTACGCGGCGTCGCGGCCGACCGGCCGGCCAGCCGGAGCACGACGGCAGCAGCTTCCTTCTCCGGCGCCGCTCGCTGTAGCGTAGTGCTTGCGTGGAGATCGGCACATGATCCGCAGCTCATCACATGCGTGCAGATTTGGTTGATTAGTTAGCAACCAACGTGCAGGCGTGCAAGTGGACGTGATAGGAAAACCGCACTTGGTTTTAAACCCGGCTGATTTACTTTCTTAATCATGAGCACAAACAAATCACATGGCATCGCTCAGATAAGCAATTTTTTTTTCTCCTGTAACTGAGGCTTCTCAAGGCATCATCTATGATCAGAAGCAGTATTAATACTCCCTCCTTCCCAAATTGATAATCATATAATAAAATTTAAAATTTCTTAAATTGATCATCATATAATCGCATGAACACGAATTTTATCAAAATACAATTAATACAGCATAGGAGAATATGTGCATGCTAAGAGAAAGTTTAATAGTATAGCCAACTACTGGCTCCAAATTATCTATAGCTAATCTAATAGCACATTTATACAATAGTTAACTATAAAAATATACTACACCACTAATACCCGGTCCCACCTCTTATACACATATAACGTCTTGGAGTACGTGTTGCAGCCGGCTACAAATCTATAGCCCACTTTCTTTTCTCTGTTCTCTTTTCTTCTCGATATGTAGGAAAATGTGTGTATGGTGTCTTAATTGATGTGATTTAAATTATCATTGGTCTTGGTGCATAAACATTTATGATGATTATTTTGAGAAAGTGAGAGTAACACATATGATCTAAACAACGACCTCATCCAGAATGTCGATGTACAATCAACCGGCAAGTTGCTGTTAACTAGACATTGAGCTTGTACACTCAAACCGTCAATTTGATGTTAAGTAGTAGACATGTTTCGATGCAATTGTTTTTCGCCGAGTTTGAAGCAAGTTGCAATTGTTTTCCGAATCAACTTGATGCATGCATCAAGATTTTGTACATATCCTATTGCCAGTTTGATAGCTGCACGTTCCTTCTGCAGCAGGTTATGATTATGGATGCATAATAACATGCTATACATCCCAGGTATGTATTGTACATTTGTACGGCAGCATCGCTGAGCACGGACAATTCTGGACGAAGATCGTCTGCTTATACATGATGTAGCCGTAGAAAACCTGATTGTCAATACGCCACTTGCATGACTTTCACCAGGGAAATACAAAAACCGCTTTAACGCCGCAACACTGCACATACGAAAGTCAACTAGCGCTGGATGTCAAGATCAATCAAAGGTTTAGGTCAAGCAGCAACCGCGAAACAAAGAAGAGAAACTGTGTGGCCTGCATTGGACAAGAGACTTCAGAGGGCTTTGCCGCCGAGATCAAGAGGATTTTAGTATGGCATGTTCCATTTTGCCCCCGATGCAAACAGTGGTCAGATTAGAAAGACAGTTGCAAAACGAAAATCCTGAAGGCTAAGAAAGGAAATAGAATGAAGTTCTGCCACCTGGTCAAAATAAGCACATCAAGCTACGGCAGCCGACTTGGCAGAAAAATGCCTTTAGAGTTTAGATTCAACTGGTGTTTAGATACCAACCTCGGGTGTGTTCGGACCTCTCCCAACCTAAATCCCTCCTTTTCCGCAAACTGCTAAACGGTGCGTTTTTTTTTAAAAAAAAGTTTCTATATAAAAGTTGCTTAAAAAAATCAAATTAATCTATTTTTTTTTAAAAAAAATAGCTAATACTTAATTAATCATGTGCTAATGGAATGCTCCGTTTTCCGTGTGGAGGCACTATGTTCCCATCATCCACATGCGAACACAGCCCTCGTGTAGAAATGAAACACCACCGGAAGCAAGAGATTCCTGGTATTGACAGTTTCACACACATATATCTGACTTGCAACAAAAAAAATAGGGTAGCATTGATTCAAGGTATGTATGCTTTTAAGGAACACAAAGATGTGAGTATTCCTCAGTACAGGTGATGCCAAAACCTGAGCTCTAACAGCCTTGCTGTCCAAAAATTTATTATGTATCAAGCATCAAACTTTCCCGGGGGCAAAAAAGACCTACTTCACCTGATTAATGAGTTCCTCTCATCAAAAGGATGACACAAGAATCATCCACTAAAATTAAGATTTAGGTGCTAAACTCAAGTAATTGATACAATTCCAGCCACAACAAAGATGGATCTTCAGGAATACATCGCCATTATCTCTGCATAAGAATCAAGCACTGGCTTGCAATGCTTTCTCTGCTGCACCGGGCGCGGGCGTAACACCACCGGTTGTTGGACTGAAAATATATAAATGGGCCATAAGTCCTTGATTCCTCAAAAGCCTTTTAATGTTCTAACAATTAAATTAATTAGCAAGCAAAAGGAATACTTACAGTCCAACCATGACTTTAAAAGCATCATAAATACCCCATTGAGCACCAGTAAGAGTTCCAATCATAACAATACGAAGGGGCAGTCCTCTAGTGAAAAGGCCCCAAAGACCAAGCTTTTTAACAGCCTGTGATAATACAACAAACATGTACATTCAATTAACATGATAAGAACATGAATAGAATACATGAGACTTGATTCCATATATATGCAGGACTTTCGCCATATGTATGAAACTTGATTCCATATAGAACTTGGTATATGGTGGTCCTGTCGAGCTTAGTACATAAATATATCGGATATCCCATATTTATTAGGATACTGACAGCTCATTTAACCACACAAGTTCATCATCATTACTGGCAGACTATTTTTAATAATCCGCCTATAGAAATAAACCTCTCTTGTGCTATAACTTTTCTAGTGTTTACGAAGATTTGATGGGAGCAGTTATGTAACATTAACTACAACTTTGATGGACTCTGATGAAAGGAACATACAGAAATGCAACTTTCATATGCAGTCAACCAACATGAAAGTAACATCAAGATAAGAAATAAAACTTGCACATAATGGGTTTTATTAGTAGAAGACATGCTTACATCACCCACTGTAGCTCCCTTGGCGTTGTTCAAGAAAGAGACCAAGTTGTCAGCTGGATGAGAGACAATGGCACAGAAGACTCCAGCAATGTAACCACCAGCGAAACTGATACCCAATTGGAAAGACTTGCTGCACTCAGACTTCGGAACAGGAACAGCGTGCTTGTAGATCATTTCAACAATGGTCTCAAAGGAGGCAAACTTCATCATAGTATCTGGACACGATGGAAATATTCAATGGATGCATAGAAGAAATAACATGACAGCATAGCTCTCATAAAAATAAACAAACAAAAACTCATTGGTGCCATGCCACACTGTGTTCAAATCCCCGTACGCATAAATTTATCACATAATAGTTACATAGCTGTTACATTGACAGCTACTGTTAATCCATACACAGTTGATGGTTCATACTTTAGAGTGTTCAATAAATATTCATATATATATAAATGTTAACAAAAGCTAACTGAGGATAGCCAATCTGCGGAACTACACATATAGCAGAAACTACAAAACACTTTAGTAGTAGTAAACTTCCGCCTAAACTGATAACTACATTATCCAAAACAGAACAGTTAATTTAAGGAAATTTGAAACGGAGTTCTCTACCAACAGAAAATAGTAACAGATGTGAAGGGTTTATTTTTGTGTTGTTTCAGGAAATAGCCAGTGTTTAGGGGTGGACACAGGACAACCCATGGGTAATCTGACCAACCCTAGTTCAACTAAATGAATTAAATTTCAACCATGAATAAGTAAACAGAACTTAAGTGAATAAACCATATAAACTATGAAAAAAAATATTGACAATAAAAAAAAGAAAAGTGAATAATATCAGCATGAGCCATGGAGGCAATAGAAGTTCACTTGTACAGAAAATTCAGTTGACAAGTTAGCAAGTTATGAAGCAGTGTTGGATATTGCAACTATCAAAGAAAAACAAGATAGTGCAGAATTATCACACAAGCAAGTCCTGGAACATCAGGTTTTAGTGCCAGTCTCGTGTAGCAGTTACATAAATGAAAACATTAAAAATAATATCAATGTAGCAAAGTGACTAATACTTACAAGGGATTTGGCGACCCCACAGAGGAACAATTCCCTTGTAAAGCCTGTCATTATCAAGGAATGAGATTTGTCAAGGCGCATAAAACTAGAGAAAGAGTTGCCACATATCAGATTCTAAGATAAAAACATGTTATTTATACTTACCCAAGAGCGCCTTCAGATCTGACGAACTTGGGGAGCCCATCACTCAGTCCACGAGCGAATCCAGGTTGGGTTTGCACACGAACCTTCACAGCTTCAAATGGGCAGAGAGCCACATCTGCAATCACCTCAGCAGAAGCTGATCCAGCGAGGTAAATTAGGGTCTTGTACTTCTGAGCATACTCAGGCCCAGCAATATCTGAGTAGTACTTCTTAAAGAACTCATAAAACCCAAACTTGCATGCGCCCTGAGCACTGTAACCAAGCAAGGTAGGCACCCATCCCCTGAAGAAGCCTCTAGGTCCTTGCTCCTTTAAGAGGACGCCAAACCCAGATGTTATGCTCTTGTATTTTGCTGGATCAATCTGAAAAAAATCAACCAAAACTTGTCAGTCCAAAATCCATAATAGAAACATTTCAATTACAACTTAAAACAAACATTGACTGGACATCGCACATTCACCGATCATTTTACCTGCCTACCCAACCATCTCAAAGAATCAAACTACATTCCAATAAACAAAGTAGAGACCGGCAAAAGGGAGATGCACCAATCGACTTATCAAAGTGAGAAACATAAAGTATTATCAAAGTGAGAAATATAAAGTATCTTCACCAAAAGATACACAAGCATTTTGCTCCACGACACTAACACTAACAAAAAGCTTGGAACTTAACAGTAGATAAATATAATTGCTGGTAGCGGAATAATTTGCAACCAAGTAAAGAAGAAGGATTAGTAGTGTAACTTAAATAAGAGGGCAGGTGAATCAACTCTCCAGTTTCTACATACGCCAGTTCAACTGCAGAAACACTAGTACTGAACATGTTTAACATCGATAGCTACTCTAGTATCTACTCCTCATCAATCCCTACGCCAACTAAATAATGAGAAGCAAGCACATTGGAACCGACGAAGAACATTGACGGGACAAATAAAAACTACAGATTTTAACGACAGTCAAAGCTGTATGCACAGCAAAGCGCGCGCGGCTGGATTTACGCAAACGGATGGCGACATGCCTAGATTCCTAGATGGATATCACAAGTTCGCAACCACACGTTCCTCTAACCATCGAACAAAACTAAATATCACCAGATCTACGAAGGAGCAGGGCTCCCAGAAGCGCCAAAGCCAGCAGGGTCACAGATCCAGGCGTTCCCCCAACTCACCTGCATGTTGCACTTGACGAGGTCGAGCGGCGTGACGGCCATGTGGGTGAGCCCGCAGCTGGCGATCCCACCGGCAGTGCAGGCGGCGTAGAACGCCGGCGAGTACATCTCGATCTTCTCCCTGGGAGCCTGGATCGAGATGGGCGCGCCGCCCCCGACGGCACCCGGAGCCGGGGAAGCTGGGGACACCGGGGAGGGGAAGCGGGTGGCGCCGGTGGCGAAGGACCTCGCGGCGGAGGAGGTGTAGAGGAAGCTCGGGAGGAGCGACTCGCGGGAGCGGTCGGAGAGCGCCATCGCAGACGCCGCCGACGACGAGAGATCCGGGATGGGGTTTGGTCTCCCTCTCTCTCTCTCTCGCGCTGGCTCTGTGCTGGTGGTGGTGCTTTCCGAGAGCTCTCGCGTTCGCGTGGAATTGACGAGGCGGCGGAGGGTGAATATGAAGGGGGGCGGCGAGGCGAGATGGGCTTCCAAGTTGTTAGGGCATCGATCTTTTGGGAGGTGGAGATGAACCGGAGGGTCGCTGCGTGTGGGGCCCGTTAATATGTGGGCCCGATGTGTCAGCGTCTGTTGGGGTTGTTGTTGGTGCCTGGAATCTGGGCTGTGGAGGGACTACTTTATGGCTAGAGAATGGTAGCGGTGCCAAAATTTTCTCGTGTATTGTACACTCTTTTGAATACGATCAAGCACTACCTCTTATTTTTTTCTTAGTCATCTCCTTTTTGTTATGAGAAATAATTATTGGCCAAGAGCTACCCAGCAGTTCCTTTTTTTGGGGGTCAAGAGCTACTATTTTCGATATGAAAATACCGACCAATTAATACGTCGACTTTATATTTGGCTGAAAGGTTTATGAGACTCTACGAGTACTGTAAAGTCATGGACTCATGGTAGGAGTATATTTCTCCGAGCAGATGCCTCGCGTCGTCGTCGGCGGCGGCGACCAGTTCATAGCGTAACGTTCACAACGACTGGCGGAGACAGTGGCAAGAATATGCAGGTGAATATTCGTGACCGGCACGGGCAGCATTATTCCGCCCGCCCATCCGCTCCACCCGACGGGACGGGACCAGTCACCAGCCTGACCTCTTTGGGCCCGACAGCATTCCAGGTCCACGGTTATTCGAATCCTGCCTGATTCTCTCCAGAATAGGCCCACATTCACATGCCGATCCTATGGGCCTTGCTGCCCGCATGGCCCAACCGACACAGTTACTTCCCGCGAGCGCCAATGTCCTCCTCTTCCTCCTGGCCGGCAAGCAAGCCGCGCGCTTTTGCACCACGCACAAGTCACCCGCGCCCAACACTGCACGCGCCCTTCTCTACTACGTACGCCGTCGCCTCACCACGCCACACGCCGCCGCGACCGCGGAATCGCTTTCGTCCACCTCGCAAAGCCATCCCTTCCCACCCGTGCACTCGCTTAATTTCCCCGCGCGCGCGCCGACCCAATCAACCGTCGAGCTCTCCCTCTCCATGGCGCAATAGCGCGCGTGCCCTTAAAACCGGCGCCGTGCCCATGCAAGATGCATACCCCACGCAAGATTTTCCCGTACAGAATTCGAGCGATCCAAGTGGTTATAGCTTAGCTGTGTGATCGATCGATCCACGCCATGTCGTCGACGATGCCGGCGCAGGGCGGCGTGCGGCACCACCGGACGTGCCGCATGTACTGGTGCTACCAGTGCGGCCGCGCCATCCGCATCATCTCCTACCCGTCCACCGACGTCTTCTGCCCGCGCTGCTTCGGCAGGTTCCTCCACGAGATCGACCCGCCGCCGCGCCCCGCGCCGCCCCCGCCACACTTCTTCCCGCAGCCTTACCACCCGCACTACGACGGCCACCCGCGCCGCTGGCTCATATACGGTGGCGAGGCGCCCCCCGTGGCGGCGCCGGGCCGCGCGTTCCGCCAGCCTGCGCCCGCGGTGCCAGGACGCGCGTTCCGCCAGCCCGGGCCCGCGCCCGCGCCCTCTCCAGCGCCGGCGCCGCCTCGCCGACGCATGCCGTCCCCACCGCCGGTGGCGCGGCGGCCGTCTACTCCACCGGCCATCGACCCTGGGAACTATTTCAATGGGCCCAACCTGAACAACCTCATCGAGGAGCTAACCCAGAACGACCGGCCGGGGCCGGCGCCCGCGCCGTCGTCGGCCATCGACTCGCTCCCGACGGTGCAGATCACCGGAGCGCACCTGTCCGACGGCTCGCAGTGCCCCGTCTGCAAGGAGGACTTCGAGCTCGGGGAGGCCGCGCGGCAGATGCCGTGCAAGCACGTGTACCACTCCGACTGCATCGTGCCGTGGCTCCGCCTCCACAACTCCTGCCCCGTCTGCCGGTACCAGCTGCTGTCCTCCGCCGCCGCCGGGTCCAACGCCAACAGCCGAGCTCGCCGCGGCAGCGCCAACAACGGTGGCGGCGGCGGCGGCGGCGATGGCCGGGACAGGGAGCAGACGATCGTGAGGTGGGGGCCCTTCTCGTGGATGTGGCCGCCGCGGGGGCTCGAAGACCCCGACGACGGGTGGGAGTACGGACGGCGAGGAAGGCCAGAGGCGGGCGACGCCGGCGGTAATGACATGACGGCCCTCCAGTCTTTTGTTCTCGTCGCTACTTGCGTTTTCTTCTTCTCCTTCCTTACTTGAAGTCTTGAACCTCCGACCAAACACTCAAAAGGCAACAGCCACTCTTGATCTCATCTGCCACTCTTCCCATGAGATCATACATGATTATGTACAATGAATCTACTATGGAAGAACAAAAGGGGGAAAAGGGCTTCCGGGAATTGGCTTCACTTGCTGATTTGATTGATTTTATGCTATTGTTTTGAAGTTTTTGCTGTTCTTCAATTCTCATTTCAGCATTCTACGCTTGGTGGCGCTCTCTGTTTCTTTTCTAAATTTGAAGATCATCGCCAAATAGCAATCAAAGAGAAATACCTGTTTGATCAGTTAAGTAACCTGATAGCTACCATTCTTCTCTTTTTGTTACTACCTGATTAGTAAAGTTGCTCTGATTAACTAATGTTTTGTTGGCAATGGCAGGTAGAATGTGTAACGACCATGGAAATTTCCGAAAGTTGGTGACAATGATGGATGGCTGAAGAACATCTGCTGTAAAAGTTGACCATGTAAATGATAGACATGGCAGTGCAGAATGTTCCTATTTGAGCAGACAATGAAATTATGTAATGCTCAATGCAACGTTTTAAAGTTTATCAAACACGGAGAATAAATTTAACCGGTGTTTTCCAACGCTTGTCCGTTCAACGGTGTTTTTCATTTAGAGAGCTTATAAGAGATCTAATTTTACCTCAACTGACAAGGTTGATCTCTCAACCTTCTTGAAAAATTGAGCAAACATGAAGTAGACAACAGGTCAAAGGAAAGCATAATTTATAATTTGATCGATTTTACACTAAATGTCATACAAAATTCACTGAATCGACTTATGTCCATTGTATTAAAAGAAACAATTTACTTCCGAGAAGCCTGTCCTTTTAAACCTGAATTGAGCATAGTCTCGAAGCCAGCCTCAAATCCAGCGGTGTATGCTGCATTCTTCAGACTCGTCTGCAGTGAAACACAGCCGCGTCCGTTACATGCTTCACAACTTAACGAGGTAGAAATTTATTGAAGTTCAAACTGAAGTACATCACCACACCAAACTCCAAACGTGGGCAGTTTGATGCCTGATTTTACCACAACGAAAGTTTCTTATGAAGGCCTTCACAAAGAAATTGTGACTTGCAACATTTACTTAGGCCCATGGCTTTTTTTTTTTGTTTGGTTAATTTTTACCACAGATGCTTGTTCGACACATATTAGTGGAAGCTAGGGTATTTACCACGGTTGCCTATCATGAACACAAATGAGCAATCAGTGCTAACATATAGCAGAAGAGAACTAACCGTTACACTCTCCAAATCAATAGTGGCTTGTTCTTTAAAGCCATCAAATATAGAAGAAAGTTCTTCCTGCTTAACATTCAGTTTCTTTGATACCTGCAAAAGAAATTTATCAACAAAAAGAGTGGACATTATTCATGAGGGTCATCATGCACAATCTTATTACCTCAGAAAGGAACAACGGGGACATGATGTCAAATACATCATTTACAAATTTCTCAACATTAGCTCCGTTTGTAGGTATCTTGCTCTGCGTCTTTTCTGCACCCTTGTTCTGAACTTTAGGCTTAGCCTTCACTTCTGATACAAGAACAAAGTATGCCATGTCTGGTTATTGTAACTTGAAAGTGTAATAAAAAAAAACACAAGAAAAATGTAAAAGAAATGGAGGTTAATGAGTAAAAGACAACATGAACAAGTTCACATGTTTCATCCTCACACTGTCATCTATTCCTGCTTGTTTAATTAACAATAGTTGTTATAATACAGTAGTACCTCCTTATAGTAGCACTACTACTACGCTCATGTACTGCCCAAATGTAAGGACTATAGATTGCATATACAGAAGAAATAACAAGGGACAATATATATATCAGTAGATAACAGCTTACCAGGAAGACATGTTTTCTCTTTGGGCACATCATTTTGACGAGGAACATTTGTAGGTGTGACCTTCTCAATTGGTTCTGCAGAATTTGGGACACCTGATGGTACAAAATCTGCTAGATCAGGAGGATTATCCTTGCCTACAACTGGTGAAGCCTGCACAAAACCAATAATTTCACAATCCCTTCCCAGCACATACTCCCTCCATCCCAAAAATATAAGGCACCCTTATTTCTAGGAAAAATCAATATTGGTAACTTTTAACTAATAATTAAGCTAATAATATCTATGTTTAGTGTTACGCATTCATAACATTTAGACTTGTGTATGAAAGTACTTTCATATGATACTAATTTTGTAGTTGTTAATAACATTATGGAAGAAATTAATGATCAAAGTATGATATTGAGGGCCTTATAATTTGGGACGGAAGGACCGAATGAAATCATATGCACATATTCCGGTGATCCAAAGATTACCTCTAAGTCTACATAAGCTGGTTGCCTCCCAATGGACATGAGAAACTTGTCCAGATTGCTTGAGCTGAGAGCTGAAATGGAGTAAATCAGGAAAAGAAAGCCATTTTACTAATCTATTCTTCTTTTGAAAAAGGTAAAGAAAGTTGAACGGAGGTCTCCCTCCTTATAAAAATAATATAACAGTAGCCAGACCAAGGCCTTGTGCAACCTACATGAAACTGTGCCATGATAACTAACTAACGGAATGGTGTGCATTCTAGTATCACAGTAATGACTAACTAATGACATTACACATGGTGTGATGAAACAGTGTTGGTTACGGAAGTGATGATAGTATCAACCATACCGATTGTCACATCATTTGTCAGTGGATGGAAGTAGCAGCTCTGTTTTGACTTGAAACCTTGGTCCAGTAGTAGTGAGACAGCACTGCTTGCAAATACACAGTTATATGAATCAGTTAAAAAGGCAATAGCATAACCATGAAAAAAACTGATATATAAGTATAATATAATAGGACACATTAAAAGCTAAGCATTATAAAACAAGAGGCATGTGGTTCCATCAGTCACAACCATAGCATTTGCATTTCTAATTTCTATCCTAAAAGTGGAAACCATCAAGTGGAATGAAAACAACGACGCTCGGATATAAAATGAGCACATCACACTAGTAAATAGCTCTTCACCGTTTAAGGTAAAGTGAACAGAGCTCACAAAGTTTTTTTTTTTCAAGTTTAAAGGCTTCAAGCTATTAGAAATACAAATTCCACAACAATGGACCGAATTCCCATTCCAATCATATTTAATTAACATGTGAAAGCAAGCACCCATACCTTGCAGACTCATTAAGTAGTGCAAATGGAGTAACACAGCCTAAGGGTACCTGGACATAATCAAGGACAAAATACATTAACATGTGAAGAAAATTATATAGGGTGAAACTATAACAATAAGCTATCCAGCTAAAATGCTGGTAGAGCCAGGAAGCACCAAAATTCAAGTACTCATTAAAGATGAAACAGAAAAAGGGCAAGACAATACATGAAGGGATATTTGTTTTTTCACAACCAACAATATTCATCACAGGCAGAATTTTTTTTTTAACTTTTGTGAAATTTTCACGTAATATATGAAACTGAAAGATGCACTATATTTCGCTCTTCGTTGCTTTCAAACAGTATGCAGTTTTAGATAAACATGAATAATGGCTGACCTGAAGCACTTCAAGCAAATTTTCCTCAGGAGCCATCCGCAGACCACCTTTTCCCAAACCAAGACGCTGTGATAAAACTAATGGGTTTAAGGAAAACAGAAAATTAGTTGGCATACATTCAAATAAGTAACAAAGAGGATATAGTTTTCAAGAAATGCACCTACTTTTCATGTCAACTTTGGTGCCAGCAAGGGCAGAAACAACGTACAGCCTATGCTTTTTGTCCTGAAACTCAGAATTTAAAAATATCAATACATGAAAATAGGTTCCAAGAAATTAACTGTCCATCACTTGGTAAGACACATACCTTCAGTAGCAAATTTTTACTCAAAGCACCTCCTAAATGCCCAACATGTTTGGCCTAACATTGCGGAAGTTCAATTAGCACTTACAGTAAATCCATCAAAAGTATTGTAGAACGAAGTGTGAACTTCACGGTTTGCAAACCTGTTCCTCCACCGTCAACACAACCGGGTGATCGTAGCACGAGAATTCAATGTTGAGCTCCTGCACAAGACAATACCACTAAATTGAGTCGCGGTCCACTGTGATGCCAGAAGGCAAGCAATTCTAGTTTGCCACACATAGGATGTGACAATTCTCGATAATCGCACAATATAACTGGGCAATTCCGGCCTTCGATTCATGCGCACATCCGGGGTTAAAAAAAAAAAAAAAAACTATCCGCAGCACAACCCAACTAAATTCGGCAGCAAAAACGCCCTATCGCGCTTCCATTTATAACTATGCTAACCAAAACCAAATCAAGCTAGAACGGAACGGGAAGCATCTCGCCGACGCTACAATCCGTAGCACCGGCGCATCCACGACCACCAATCCAGCCGATCCCCACTACCAGGAAACGACGCAAAGCGAACAGTCGAGGAGTTGGGAGGTAGAGAGCAGTGGCGCCCAGTGGGCGGCGGCGGCGGCACCAACCTGGAGTCGCGCGAGGAGCTGCTCCTTGGTGTACCCCATGGCCCTCGCGGCGGCGGCGGCGGCGGCGGAAGGAAGGAAGGAGACGAGTAGGGCAAAGGCGAGGCTGTCTCGGCCTCTCGGGTTCGGATGCGAGGCTGCTATGGACGAGGTGGATCGGGCATTCGGGCGGCTGGACGACGCGCCTTTAACGGGTCGGGCTCGTTTCCTCAGATCCGAACTCGCATTACCCCGCGAAATGCGGATTCGGGCTCGAGCGTGACGAGACCGATACGTGCCTCCTCTCGTTTTTACCCTCTCTTTTTTTTTTTGAGATTTGGCCGGTCGCTTTCTTCTCCGACGGACACTGCGATTAATCTAAGCGGCGCGCCATGATCCGCTACGAAATCCAGCTGTTTTACATGATAGGGAAAGGAAATTCTCTGTTGCTTTTGACCACAGCTCACAACGCCCATACCCTTTTCTTGCAAACATATACAGATGCATACTGCAGTTGATACGTGACAGTATAAAAATAAATATTGACCGCATCAGCTCGATTAGTAAATAAAACGTTTTGGATTTGACAATTAGAGAAGCGGGACAAGTGTAGCATTTTCAGCAGAGGACGGCGATGGATCAAAGCTGGGTACTGAAATACGACAGACGCATACGACTGACAAGGGCCCCACAGACACACGCACAGAAGTTAATTTAATTTCAGTCGTAAGGATCCCGGAAATTCTGCGTCGACTAGATACCAATCATGCCATAACTGCACTAGTAAAAAGGACCATTATGCTTTGGACATAAGTTGAGAGGAGTATAATTAACATCATAGTAATTGATTATACTTCATTACTTGCAATTGCAGGAACACCACTTTTACACATGGTATGACATGGAATTGAGGGGAGTTTTGCTCCATGGAAAGCTGCCTTAAAACATGTAGCTTCATCAGAGCTCCCACGCAATTCAGAATTAGCCTAAAATAATCAAGAAGCAGTAGCACTAGTACATTGATTAAGTATATACTACATATATATATGTAGATAATAGTTATGAATTGAATGATTATATGATTATTATTGTACCGTGGCCAATTCTTGGTCACGTACTGATATATCAGTCAGTAATTGAATTTGCGCTTAATGGTGATCACTGGAGAGTGTGGAGGCTTCGATCGATCGATCACCTCCATGGATTTGGTCTCCATCGATCTCCGGTTCGATCGATCAGTTGAGGGAGGAGAAGCTCCAGAGGCTGATCTCACCTTCGTCCTCCCACTCGGCGGCGAGGGACTCCGGCGCCGGCGAGAAGAACGTGCTGCATGGGTCCATCATGGAGTAGTCCATGCACTTGGGCGACTGGAAGAAGGCGTCGATGTCGGCGAGCGCGGCGTAGTCCACGTCGTCCTCGCGCGCCACCATGTCGTGGTCGGCGCCGTAGTAGTTGGCGGTCTCCGGCGAGCTGACGGCCGAGCACGACGACATGTCGCCGTAGCTGCACGGCGGCGTGGTGGGCGCGGCCGCGGGGTTGTAGCCGCCGGTGGCGGTGGCGAAGGAGGGGGCGCCGCTGTGGTGCTGGAGGGGGCTGGTGGCATTGGCGGCGGCGGCGGCGGCGACGCGCTGGATGGACTTGGGGGACATCGCGGCGGCGGGGATGTGGAAGGGGAGGTGCACCGGGAAGTTGAGGTCGGCGGCGGAGCCCTTGAGGCAGAGCAGCGCGGCGTCGTAGGCGCGCGCCGCCGCCTCGGCGGTGGAGTAGGACCCGAGCCATATCCGCGTCTTCTGGTTGGGCGCCCTGATCTCCGACACCCACGACCCCCAGCTCCGCATCCTCACCCCCTTGTACTGCCTCCCTCTCCCTCCTCCTCCTCCGCCCTGCCTCGCCGCAGCCGCCGCCGCATTGCCGCCGCTCCCCGGCGCCGCCTCCTGCCCACTCTTCACCATTGCTCCTCCTCCTCCTCCGACGCCGCCGCCGCTCACCTCTGATACTCCGACGTGTGATCGTTCGATGGAGATGGAGATGGCGATGGTTCGGACCAAACTGCAAAGAAGACGGCTGCAACAACTGAGAGTAGTAGGTAGGTGTAGGTGTAATGCGTGTGTGTGGCTACCGGCTGGTGTGATGTGCTGCATCTCATGGCTTATTTATAGGGCACAGCAGCTGAGCAGCATCAGACTGTGTATAATTAACTCCATGACTTATCTTATTTATTTGCTTATTCTTGTCTAGACTGAACTGGTTGTGAGTATTGTAACCATTTTTGATAGCGTCATGCTGATAATGTCATTTGTTTTTGGGCAATTTGTACACAGTACCGTGCAGCTACATTAGCAATAATGGAGAGGAAATACTAAGAAAACCGATCGGATTAATTAGGAGACAAAGGGAATAAGAAGGAAGGATTCTACTGATTCGATCGATTGGCCAGTAGTAGTACAACTGCTTCATACGTGCACGTACGCAGCATGTCAGCCACAGAACAGCTAGCTAATTAACCAGCAAGCATATGCATGATCCGAACAGCAACACGTTTTTTCCTTAAAGTTTACTCCTCGAGTGTGGATGAGTTATAAGCACAGTGTGCATGCATGCGTATATGATTAGTAGTATGAGGAGCATTGGCGTGAAATGGTGGTTCGATCGATCGCTCCTGTGGAATCTACCATCATTTTGAGCTGTACAGGTGTCCAACAAAACCGGTCCGGTCGTCGTGCTTGTACATGGCTGGGTTTGGGCCAGTACATCGACCTGGAACTGACGACCGACGTCTATCCAGAGTCGTGACAGGGTGTGTTGACAGTAGTAGCGTCCTAATTATTGTGGAGTAATTGATTAATTTGTATTAGCTCCGTTTCCGTTTCAGGTTATAAGACTTTCTAACATTACCAATATATATTCATATATATGTTAATGAATCTAGGGACATATATATATATATATATATATCTAGATTTATTAGTATATATATATAAATATAGACAATGCTAAACAGTCTTATATAATATGAAATGGAGGAAGTAATTAATAACTCGACCCGTGTACTTCTGCAGAATCTGCACGGTCTGATTAATTAGACACGTTTCGAATCACAACCTGTTCGTACCTAGTACAACAAGCAAATGGTTTGGGAGAAACCATTATTGCATATTTCATGTACGTAGTACTGGTGGTGTTCCGACACATCGTCGACGGCTGTGTACATGGCCTGCAGCCAGCCAGCCAGCAGGCCAGCGAAAAAGGCCGTGAAAAAAAGTCTACAAGACACACGTGCCTGCGGCGACGACGACCTCGGGTTGTTAGTTAAATTTAACCCTCGTGCTAATTACACTGAACCGTGATCATCAAACAGCCGCCGTGTTGACTACCCACAGTAGCATATACGCACAGCTGTGTGCAGTGCCGCAGTGCACCGCCCGCTCCATCCTAGCTCGACATGTCAGCACAGCCACATGCTTAATTAGCGAGACAGTAAGTAAGCATGATTAGTAGTTGCAAATTAAGCCGAGAAAACGCAGGCACACACGTACGCGCGATCATGGACCACTGTCGCGTGTGGCGTGGCGTGGCGCGTCTGCAAGACAGACAGCTTGCATGCACAGTAGTGGGAAACCATGCACACCGGCTCGTCGTCGTTGCCGGAACAGTAGTACCTAGTACGGGGCGGCGAAACGTAGGAGTACGTGCATATATGCGTGTGTGCTGGTGTGTATTGAACCCTTGTGCAGATCTGTTGATTCCCCCGCGGCCGTACGCACGCACGCACGCACGGAGAAGGGCCAGGGGCCACCCGCGGCTTCGTAGGCAGCTTCGCGCGCGGGGCGGGGCGGCGGTTGCAGCGACCCAGAGAGATGTGTGTGCCGTGGGGAACTGGGGACGCGGCGCCACGGCCACTTGTTTAAAACCGTTCGGTTACCGAATACAGTTCCTGAACGGCGTTTCCACTGTGATTACCGCTCGATATATTACCGGTAAAAACCGGTGAAACCCGGAATAAGCTTTTCTTTAAAAAAACTAAGAAATAGCCCGAATTCTTATAAAACAATTTCTGTGTTTGTACCAACTATTACCATCGCATTTTAAGCACTTGCCAGTCCTTAAATAACGTACTCTCTCTATCCCAAAGTCTAAGTAATTTTAACCGGATATGACACATTAGTACTGTGAATCTGAATAAGTGTTAGGATGTGTTATATTCCGTCAAAATCTCTTATATTTTTAGATAAGAGGAGTAGTATAATGTTGCTTCTGAGATAGTGAGGGACATTTGTTCTCTTGCTCGATCCCTCCCTGACTTCCGCAAAAAGTAATGTAGAAAAAAAAAACTCCCATTTATGACCCATTTTCCTCTCGGGCTCGGCGATTCACGTGGGTGAAGGGAAGGAGAGGCCAGATTAGGCTCATCTCCACTATTAGTAGTGAGCGTAGGCTGGTCGGATATCTCCCATAATCAGGTTGTTCTCATTTTGTGATCAAGTTTGCTAGCATCCGGTCTCCTCATCTCGAGGATAGTGGAAGAAACGTTGAGGCTATGCTATGGTGTGCCCAAAAACACCACAGCATTAACCATGGTGGTTAATGAAATTTGGTACGGTTCTTTAGTGGATTTGGTTAAAGAAATTAACTAATTGGTAGATGGATGTTTATCTAGATCAAACCGAGTTCAAGAAGGAATTGTGAAGACCACAACGAGGCAATTTTTGTATTTTTAGTACATATATCTTGAATAGACAGGTTATTTATTTTCCTTTTCTTGTTATTAAGAAATCTTGTATCGTGTTTGATCAAGACTTGTATCAATCTGAGGGTATAAATTTTTACACCCTAGGGCTTTACGAGACATCTCCACACATCAATACAATTACTTTCGGTGCATTGCCACCTTTTATTCCGGCAAGTTCTTAGTTTCGAGTTGGGCTACATCGTTTGGATCTTCAGCGAGGAAGTAATTTCCATCATCTTCGTCTATATCAGTGTGCCTAGAACTTTCTCTGATAGGTACAATATTCTAACCAAGTTGATGCAAAAGGATGTCTATCTAATATATTGGTTCTATTTTTGACTGTATCGTTGTTTAGAGTCGTATCGGCTTAGTACTTCCTCGATTAGGTCCGATATTCCGACTAAGCTGGTATTTCTCTAATCACATTGTTGTTTTTGATTGATTCGATATCCATCATGTTTGTGTAGATCTATTGGCTAAATAGGTTTTTCTTATCATCTTCGATCTTATACTGTCTCGGTTAGGTCTGATCTATTAGATTATTGTTGTTAATAAGTTTGATTCTTGTAAGGCGATAGGTTTTTATGCAATGGCCATTAGAGTTCTAGCTGATGTGTTATCATAATTTTGGGCTTCAACTATCATACGTATCAGCTAGCTAGCCGATATACATGCGAATCTACTTGCATAAGATCTCCAGCCGATGTACGCTAGCATTAACCATCGGACCTGCATCTACCACATTATATCAGTATTGGTCGATTGGTTCATTGGTTCAATTCTTTATATCATCCTTGTTAGTTGTAGGATCAAACTAACTAATACGTCTTGAACCCTAAAATTAGGATTTGCACTGGAGTTAAGCAGATCTCCAAGGCCTTCGTGTGTCACGACATATTTTGTGTCAACAGAAGGCAAAACTCAAAGAAAACTTGAAGTAGGCAATTGAAGTGGATGCGTAGCTTGCAGTTGCTGGATCTTGTCGCCTAGAGGCAGCCCGGGTGGCGAAGTTCCATGTGGTTGCTGGTTCCGGCAAACAATCAGTAGATTCAAGGGGTAGGGAGGGGTATGCTTGAAACCATCATATCCAGTTGAAAGGAAGCAGACAAAGTGACACCGGTCTTTAAACCATATGGGGCAATACCAGGTGGTGAAGTGCTCCGACATCAAGTTGTGGACAATGTAAGACGACTTCAATATTGCTATCTCTGTGAAGGCCATCGCCGACTTCTTGTAGAAAAGAGAGTGGTCATGCCGACTCCTTTGATGTTATTTTTGCCTTCTGTTGCAGTTTGTTGATTTCCAGTTGAAACATATTTCACGGTTACCATCCAAAACCTTGCACGAACCATGTATATTGGATTAAGATGGGGAGGAGGATCGGAGGCGGGTTCTCAGTACTTTAATTATAGTTGTAACCATGTGCAATTCAGGTTGGGTGTCAATTGCCTATGAAAACACTGGACGACAAGTTTGTTGCTAGTGCTTCTCAATTTTGACAGCGAAAACCATGGCAACATTTGAGTGAGTCCGGTGAGAGAAAAAACTATGAGTCAACTATAAACCTCAATTTGTGCGGTTTACGAAGGCAACTGAAAGGATCGCCATTTTTTCAAACAATATGCATGCTAGTAGAGGCATGTGGATGAAATCATTGCGACAATGCCGTTGCTCCTCGTTGACCGACCCTGTCTATTACCGATTTATGGTTTTACCTCAAAAACTCCCTTAGTTCAAATAACTTCATTTTCCCCGGGATGGTTTTGCGCTTGTTCTCTAATAAGTAACATGGTGTATTTCCAAAAACTCAACATTCATCATGTGAAGGAGTTCATTATTTAAAAAAATGGGGTACTATGAGTCTGTTTGGTAGTGTTTCAATTTCTAAATTTAACTTCAGGAGTTGGGTCTGTATTGAAATTGTGGAGCTGCCTAAGTCTAGCTTCACCTCCCTAGTTTAATTTGTGAGAGCAGTTTAGTCAACTCCACTCCTTTTTTGGGTGAAGCTAAATCTGGTTGGTCTTCGGCTAAAAAAAAGATGTAACTAGAGCTGAAACTGTGCGAACGAACCCTATATTTTTTTAAGGGTTAACTTGATACTCCATCCATCCCAAAATATAAAGGATTTTGGGTGGATGTGACATATACTACTACTACAAATTTGTACATAACTCATGTCTAGATATGTAGTATTAGGATGTGTCATGTCCACCTAAAATCACTTATATTTTGTTACGGAGGGAGTATGTGTCATTGCAAATGCACCAATTCAAATAAATGCTATTACAATTCGCCTACTCGTAACCGTGTCAGTTATTTTTTTTAAGGAAAAGTTTGACCAGAATTCGTAGCATGGTTCTAATTTTATAGAATTTAAGTGGCATGGTTATAAAGAGAGGAATTGTAACGACAAATTTACAATTGCACTTATCAAATTTAACTCATTTTTTAAAAGTGAGACGAGACACACCGCTGCGCGGGCGCGAGGGGAGGGGAGACAAAAGACAACAACCAACCGGCGCTTTGAATTCGGTGCGCGCGCGTGGCATGCAGTCGTCGATGTCGCGGCGGCAGGGAGGGGGGAGGGGAGAGGAGAGAAGATGAGAAGATGCTATAGCGAGAGCTAGCTGGAGCTGCACTGGCAGGCAGGCAGGGTTGCGACCGACCGCAAACCGCGTGGAGTTGATACCGATCGATGGCGATCGAGAGGAAGAGGATCAGATTGAGCACGTCAATGTCGCACTCCGATCCATCTATCCTAGCTAGCCGATGACCTTAGCAGCTGCAAGCAGATTCCCGGATAGCGATGGCTGCCTCACGCTGACGTTGCCTTGCGTAGGACTGTAGCCACATCTATTTGTCCATAGTGATTACTTGTACACTGGTACTACTGCCCGTTAATAACGCTATGGCAATATGGGCCATTTTGGTTTGGTACCAATTCTTGCCCTAACAATTCTTTAGTAGTTTTGAATAGTGCATGTTAGCATTTTGGATTGGAACCAATTTTTGCCAAATCAATAGAGTGGAGCCAAATCTATACTATCAAAAATTTGGTAGTGCCAAAATTTGCCCAAGGTTTGGTACTACCAATGTTTTGGTAGAGTTTCAAACCAAACATGCCCTATACTATGACGGCATGCGTGTATACATGCATATGCCATGTCCCGGGTGTAATAGTAGGTTTTTTCATTATCTAAAAAAATGCAATGGTGTACATGACCTTCATCGCCAAAGGTCTTATTTAATTTGTAGTAGATTACTGCATATGATTGTTGTGAATTATCAGCTTGATCATAAGGATAAGCTAAATATTTACTGAAATAAGCTTACCAATTAACTTAAAATGCGTGATCTAATTACTTAAGGTAGAAGAATTTTTCTTGAGTAAAACGTATTTTTCTAAAGCATGAATTAAATACTCCGTTTCGGTAATCTAATAAAAAAATCTAGAAAAGTACAAGGCCAAAGTCGAGGAAGATTGTAATGGTTGGTGGATCGTATGTATTTATTATAGTAGCCAGCGTACAATACTGGTGCGAACGGATGGCTGGAAAGTACATACGTGCTTCTACCTGGGTGATTGAAAACTACATCACATTCGCTCGTGCTGTCAGCAACTGAAAAGGTTGAAAACTACGACTTTTGATACGAAATCGCTATATGTTTCAGGAGAAGACTCATTTTCCTTCACGGAAAAAGAAGAACAGCTCCGGAGCAAGGCATTAAGGGTATCGGAGGGTATCTGAAGATAGCATACATGCTCACATGCTTTGTCCATATAGAAAATCATCATTACATTTACACATTCACACCAATCTTAATCTGTCACATGTGCTTTCAGTCAAAAGTGGCAGACATTTGTGTTCAACATGAGGGCGTGCGTAACTGTATATGGTTGCCTCTTGCCTGGTTAGAGTCTGTCGTTGTACCAGGCATATAGGTTTGTCTGATGTGTGCTGTCTTTGTGCGCCAACGATAGCCATAATCTTAGGCAAACTAAGAGTGTGGTTAGTCCACACCAAAATTAAAAGTTTAAGTTTGATTGAAATTGGAACGATGTGACGAAAAAGTTGGAAGTTCATGTGTGTATGAAAGTTTTGATGTGATGGTAAAGTTGGAAATTTAAAGAAAAAGTTGGAAACTAAACCAGGCCTAACAACGAGCAACATATTCATTAAGTACTAGCTTCACTGGTAATTAAATTGAGTCCGAGTTAATTACTGCATCAAACTATTAATTTAGTGATCGCAAACTCACACTCGAGAGATGTACATCATGTAATTTCTCCCTTAGAGCAGGTACAATAAGCTGACTAGACAGGCTCCAAAATATGCCACATCATTTAATTCCTATGTAGAGGAGAGAGAACTCAGGAGAGAGAAATAAGCCGACGCTTATTTTACCGCCCGGCTACAGCGCAGCTTTTCACACATTTTGTGGGGCCAACCTAACACCACCTAATCACGTGATGGACTGATCTAGTAAAGTACGATTAGAAAATGAAAAACTAACACCGGAAAATGGAGTGCAGCCTACTGCTGTACATACTAGCTTTTAATATTAGCTGCACTATCTGACATGGGCCGTTTTACCGCCTGTTGTTAGCTGCATTATTGACCTTGCTCTTAAACCAGCGCTATAGCCACAGCGCCTCCGTACCACGGGGACAAACTGGCGGCCATTATAGTCCAGATCGAACAAGTACCGTGGTCCGCGTCCGTCCGGTCCCGGCCGGCAGCCGCCGCCGGCGGCCAGCCGGTTTCCAGGCCAGCTAGCTGTACGTGCTGCTCGGCCCCCCACCCCACGCCGGAACCCACCACCTGCACGATCTTGACTTTGGGTGTATCCCCAGCCGTACAACCACATGTACCCTAGCTCTGCACTCACTTCGAGTGATCGCCATGCCGCTTCAAGGTTGAGGCTTCCTTTAAAATACAGAAAATTTATCCTACTGTTAGACTGATTCATGTTAAGTTTTCTTTATAAAATTCAAATAAAATTAATGTGTTTTAAAGTATATCTAAATTCGCCTGAGGGCATGGACAACGTCCCACCGTAGCTTATGACTTTACGGCTCCGCCTCAATGGCAAGTTGCCGTGGAGGAGAGATGAGAAAAAGTGAGTGGCTTTTAGAGAGCGTGGTTGGGTTGACAAAAATGATGTGATTTATGGTGAGAGAACATTCAACTGTTGCTTGAAAGGGGAAGGAGGTGGACGCTAAGGTCATCTGATCGAGTATCTCTCATGGAGTCGAGCAAGAGGGCGGTGATACACCACTCTCGCAACCACAACCGCCGCGCTTCTCCTAGATCAGGGTACCCTTGCGGTTGACTTTAGCAACCTGGAAGCATAGCTATTAGGACCGGATCGACGGTCTGACCCAAAAAAACCAGAACCAGGGGCTTAGCAGGTCAGGTCCAATTTAAAGATCGAACGTGCAATCAACCCAGGAAAAATCGATTGAACCACCAGTTTTTGGAAAGAACCGGGCAAGTAAACCGCTAAAGAACCGGGTGCATGTGGGGAAATTGGGTGAGAAAGGGCCCAGCGCAGGCTGAAACGTGGGGGAGAGGGAAGAAAATAGGAGAAAAAGGTGGGTTGAGGGGTTCAAACACTCAATCTCCCCTTTAGACTCAAGCAACCCCACCACTGAGCTATGCATACTTGTGCAGTTAGGCTATATACCTCAATTTATTTAAACCGTGTTGGGCCAGTGGTTCAACCAATCAAACCAATCAAACCGCGAACCGAGGCTACGACCGGTTCGATGTCCGGTCCGGTCCTAATAACTATGCCTGGAAGGTGAATCGATACTCGGTGAGCATAGTGGCGGGGCGGCCACGTTTGGAGCACAAAGACACTATGGTGGCTGGTTGAAGTCACGAGGGATGGATGGCAAGTTTTCTGTTGTTGCAACCCAAATATCAATAGCTTTTGGCTATTTTGTAAAAACCCTGACCCCATAGGTAACATGTAGCTCCACCACTGGTGACGACGGTGGAGGACAGATCCCAAAGCACAGAAGGGCAGTGACCAAATCTAGAGCACAGAGCTACGGTGCCATCGAGAGCCAAAAAGGACAACAGCAACAAAGAGTTGAGAAGGTCGGCAACATGCATATATCGAAGAACAAAAAAGAAAGGAATGGAGCTAGGGGAAGGACAGAGGAGTATTTGTTCACCTGACACGAGGGCCAGTGCATTGTTATAAAATGATTTATGATATAAGGGATTAATGTGCATATTTGTATCAAAGTTAAATTATTTTATAGACTGTAAGAGCATGTACAATAAATTGATATAGATGAGCTATAGAAGTTGCCACCTCAAATTCGTACTGAGTTGGAGGAGAGAAAAGAGAAGAGAAAAAAAAACAAGCGATAGATTTGTAATCAGTTCCAGCAGGGACACTAAGAAATTTTGTAAGAATAAGGTGTGACCAATTATCAATAATGCAATAAATATGTATCTAACTATTATATGTGAAGACTATTAAGTTGTTTATAGATAATATAGTAATAGATAGAGCTAGTTCTTGCTTAAAAAAAAGTAAGGCTGAGAAGCAAATCCTTTTCTAGACCCATTCAAATCACCGGGCATTGGGAATGAGGTATCCTCAGTTGTGATTTTATCTTTAAGAGCAAGTATAATGGTAAACTATAAGCTGGCTAAATGCTAAGGGTGGAGGAGAGAAGAGAGAAGAAGCGGGCTGTAAACTTATAGCCGGCTTGGACACAAGGACCAAGAAACTCTGTGAGAGAGACAAGTGGGCCCTGTATTAACAATAAAGTGCTAACTATTATATGGGTAGGCTAAGAGAAGGCTACAAAGAACCTTATAGCCAACAGGTCGGCTGTATTAGCCTTGCTCTAATCTATGTTGCACACTCTCTTCGAAGCTAAACCTCGAGGCCACTATACATTGTTCATGCTCGGACCGCGTACAGTACTGACCAAACAGGTGCAGGCGGCACACGATATCATCGTGCCAGCAGCGTGCATGCGTGGTACAGAGTACGTGTGCGCATGTCACATGATTGGTCATGAAGACTAAAGAACAGTAACTTGTTCTGGGATGGGTGCTTGGATTGTTTTTTAAAGGTTGAGGTGTGTTGATTAGTTTTTTAGAAAATTTCTAGCGTGTCTTTGAAAATTTGCCCATTTATATGTTCCTGAATTTTGCTCATCTTCTTATATATCTCTGAATTTTAGTTTGGATTCCTTCCATACCTTTTACGTCAGTGACAGTTAAACTCTTATGAAGAAGTCTAATTTACCCTATGGTATGAAAAACAAATACTCTAAATTTGTAAAATATAAGAATTTATTATTTGAGACTTTTATAGTTATGAGTTTATAATACAAGATATTATTTATGACAATTTATTCTTAGATATGACATAAAAATATTATTTATTTTTTAATTATTAAAAATGTATATGTAGTTTATTTTGTGGATAGTAGTACAACATGTTTGCTATATAAACAAATCTATTTATATGCTACATAAATAATTTTTAATAACTATAATAAATAAATATTAGTTTTGCCATATCTACAAGTAAATTTTGTGATAAATAATATCTTGCATAATAAACTTATAGATATAATAGTCTCAAATAACAAATTTCTATCCTCCAACAATATACTACCTCCATTTCAGGTTATAAGATTTTTTAGCATTGTCCACATTCATATAGATGTTAATGTATCTAGGAACACATATATGTCTATATTCATTAACATATATATAAATGTGGGTAAATGTGGGCAATGCTAGAAAGTCTTATAATATGAAACGGATGAAGTATTTCATAATCTTATATGTTTCTTCGTACCAAAGGAAAAAAATGGACTTTTTGATAGGAATACAACAGTCAACTCACGATAACTAAACAAAAAGGGGTATGGAAGAAATCCAAATTAAAATTCAGGGATATATAAGGGAATGCATAAAATTTAGTAGTGTGAAAGGGATTAGAGAAAGGGATTAGTTTTATGACAGAACGGTGAGATGGATCTGCTCGGTCAGAGAAGATACCTCGCAGCTCGGCTCTGTACTTGTTTTATCAGTCACGGTGATTCTTGTGTGTTTGGGGGTGTGGAATTGTTGATTTGGACAAGGGGCTCTGCTGGTCCGGGAGGCAGGTAAGCAGAGCATATGGATCACTGCTAGCTGGGGTTCTTCTGTATGGTGGCTATTGGCTAGGATGTGTGTGTTCAAGGAGAGTATAGCGTTATCTGCTTACGCAGGATATCACTGGTCAAAGTAGGAACACATATCAACATAGGACTTCTATTTTTTCTTTTGCCTTGACTGTGTTACCCTCACATGATTGGTATGCAGTTCAGTCAGGCATGTTTGGAAATGCCGGAATCTCGGTGAATTTCCGAGCAATCTGTAACAGATATTGCCAAACCCCTTCTCTCTATGTCACAGATACATGAGTACACAACTACACATGGTCATATCACCGATCTCACATTTTGGCGCATGAAAAAAAGTTGAAAGAACACGTAGCATACAATAAACTGTTAAATGCATGAACAATAAAACGATGTACCCGTTTTTATAGACAATATTACATTTTCTGCATTGTTAAAAATAAATTGTACGAGTTATCTTTTGGTAAAAAACTGTACAACTTTTTGTTTTTTGCATATTATGTAAATGGGATTACGAGTTATCTTTTGGCCAAAAATTATACAAGTTATTTGCATATTATTTAAATGGGATTTGCGAGATTTAAAGTGACTGAAATTACTATGAATTTCACTCACCTTCAATCGAGCACTGGATTTTGGGAGGGAGAAGGGGTAAATCAACTGCGACGGCAATAGCGACGACAAACTCTTCTTCAATAAATGCACAGCGACGGTGACGAGGTTAGAGTTGAGGGTTTATTTGCAATCCTATCCACCCAAAAAAAATTGAGTGAAATTTCTGTTGTTTTCAGGTGATTGATAACTAGATAATCTCTATCTAAATATAATGTGAAAAGAAAAATACACAAAGAGTATCTAAAAGCATCACCAACAGATGTCCACTATTGTACTTCATCCGTTTCAGGTTATAAGATGTTTTGACTTTGGTCAAAGTCAAACTGCTTTAAGTTTGACCAAGTTTGTAGAAAAAAATAATAACATTTTCAACACAAGATAAATTTATTATGAAAATATATTCAATTATTGATTTGATAAAACTAATTTAGCATGATAAATATTACTATATTTATTATAAATTTAGTTAAACTTGAAATAGTTTAACTATAATGAAAGTAAAAACATCTAGTAACCTGAAACGGTGGGAGTATCTCCTAAATAACTTGGTCTGTAAAAAAGCCAACCTGCCGACGAGTAGGTATAGCCTCCATACCAATGCCAGTGCAAGACAAAAAAATCAGAAAGAAAGAAAAAGAATTGGTATGAACATATTGTTCTCATGACACAACCTGATCACGACCAATCCCTAGTATAATCACACAGGTAAGTAAAACACACCCTAGCAATTTGCCACGTATACCAACAATACAAAAGAGGTAGTGACAGCTGGTCTTCTGTAACCCTCTACGTAGACAAGCCTGAAATCCAGGAGGGTCAAAAGGCCAAGATCAAAGAGGAGATAGCGACCAAAAATGACCAGCCTCATTTTTCAAGCAGACTAACGTCACCTCGTTTAGACATCGCTCGATTAGTCGATTGCGATGTGCAGAGAGACGTTTCATTAAAAAGACGCCTTCAAATCTCACACTTTGCTAGGAATATCTCTCCCTATAATTTACAAATACGACAGGTAGTCCAATACTACCCCCTACCGGTTTCATTGACAACCACGATAAACCGATAAAAACACGATGGAACTTAGACAAATTTTATCAAAAAATTGAACATTTGTTTGGATAATTTTGAAATATGGATCAACTTCACAACACATCAACACCAATAAACCCGAGAACCGAGCGGTTATCGTCGCATTTTGGAACTCTTGTCCCTCTCACAGCATGTACATGAATGCACCAGCAGTAGCAGGCAGGCAGGCAGGCGTCTACCTCATCAGACAAACGAGAGAAGAACCGGTCTCTCAGAGGTCAGCAAGACAGCGAGTGAGCAAGACAACAAACTAGCTGCCGTCTTGCCGCCCCCACGGCGACGCGGTTTAACAGCCTAGCTCGCACAAGAAAAAAAAAAAACCCCATGATGCAATCCGATCGCTACACACAGGGGCAGGGATGATCGTTTTTTGTCATCTCCTTCCCCTCTTTTCCTTCTGGTTCGTCGGATCGTCAAAGCGAGAAGGACAGCTCGAATAAATTATCTCCCAGAGAGAGAGAGAGAGAAAGAGGGGAAGATCTTTCATCCTCGCGGCAAAGAGCTGGAATGCATTAGGAGCAGGGGACAGTGGATGGGGAGGGAAGCTTCCTCTTGCGTGCGTGATTATTAGCGTGATGGGGGCGGGGGCTCAGCCGCTCTCGGCTCAACTTCGATCGCTTTTGAGTGCTGTGGTTTTTCTGTTTTGCATGTGAGGGAGGGGGTGAAGGTGATGTTAACCTGGCTTTGGAAAAGGCAGAGTTTATGCCTCTGCTGGGAAATAAACTTTGCTTGCCTAATAACTGTAGTGTGATTCTGAAGACATTCCGATTTTGTAGCAGATTAGAGGATCCACAAATTAGGTGGGGATCATTTTCTACTGCAATGTGTAACTACGGGTTCTAGGGTGTTGAAATGGGTTTTCAACTCCGAACAAATTTACACTATGTTTAAACATAGTCAAAGTTCGTAAAAAAATCAATGTATTATTGTATTATGACTTGTGTCGTATAACCACAACCTTTATGGTCTAAGGGCGCGTTCGAAACTGATGGTTCTAATCTTCTACTCTCTCTTTTTCACACGCATGCTTCCCGAACTGCTAAAGAGTACGTTTCTGAAAAAAATTATATATGAAATTTGCTTCAAAAAATATATTAATCTATTTTTACTTTTTTATTGTAGTATTTAATTAATCATTTGTTAATGAGGTACTCTGTTTTTCGTGCCAAATAGAGGTTCCGAACCTACAGGTTCAAACTCAGCCTAAGTGTTTTTTTTAAAAAAACACATGTTAAGTCCCACTTAATTTTAGTACATCTGAAAAAACATTATTCAATTAGGTGAAGCGTTAAATAAAGCCTAATAACTGTAGTGTGATCCTGAAGACATTAGGATTTCGTAGCAGATAAGAATTTTGAGTAACTTTACGGTAGTCATTACTGTTAGTATTTTGTTGCCAATATTATCATGAATTGAAGTGATACCAACGGTTGATTTACGAGTTCTGTTATCAGTAGAAACAGAATTCTACTAGTATTAAGGTTCAGAACTTATGACAGATTAGATGGAGATTATTTTCTACTGCCATTTGTTACTAGGGGATTTTGGTCTTCCACTGTAGAAATGGTTTCCAACTTTTAAGTGTTTGCTCATTAGAAAAATATGGGAGTTCTAGGCAATATCTTGTTCAAAGGACCACTTAATTGTACTACACAAATACTTACTTTCTACGTTGTGCCATCATGACCACTGGTCGGGGAAAGTTTCAGCAAAAGAGGGACATGTATTTTGCAGGAGTTGAGAGTTGAGGCTCACTTGGTCTTTAAAATATCCATTTACCTTTCCAGTCTACTAGGAACGTGAGAATTTCAATATCTAACTTTCAAAACTAGGATCGTCACTTGTATTGACAGTGGTATTCAGTCACTACTACAAGGTCTAGGGATTAGAGATGGCTACGATTCAAAGTGCTGGGAATCAAGAATCAGTAACCTGAAAAGTTTTTGGGAATTAGGGACAGCTATATCGCAGACAATTTTTTAGAAAACGAAATTTCAACAGCTACCCTTTGTCCCTTTTTAAAAATGAGACTGCATCAATCACCTGATTGATTTCACTTTCCCAGTACAAAAGTAAGAGAAAAGGAGGATGGCTTTGTTTGGAGGAGTTCTAGAATGATCAGTCACTGAAGGCTGTGGCTCCCATCGGATGGTCCAATAAGCCAAAGAATAAGCCAAAATTTGAATTTTTAAACTTAATTTTGAAATTGATTTTGAAATATTTTCAACGTAGTTTTTTTTCAGCATTGGCTTTTAAGTTACAAAGAACACATATATAAAAGTTTTACCTACAAATTTATTTTTATTCCCTAATAAGCCGTTTTGGCTTATTAGAAAAAAAAAAGCCAACCGATGGTGGCCTGTACTGCCTAAGTGCCTAGGCTCACACTCTCACTAACCAACTTCATACTGTGACTCAATGTTACTTGCTCAGGAATTTGTTTAAAATTTGAGAGAACTATCACAAATCAAATGGTTTAGGAAACACCCTGGTGTAAAAGTGCTTGTCAATGTAACCAAGGATTTCAGAAAAAAGAAAGAAAGAAAAGCAGCCTCAGAAATCATGAGTAGTAGTAGCAAGATGTTATGGTACCTGTATGGCTCTCCTGTGGCCACTTCAATAAAAGGTACAGCAGCAGTATATTTGTTTGTGCACTAGAGCCACTCTGCACCAAGAAAACAATTACCCATTAAAATTTGATACTTGATAGTGCTTAACAGCTGATAGATTGGTACTGGCATCTATTCTGCAATCTCCAAAAAGATAGTGAAAGTAAGATTGCATTTGTATTGTACCCTAACTGAATGATAGAACCAGAATAAAACAACTGGCACGAGCACCAAATTCAAAATGTACTGAGGTGAAAAGAACAAATAGCTATACTATTAGACCATCTGCTATAATGGCATGTCCCCCTTATCTTTTTTTTTAGAGAAAGAGCTCACTAGCATGTATGTCCTTTAAGATGATATGCATACAGAACCCAGGGGTTGTGCTTACTGTAGTCGATCCATACTATAGTTTATAGTTCTACCATAATACTAATGTTGCTAGAAATTCACCTTATGCATGTCTTAATCATAAGCAATATTATTTGTATCATTATATTGTTATAGTAGATGCACTTATCCTATTCAGTTTGTGAAGAATCACCATTTCATTATAAGCAGGCCCATAGATCCCCCAAGGCCCCAACTCATATGCTTAATAAATCCTAAAACTGTAAAGAGCAGATTAGGGTGGCAAAATACTAAAATATGGCCAATGGGTAGCTCTTGTCAGTGTTCCATTTTCTTGCGAATGCGAAATGTTGTAGACAAGCTCCAATCCTCTCGATTCGGAAAATAGAGCCCTTGATTTGAAAACCATGTGAAATCATTCTCAGCCAACATCAGTCAATTTTCATTAACAGAGTTTCTGAATTGGTAGGCATGACAATAAGGCATATTATACTGATGATAAGCAGTAAATATGACCATCGAGCATTGCTACACAGAAAAGAACTGAAAATGACAAGAAAACAACATCTTGATACATTGTCTATATATTCACCAGAAAACTAGGTGTATAATACCCACTCTTCGGTTGCAAAATTACAAGAAAGAATTGAGCTGCATAGTTATGATATATACATTCGAGAAACTAAAGACTGACAAATGAACTATTGAAACATAAAGTCCTAAACCATCAATTAACTACAGAATTGCAATCCAATCTACAAATCATTGCAACCATCTCTCTCGTACTGTTTATCAACACTGGAGAAAAATACAGGCGCAGTAATATGCATCTTTTGTATCGCACGCCACAACACCATGCATTTAATTGGTGATAAAATCACATCCTTATCAAGCTTTCAACTTGCAAAGATGATAATTCGTTCATATTCACTCCACAGTGTATTCTACCCGCTACTTGCATCAACTAATTGACACTCTGCAGTATCCCGTTTGGCAATTTTTCTGCATCACCATCGATGTGGCAAGGGCATTTCCAGATAAGCACTACCGCTGATGTGCTCCACCATGGTGGACTGTACCAGTGTACCAGACAAGCAGTAACAAATGTCTACGCGGAAGTAGCGAAAACTTACCGGAAACCGAACGCCACGAGGTTCCGCCGGTCCGCGCCGCCAGCTCCGCCGGCATGTGGATGGCGCGTGCGGCGTAGAAGGGGGAGAGTTGGGGGGGAGATTTGGGATTGGCGGATAGCGGATGCCGCCATGGCGGCCGGCCTCGAGCCCTCGAGCCCTCGGCTCGCTCGCTTTGGATGGGGGAGGAGGAGGAGGAGATGCGCGACGTCGCGGCGTTGTGGGTTCGTGTTTTGGGCCCATATCCATGGTGAGGTGGGCCTAGCCCATCGGGAACACGCGAGCCTTGCGCGTTTTGGGCCCATAACAAAAGTGAGGTGGGCCTGGCCCATCATGAACACGCGAGCCTTGCGCGTTGGGCCTGGCACGTGTGCGGCCCAGCCCGTGGCAGCGCGGCTAACCTGGTCGCCTCTCGCCGCCGGCGCGGAGCGTCTCAGCGATAACCCAAACGATATCGATGGCGGCGGCGGCGGCGCTAACCGTGCTTCCGCGCGCGGCGGGCGTACTGCGCCTCTCGCAGCATGGGAGGTCTGCCTCCCGCCTACTCTGCGCCGCAGCCGGCGACGGCGAGGCGTCCCCGGCGCCGCGGGCGGGGAGGCTGGTGCTGTACACGAAGCCCGGGTGCTGCCTCTGCGACGGCCTCAAGGAGAAGCTCCAGGCCGCCTTCCTGCTCGCCGGCACACCCTACTCGCTCGCCTCCCTCGAGCTCCAGGCAAGCAGACTAGACCACGTTCGTGGCTCTTGCGCTCTCTCTCCCTTGGGGGGTTTCATCCTGAGAAGTTGGGGTTTGTGTTTCGATCAGGAGAGGGACATCACGACGAATCCGGATTGGGAGCAGATGTACCAGTACGAGATCCCGGTGCTCGCCAAGGTTCTTCCCGACGGCAGCGAGGTGTGGTGTCGTCCTCCCAATCGCGCTCGCTCCTGGCCTTCAGTTTAGGTGTTTTGAGTCTAGAGTTTGTGTCATCATAGCTCATATCAATGATCGTTTTGCAGGAAAAGCTTCCCAGATTATCGCCTCGTCTAAGCGTGGAGCTCGTGCAGAAGAAAGTGTTTTCTGCCTTTGATCAGTAAGATATTTTCACAGTTTCTTTCAGAAGGTGTTTTTTTTCTTCCAGTTTTGAGTCAGCAGCTATGAGAATGCCGATGGATAATGGATGGCATATGTGATCTTTACTTGTTGTAATCTTTATTAATCTCTATGGATTTGAGAAATTATACACTAATTTTTCTGGATACTCTATTCGGTTCAGAATAAGTTGTGCTTGCTTATATAATTGATAATCATCCGTATCGCTATAAAAATACAGATAAGCGAGCATCTGAGCACAAGATGTTACCCATATACTCACAGAATGGTTCTTTGGGACAAGAGCAATCTATATAACTCATGCAAATGCACAAGCTGTTTGGATGAAAAATCTCTGAACGCATTAAAGAAACTTATGGTTAACCACCCGTAGCTGGAGGTTTTCCATCTTACTGCTAAAGAACTTAACCATTTCCCCTACAGTGTTTTTGGTCAAAAAGAGAACTTAACCATTTCATATATACACTTGGTTAAGATTTCTTGAGCATTACTCTGCATTAGTGTAGGACTTTCGCTCAGAAGCACTTCATGCAACCTTGGATGTAACTGACAAAATCACATTGAAGGAACAAGTGTAGAATCAACTGCAGAAGACAGTAACAACAGTTATCTGACCTGAAGGCACTGGCCTGTAGAGTGCATGGATAACAGATAAAATAAATCAACTTGAGGTTCGAATACTGAAACTTGTGTTCAACTCTTTATAACTAAGATAAACATTTATCATAGAAATAATAATATTCAGATGATAAAATGAAAACCTAACATCTGAATCCCTGTCTTGCTGTCATGTAAACTAATTTACTCTTGTTTGTTTGCTCTAATTTACATTAATGCATGTTTCATAGTTATAACTCTAAGATGTAACAAAAACGTGCATCAATCTTGCTAAACAATATAAGAACACTTAAGGACTAGCTTGGTAATTCTATAAGCAACTTACTTATTTTGATGGGGATGCTGGCACAAGGGACATTGGTTTTGCAAGTGGAGAGCGATTTTTCCTGTCAGTGTGTACACTCCAACTATCAAACCTCGTCGGTATTTCTGGTGGTACCATCATGGGAGATATCGTCGATAACCTGCGATGTACAGAGACAGTTTTTCTTCTTTCCAAAGCCGGGCATGAAAAACTTCCATAAGGCTTGGTGGTAGTTGGCTGTGGATGTTCAGGATTGGATGGGGATAGTGATGGTGCTGGAGCTGGAGCTGGATTAGGAGCACATGATGGAATATAACTTTGTAGACATGGTGACAGCCACAAATTCTCAATCATGCCAAATATTGGGTTTAGGTCAAGGTTTTTTGGAATTAATTTAATGATGATTTGGGCTAGTTGTTTCAGTCTGTAGGTTTCTAGATAATTGCTAGGATAGTTTGGGGCAATTAAAATGTGGACTGTAACGGGCAGGTTGATCGTCGAACCATTTTCATTTGTTATCTCTACAATTAAGTCCTGCACAAAATAAAATGTTGTCACTTGCTGTCAAATACTTCCTCCATTTCACAGTGTAAGACTTTCTAGCATTGCCCACATTCATTTAGATGTTAATGAATCTAGACATACATATGTGTTTAGATTCATTAACATCTATATGTATGTGGATAATGGTAGAAAGTCTTACATTGTGAAAGGGAGGGAGTAACTGACTATATCAGATGAGATAAGATGTATGGACCTCATATGGTGTCAGCTGCAATATAATTCTAAGCTCACTCTCTAGCTCCTTGAGGTGCACCCTTAGTTGTTGTATAGTCATGTTGAGTGTGACATTGAAAAGAGCTGTTGGGCATATATTGCCATCAGGTGGTGGAGGCACCGTGATCCCTCCTGGGAACCCCAAGATCTCCAAGCAATGTGGATCTCCAAAGACAGATGATGTCAAAGATAAATTCGACTGCTCAAGCGTAAGTTGTATCAAGTTTTTTCTCAGGGCAATAATGGATTGTGCACTTATGGAGGAATTTCTTGGGTTCGGTAGAATACCAAATTTTACATAAGTGGAATCCTTATATTTGGATGTATGCATAGAAACCGAAACCTGCAAAATTTTCAGCGATCATTTCAGTATAGCTTGAGTGCAAGACAAATTCTTTTGTCAAAGTGGAATAATGGCATACCGTAGTATTGGGGATCCCTATTTCTCTGTATATGTCCTTTTGTAGCCTTCTGACATGTGGAATGAGCTGTTGACGTTTCTTTAACAAGAAGAAGCTAGCCTGAATTTCACCTGGAGGAATGATAGGCGTTTTCTTTTGAGAGATGCATAAGAGGATAAAGGTAAGCTTGACACACTTTATCTTCATATTTGCTGAAAGCTTAGCTAGCATGAGTAGCTGGTATCTTCTAATCTACCACTATTTGAGATCATTTGGTTACGAAATCTTTTGATTCTACTGTCTGGATTTTGGGGATAATGCATCTGACTTTACAAACATAATTAAATCATGTAGCTTGTCAATTTATATGATCAGACGGTTAATCAGTGCTGAAAGTTGCTGCAGAAGGAAAGTGTTCTTACCAGGAAGTACCCCAGGGTCATCATCAGGGATGGTTTCTGATGCATGGTCATGGAGAGGAAGAAGCATGAAGAGGACCAGCACGAAGACGCCGATGGAGAGGAACAGCACAAGGACACACTTGGCATCGACAGCCCCGCCAATCGTGGCGGCGTACCGGCGGACGGCGGAGCCGTGGCCGGCCGCCGGCGCAGTGCTGTGCACCGCTTGCTCGGCGTCACCGGCCTTGCCCATGGTGAGCGCATCTGCCACTGGTTTTTCTCAGGCTCGCCAGCGTAGAAATCATCAGAGCTGAGGGCATCTGCGGCTGCGTGGCGTCGAGGAGCAGCTGGAAAGCTGGAGATGGTGCTCGCCGTCGTCGCAACGGCGACGCGGACATGGTGATATCATCAAGAGCTTGAGAGTTATCAGAATACTAGAATAGGGATGGATACGTGTTAGGACTTGGGAATTTTGGGATGTGAATGCTTAAGTCGTTAACAGCTTAGGCCGGCTGTCATTGGTTTTCTGGTTTAGTTTAAGAACGTATGAAAATTTTAATAGCAAGTTAGCCAGCTTATGCCCTCTTTGTTTAGGCTTATAAGCCAACTTATAAGTCGAAAAGTCTAAGCCAAAACAAACAAGCAGCTTTTTCATTTGGCTTTTTTAAACCATAAGCCACTCTAACACTATTAAGCCAAAAACTAGGTTGGAGAAGCTTTTTTTTTGGCTTATATGAGATAGATGTATAACTCTACCATTAAACTTAGGACATTAAATCCACTGGCTTATAAATCATATAAGCCAATAAGCTGACTTAAAAGTCTAGGCCAATCAGTCTAAAGTCTAAATAAAGAGGGCCTTAGCCTCTTTCTGTGATCAGATTTCTGACGATGTTGCTCCGGTTGTTTTGACTTTGCATCATTGTGCGTGATTCATCCGTTAACGTGTATTTGTCCCATACAGAAACTGTAGGTTCAGGACAAAGACATGCTAGATAATTGGCCTTCTCATATCGGTGTTTCCATCTAAGCCGGTTTACTGGTACAAGGATCGGACCATACTATGACACTTACATGACATCTGTAATAGCTAAAGCAAATGGAAGAAAAACCACCGCCCACTACCACATAAGCCACAATTTTTGCATCCCATTATAAGACGATGAATTTCTTGTAATCTATGTCCTGAAGGCATCAAATATTCCAGGGAGATTTAAGTTATCACCTATTTGCAATCATAATGCACAACACATCTAAACTGAACCATGGTTAAATTACATAAAGTACAAGCAGCTCCTCGCTAGCGTGAAGTTCGAACTAACATGACAAAACTGTTTTCCCCAATGTAACAACATTTGCAATTTTGGAGTCACGGTACAGCTCAAGCGAGCTAACCTAGATGAGCTTCTTCTTCTGGAAGTACCCTTGAAGGTGCCACAATTGCAAAATTGAAACCACAATGCAGACGCTTAGTGACAAAATACTGAACCAGGCTACCCTAGCGTTTGTTTTCTCGCTCACTGTTCGCATCTCTGCTTCCCTGTATGAACAAATCAAATAAATCATTAGATTTGCCGCTAATTTAAAATCCTGTAGGGCGGTAATAAATGTCTTCAAGTTCACATAATCTCATATAACACTATGATTTCTTAACCATATAAGGGCAATGACTGGGTTCAATCGCAACAGATCTTGAAATATAAAGTTTCTCAAAGTAGAAAGCAGATCTGGACTGCAGATCGTAAGTTTTGTAAACAATGCTCGCTCTTTGTGGTTGAATGTATCTAGTGCTGAGAATTGAAGACAATATGATTGTTTCATTACCACTTCCAAGTTCCATTGGCAATCTACTGAACCCTCTATTAGTACCACCAATATTCGTTTTAAAGCCTCAACCACAGTAAGTCAATCATGTGGAAGTAAAACTTACCTTGCTTTGAGATATATCATGTTCTGATGGATGGATTGTACTGCCACTTCAAGTTTTCTAAGCTCTAGTTCTACACCCTACAAAAGGAATTAGATTGCAGCAATTAGAGAAGCAGTGAATTAAACTGGACATCAGTGAAATATGGTCATATGGACCGTCAGCAGTTTGGCTAAGCCTACTCCTACCTCAATTTTTTCCTTCTTAGCGATAACATCCCAATCCTTTGCTGCAATTCCAATCTTCCAATCAAGATTAATAGATATTCCTGACCCTTTCTCTGCGCTATCTATCCAGAAGCATGCAAGATAGTTTCCTGCTTCTGAAGTTGTGAATGCGAACTGACCAACCGTAGCATTTTCATTGTGATGTAAGGTGTTCCCATATGGTGATGTAACCTGCACCAAGCATAAGCATTTGCAGAACTATAACAGCACAAGTAGATAGTAATTCATTCAACAAATCATGTAAAAGCAAATTGCTAAGCTTCTCGAAGAAATGCTAAGCTTGAGAGGATTGGAGTAGCATCGTTTACTCCATTAGTGGACTGCAGTAACTGCAGATTGATACTCGCACAGTAAAAAAAAAAAACCATATTCTTGATTCGAAAGCTGCGAAAAGAAAAAACATAAGGACTGTTCAAAATGGAGCAAACACAAATAGTATGCTTAGTGTCTAATCTAGCCAGTACTAATTCATGGATGAAAATAGATCTCCTAATGAATTAATATTATACTTCACATAAATAAAATTACAATCAGTGGACATAAATTGGAGTAAAGACTAAAGAAACTAGTATATAGCGAGTTGCATGGCCATTTAACCCTAGTAACCCTTACAATCTACTCCATCCATTTGCCTTGGAATTGGAAATTTTAGTCCCATGAAGTTCCTCTTGTGCATTTTCAAGGAAAATAATATTAAGAAAGAGTTGAGATATCACCTGCTCACTTAAGTGGGTTCTACAATTAATAATTTATATGACATTACCATTATCTCACCTAAGTCTATCTACTTATTCAATCTTATACGGCACTCGCAATTTATCAACCATATGTCTACACGTTAGTCTATTTATTCAGTATGTCCCCTTGTTTGTTCGAACGCAAAAAGCATGGCAACACACTGTCATATTCATGCAAATGATTCCGAATAAAAAGATACACATATGGTACCAAGTCATTACAGTATTAATTTCACATCACATAATAACATGATTGCATCGTTGTCTTCTCATTATTTCGCATCGATGCGATTCTTATTGATCACCTTTTACTTCCCACAACCCATGGAGTTTCTTACAGAAGTCGCTAGAAAAGCAAGTGTGTGATTCTGTAAGATGAATCACCTTGTATTCTGTTACGAGTGACATCCTGGACAGAAACCACCGCAATTTAGACAGAAGGAATCGACGCGGTTTGTGGATCATATGTAAGCATACCCTGCGTCATCAATGCGAATCATACCAATCCACTTGACGCATCAGCCAGTTATTCTAGAATACTATCATCATCATTCCCTGCGATGCAAATGGAATCTAGACAGAGCACTAGATCCTAGAGAACAACAAATTCCTAGCAGGTTACACAAAGAATATATGATTCCAAGTTTCAGCTCCCATCGCAATCCGGTGAACACTAGGCACAAACTTTTTCTGTCTTTCGCGAGCACAGCTGCACCAATAACACATAATCCCTCGCACTCAAGGACTCAACCAGTTCAACGATTATTCCAGCACAATATAATGTGCGCTAAGCATCTCTAAACCCGCAGCAAAACCAAAAACTTCACGCCACCGCTCCGTTTCACGGAATAATCATCCATCTATCGTTCTACCATGGAGTTGACCTAATTCGTCCAAAACTACCGCAACCTAGATCGGAGCCCATCCAAAAATTCCAAAACAACGGAAGCGCCTCACTGCATCATAGAATCCGAAGCGAGAGACGGCTAGAAATGTGGGGAATTACCTTGACGGCGATGGTGGGGTGGGAGGAGGGGTGGGACTCGTACATGAGGGCGTAGTCGGCGAGCACCACCACGTTGGACTGGATCTCCTCGGACACGCACTTGGTCCCCGACTGCGGCAAGTCCAGCCACACCGCCTCCGCGCAGAGGAGGAGGCACGCGGCCGCTATCACCGCGGCCGCGACAGCGAGGGTTAGCGCCGGAGATGTAGCCGCCACCGCCGCCATCCCCCGACGACCTTGGGATCTCCGCCGCCTTGCGGGGAGGGGGAGCTGGAGCAGTGGCGGAGTGGGAGAGAGCGTGAGGAAGGCGACGGCTTGAGGGACTATTTTGAAATTATTTACTTCTGTTTAGGGGTGCCCGTGAGGTGGGCTTTGTCGGGTGGTATTTGGATTTAGGGACTTAAACTTTAGGGCACCCACAATGGTTATCTATAAGCTATCTACAAGAGATCCATGTCAGCATATTTTTCTACTTGGAAGATATTAAATGAAGAGAGAGAGCAAAGCTATCTACTAGCTTAGAGATAGTCTATAGAGAAAAACGAAGCAATGCATGAGAGAGCTATAGATACCTATGTAGACATACTATTGAGGTGGTTTACTATTAATCTAGTCTATTGCTGAGATGTACATGTTTTATAGAGAGCACCCTACTTTACCATTGCGGGTGCTCTTAGTCTCTGTATTTAAACACTAATTTAGAGTATTAAATATAGACTACTTACGTACATAAATGAAAGCTAATTTATCTGACAAATTTTTTAAGCCTAATTAATCCATAATTAGAGAATGTTTATTGTAGTATCACATAGGCTAATCATGGATTAATTAGGCTCAACAGATTCGTCTCGCGAATTAGTTTAAGATTATGTATGGGTTTTATTAATAGACTATGTTTAACATTTATAATTAGTGTCCAAACATCCGATGTAATAGGGACTTAAAAGTTTTAGTCCCATCTAAACAGGGTCTGACAGTACTACTCACTACTGTAGTGTACTACTGTGGTGGGTCTATGGTAAGTGGGACCGGTTCTTCCATGGTGAAGACAAATGAAATACTCCCTCCGTAAAAAAACGAATTTAGGACTAAATATGACACATTATAATACAACGAATAGAGATATATCCAGTACTAGCTTGTTTTTTAGATGGATGGAGTAAGGTTGAGTTTCAGCGGCTGCAGATTCTCACACAGTGGTTGTTCTCTTTGGTTGTCATTTTTAGCCTTATTAAAGTTTGATACTCCCTCCATTTCAGGTTATAAGACTTATAGGTTAACATCTATATAAATGTGGGCAATAGTAGAAAGTCTTATAATATGAAATGGATAGAGTAATGTTAAATTTTGGTATATTTTAGCATTATCGAAAAAGAATAGCGTTAGATATATTTGGTGCCTTGTCAAATATTGATGATGTTTTTATGAGAGGAAACATCTAGAATTATCAAATTTTGGTGGAGTGATAATGGTAAGGTTGTGTTTAGTTTACTATCCTATTAAAATTTGGTAGGGTAAAATGACAAGCAAGTAAACATGCATTTAACTTAGAATCTAGACAATGAGATAGTAGAAGCTATCTTTGTCCCACAAAAAGAAACTCATGCGTTCAAATCTAGATATAGCCTACCTTTAAATGGTTTTTTTACGAAACTGGAGAGTAGGAATTGACAAACTTATATTTTCTAAATTCTTATAAACCAGCTTCGCATCGGCTCTCTAAATAAGCCTGGGAATTCTATCGTCACACCTCGTCATACCAGTAAATATTGGTGCGTTACAATAGGCATTGTAAAAATATTGAAATTTACAGGAATTATACTTTTTTCCTACAGAAAACTATATAATTTCTCTCGAATTATCACAGACTTATAGGTTCTAGACTCCACAGTCACACTGTACTGTGAACTAACTTATATCATCGCACAAACTAATAGAACACGTACTACGCGCACACTTTGATTCAGTTGTACACACACACTAACTTTAGTTAATAAAGATAAACAAATTGTCATTAATAAGACAATGAACGAGCACTAAAAGATACGGCAGAATTTGGTTCATATCCCCTGCTCTTTACCGTAAAGAAATCCCAAATATCTCCCGTGATCCCGGGGATTTTTTTAATTAGTGCTGATGTTAGTGACTACCGATCGATCTGCCATTTCCATCATATGGTATATGCGACGCACGCACGTCAGCATGCGTGTACACCCAACACGGCCTGTCGCTCATCTACAAAATGATCATCTTACGTCGTCATGTCGATCCGGCCCCAATGCAGCTCATATCCATATGATGTCCAATCAAAATCCAAATTAGTTATTCTCTGTTTTTTCAGACAATTAGCAAGAGATAGCTAAACTATCTGCTCCTAGCTAGGTAGCTAGGTTTACGTGTTTGATTCCATAGAGATAATTAAGATAAGATTGATGAAGAAGTTGAGTACAGAAGGTGACTGTTTAAAGGGGCCAATCCAAACCAGTTGAACTATGTCTAGCTAGGATTTCACCAGTTTCAGAGGACATGTTCTGTTCCTATATACCAGAGATAGCAATAGTCAGTCACTCACTGTGCAAAAGTAGAGATGAGAAGAGAATGTTTAGGCCTGTTGATCTATTGTTAAATCAATCGATGTCATTCAGCACCTAATGACTTTGATTAGAAAATGTCATTCAGTACCAAAGCCAAACATATTAAAGCTAGCTAAAACGGCAGGCAGAGATCACGACATGCACAGATCAATCAATGCATGCCGTTGCATCGATCAAAGCTATACCAGCTTGCATGTACATTTGGATTCCATTTCGAGTCAATTAATTAGTCGCAAAAAGCCTGTAATTAGTGGAGACACACGCCAAGAGCAAATAACGGAGATGGCAGTATAGCAGATTAGCAGTACTGTCTCGTTGACAACACATGCATTAAGCAAAGGCATTTGCACTATAGTTAATTGACAAGTAAATTAATTGCAGCTCCGGCCACGTAAGACAGCAGAGCTAGAGAGAATAATATGTGATTCATTACTTAAGCAAGCACTTCCGGACACGTCCTGGCCTTATCCATTACATTGCATTATGTGAAAATTTTAATACCTCACAAGAATTCTTAGGAGAAATCAAGAAGGAAAAGAAGAAGAAGAAGAAGACGACGAAGAAGAAGAAATCGTGTCACGCTCTCGATCGATCGATGGTCGATCGAACCACAACTAGCTTACAATGGACTGCCGAGGATGACGGACTGCTGCTGCATGTGCTTAGGCTAGTAGTGCCCGTTCGCCGCCGGCGGCGTCTCGACGTCGTAGACATGGCCGCCGTTGCCGTGCTTGCTGCCGTGGCCGTTGGGCACCGCCGTCAATGGCAGCTCGCCGCCGCCCTTGTTGCTGCCCGCCGCCGCCGCGCCGGCGTCTGTCTGCTCGACTTTGTCGGCGCCCTTGCCCCAGATCAGCGCGTACAGCCCTATCACGATGATCACCGCGCCGATCACGCTGCAATAATTAATTAACAAACAAACAAACAAATCAATTAATTAATTAACCAATCGACCGTTAATTAATTATTCACTCTAATCATGATTAATTACTATATATAGTATAATGGGGTCGTGTACGAGGTAGAGTAGTACCTTCCAAGGTTGATTTCTTCCTTGAGAATGATGGAGCCCATGATGGCGGTGATGATCATGCAGAGCGGGTTGAATGCTGTCACGAACACTGGGCCCCTCTGCCTCGACACGATCCCCTGCACGTAGTACGCCACGCCGGAGCACACGATACCCTGCATATCCATTCACCTCATCGTGTCAGCGCGCGACAGCTCGCCGGCGGCGAACACCGCCATGGCTGATCGATCGAGCAAGAGATCGAGCTTACGGCGTAGACGCAGGTGAAGAGGCGGGTGTCGAAGCCGATGAGCCAGGCGTGGGTGTTGTGGCGCTCGGCGACGAGGGCGACGGTGCCGCTGAGGACGGAGCCCATGAGGCAGATGAGCGTGGTGAGCGACAGCTCGGCCGGGTAACTCTGCAGGGTGTTGGACTGGAGGACGAAGAAGCCCGACCAGCACACGCAGGCGACGACGATGAAGATGGTGCCCTGGAGGAACCCGCCGCCCGCCGCGCCGCCGGCGCCGGAGCCGCCGTCGTGGTGCTGCCCCTTGGTCCACGGGAACTGCACCACCGGGCCGTGGTACAGCACCATCAGCACCGCTCCGGCCACCGTGAACAGTGTCCCGGCGATCTTCGCCTGGCTGTGCACGCTCTTCAGCTTCACCTTCTCCATCCTAATTAATTAATTAATCAACCGATTCACCATTAATCTCTCGCATTCCATGCTGATTAAACGATTAATCCACATGCTAATTATATGCTAATTATTGATTACCTGAGGACGAGGGCCATGACGAAGGTGACGGCGGGGAGGACGTTGATGAGAGCGGAGGCGAAGCCGGCGGATGTCAGGTTGGCCCCCATGTAGTACAGGTTCTGATCAAGCACAGGCCTGACAAGTACGTACACGTGTCAGGACTAGAGCTGAATTGCATGTACGGTATAATCGTATTAGTATTATTTGACTTGTAATTAACTTACTCAAGTATGGCGAGCCCCATGATCTTCAGGAAGATGATGAGGGTCAACCTTGGTCTTACTCGCCTGTATCAAGTAGGAGCAAATAATCAGTTATTAAAGCCAACCACTGATTAATTAATTAGCTCAGTTAATTAGGTTATTAAGCTGAGATTACTGAAGAAAATGCTCATGCAGCAGTTGCTAGTTGCAACTCTAGGAGGGCCCTAAGAACATGATTCAACTAGCTAAGTGAACACATATATAGCTAGGCCGTCACTAAATTGATGGTGATAAAATTCGGTTGATTATGGTACGGTTAATATGTAAGGTGTCATTTTCTGCTTTCTGTACCGCTGCTGTTCTTGTCTGGGATCTATAGATTCTAGTTGGAATATATATGTGCATAAGCTGATTTAACGCGTGACATTCAAGGGATTAAAAGCTAGCTGGGAAAAGAAAGCATACGCGCGCATAAATATATACTTTTCGAATTTCGATCGGCATATGTTAAATTTGCAGATACATAATGGAATTGACAAGCTGCTTTTTCATATTAGGATCTGGAGAAGTGCCTATCGTGGAGCATGCATATCATGCACCATCAACTCTGAAAGGGACTAATTAAAACGCTACGTCACCCGGCTTATGAACGAACGAACGAACGAACAGCAGTGCTAGCTATAGCTAGAAATGGACTACTCCCATCTCTTGTGAAAATAGAAAAACACGCAAGACTAGCTATTTTCATTATTCATGCTTGTTCAGAGTTCAGACTTCAGGCAAACATGTAAGCTCATGCGTGTGTTGTACAAACCACAAACAATGCATGGTCTATGCTTTTGCATGCATGCGTTCTAATTAACGATGAAAGGAAGTTTAATTAATTAAATCTAGCTTGACTTAGAGAAAGAGATTATATTAGTTGATGAGCTAACTAATTAGCTAACAGCGCTCTAGTACTAGTTAATTAATTACCTCTCGAACCAGAGGGCGAAGGGCGCCATGACGGCGGTGGCGAAGAGGTTACGGTAGACGACGAGGACGAAGTGGCTCATGCCGCGCTTGAGCGAGGCGACGGCCACCACGTACATCCCGGCGAACCCCACCTGCAGCAGTATCATCGCCAGGTACGGCTTCGCATCGTTCATAACCCTTCCTACACCCATTCTCTCGAACGATCTGATCGACGTCTCACACAGTTAATTTCTGTTGCTGGTAATCTTTGGCTGTAGCTAGTAGCTAGCTGCAGGAGTAGCTCGCACACAAGCTGCAGCTAGCTAGGTGTTGTGGCTGTGATGAGGAGAGGCAATGAGTTTTGAGGGATATATATAGGCATATAGCTGCACGACGCTGCACTGTTCAGCACAGCAGCTAGCAGCAACCGTTGCTATCGAAGTTGGATTAGTCGTCTCGTCTCGCCCAGATGCCCAAGTGTGGACTGTGTGGTGCCATTGATGGATCATGGATCTGACTCATGCTCCCCTCTCTCTCTCTATACTTCTCTCTCTTCTGAATGTTGTTGTTGCGAGCAGTGCTGGCTTGTATGTTTCCAGCTTGTTTAATATTCCACTTCCGGCTAAAGGAGAGAGAGAAAGAAAGGGCTATATGTCTGCGTCGTCTTTTTAATTTTCTCTCTGCTTTGCCGGGAAAATGCAGTGAGCACATACTGCCGATGGGTTTTGCAACTTTGTCATGTCTCTTTTTGGCTACCTGAGGAGAAGAGGATGCATGATCAGAGCCGTCCAAGTCAAGGTTTGTGGGAGTCAGCTGGAACTTCTCTGATCTGCAGCTCCTAGGCTTTTACTACTTGTGTTAACCCCTGTCTAGCAGAGCTAGTGCTTGTGTACCGACAACAATCGATGTGCATGCATGCATGCATTGTACATGGATGTGTAGAGACTAGAGACCAGTAGGGAGAATACTGTCAATGGGTTATTCGACTGATAAGATGTGGCATCAATGCTGACTAGCTAGTTGGTTGCTGCTAGCTACTCTTATCTTCAGTTTAACTTGGAGTGCTAATTAATTAACTGAAGATTCTCAGAAAAACCATATATAATTGTTATCTTCATTTCGTTTATATAAAGAGTTACACTATGCTATCACTTCTGGGAGATGTGCGACAGTGTAATATAAAGGCATATATATTTATATATGGGTGTAACCGTGTAACATTACAAGGAGAATGGACAATATATTCATGATAATTTAAGCCACAAATTTTGGTTTAACCATACACTTATGCTCAGCTTGGCCTTTATGTATCAGGTCTTACTTACTACTTCCTCTGTTTCATATTATAATTACTCATTTTGAATTTGGTCAAGGTCAAACTACTTTAAGATTGATTAAGTTTATAGATAAATATAGTAATATTTACAACACCAAATTAGTCTCATTAAATCAATAATTGTCACGCCCCGAACTAGTCCCGACCGGAACTAGCCCGTGACGCTCCAAATTAACCTGTTAATCGATACCAGTCCCAGGAAACAGTGCTGGTATCACAGGAAGACAGAATATCACAGCAACAGAGGTCTCTTTATTATAGAGTAGGAGTACAGTCATGTTGGGCTGCGGACAGATCCCGAGCTCACAACTGCATTGCAAAAGGGAAGTGGAAGCCAAGACTTGGACCAAACATCACAGGCGTGACTTGGGAACTAGGCCGAAACTCTAAAACTCATCGTAGCCGGCTTGCTCCTGGAAGAACTCCTCGTCAGCGGGATCCGCTTCATCTTCTTCAGCAACTGGGGGGGAGATATTTATATAGAGCAAGGGTGAGTACAGGAGTACTCAGCAAGCCATGGGAAATAAGTGTTTAATGCAGGCTTCAAGGAAAGGCTGTTGTTTTTGCAATTGATTTTATTTGAACTCTTTTCTGAAATCAACTAAGTGAGTGCTTCTCAAACGACACGGATGAGACAGTGCGTCTCGTCCGGTCGGAGTATGTGCAAAGTATCAGTCTTTTGAATTGATTCAAGGTTGGCACCCGGCCAACAACTTTCAAACGGCCACCCGGGCCAACAACTTTCAAACGGCCACCCGGGCCTAGCTGATCCCATCAGCTGCAGATTTTCCAAACATCGATCCCATTTCCACAACAGCAATTTCACAAGGCAGTAGTCAAACAAAACTACGCTAGGAATCACCTCACATCCGCCCATGACCGTGGGCACGGCTGTTCGAACAGTTTGTTAACCTCTGCAGAGGGGGTACACTTTACCCACACGACATTACTAACCCGGATCACCCAGCCCGTGGGGATCAGCCACGTCGAGAGACCTCCAAGCTTTCATGACAAGGCATTTCGAAAGCTGACACAGGTTTACCATATGCCGACGAGAGGGGTCCCAGACCAACAACAGGTTAGGTCCCAGACCATACTGTGCCAGGAAGCCCAGGGGTCCTCCCCGACACCACCCCGGCGAATCCACATGTCTCTCGGCATCAAGGCTCCCCTGATAAGCTAGTTACTCAGTCAGGGGTGTCCCATTCCACCCATGTGGTCGTACTTGTCTTATGTTCGGATGAAATTCCAAGGAAACGGTCCTTAAGTGCAAGAGCGGGAAACCGTACACCCGGTACGTTCCCCGGTCCGCGGTTTTAGAAATTCATTTAGTTCGCAAGCACCGACCCAGGTGTCGGGTTTTCCAAGTCTTCTGTAAAACCCAAGTTTTACCCAAGAAGTTACTCAGATTTTAAGTTTGAAGGCGACCGTCGATACTCGCACAGAGTGCACGAATATCGAGGCGCAGCTAGATGGTTACAAGGGAACATGATATAACAATTAACAATGGAAGGATCAGATGCAACAAGTTGGGTAGGCCCACCGGTCTGCCTTGCAGACGGTGCAAACAGATTAAGTGCAATCCTATCAATGCATAATATTTTGCGAGCAATATAATTAAGTTCAAATATAGGCTCAATATGTTCAAAGGTGGCTTGCCTTGCTCGAGATCTTGAGCTTGATCCTCGAAATCCTCGCACTGCGGGTCTTCGGGCTCCGAAACTACACGCAAAACGGGACGACTCAACAAACGGCGAAAATAAAGCCCTATTAATGACCTCTAAGCGTGCCATTAGATAGATCTCGAGATTTGAGGAATTTTGGAAGTTGAACGGAGTCAAACGGATTTACGGTTGGGAAGATATCGAATTTCTAAGATTTTTGGATTTTTGGTCTAAAGGAAAAAGGATTTAATTAAATCCTTTTTGAAAAAGAAAAGAAAAGAAAAGGGAAAGGGGGAGGGAAATTAGACTTCTCTCGGGCGGCTAGGGCGCGGCCCGAGAGAAAGGGCGGCTCGGCCGAGCTTAATGGGCCGGCCGGCCCAAGAAGGCGGCTCAGAGCGCGCGCGCGGGAGGGGAGGAGAGAGGGAGCCGGTGGACCGGGCTCACCTCGCGTGGTCCCGAGTGGGACCCGCTTGTCGGTGACACGGTTCACCGTGCGGAACACGCACGCGGCGCGTGCTAGGGTTTGGGGGAGGGACGCGGTGCACGCGCGCGGTTCGCGGAGGACGCGGATGTGGCGGGCCCACGTGCAGCCTCACGGCTCGCGGTGGACCGCGCGCACGGGAAGGGCCTGATCGGGGTCGGCTCGACCCGGTCTTGGCCGAGCTAGCGCCGACGTGGCGCCTACGTGGCTGCCACGCGGGCCGGCGGGAGGTAGACGACGATGCCAGCCGGAACGGACGGCGGACGACAGCGGTGAGCGGCGGAGCGAACCACGGCGATACCGGCGAAAGCGAGCACACCGGGTGGCTGCACAGGACGAGGGGAGACGAGCCAACGGCTCGGATTCGCCGGAGGGAGCTTGTCGGCGGCGAATTGCGGCGGCGGCAACCGGCGGAGAGAAAAGGGGAAAACGGCGATGAGGTCACGAGGGGCCGATTCCCGGCGGCGAGAGCATCCACGCGGCTACGGGAATCCGTCCCTTGCGCCGGATTAGGAGGAAACGCATCGAGGGAGGCCGGCGACGAGAGGCGCTTCCGAGCTCGGGCGGCGACGGCGGCGAGCACACGGCGAGCGACGGCAACGGTCGGGGCGGCGCCGGCTAACTACGGGGAGGCTACTCGTGCTACTACCCGAGTCTAAGGGGAGGAGATGGAACGAGGAGGAAGAACGGAGGGAGGCACTACCGTGCGGGCGGGCGCAGTGACGAGAGGCCGACGGCGCGGGAGTGATCTCTCCGGCCTCGGGCCGGGGAAGAGGAAGAAGACGAGCGCCCGGAGTCCCCTTCCGCGTCCACGAACGCACCGGCTCTCCCGGTGCTTGGCGATGAACGGCGGAGGCGAGACAAAGGGGCGGCAATGGCGTGGTGGCGGCGAGCGAAACGGGAGGAGGAATCGATGGGAGGGCGCCTTGGTTTATAGGACGACGATGTCGGTTTGGAAACCGACCTTGAGCGGTCAAGGCGCGAGCTGGCGCTCGGCGCTCGCGGCCAAAACGGCGACAGAGGCGGAGGATGACGCCGGCGGGAGGAAAAAGGGGAAAAGGAGGGAGAGAAAGGGGGCTTGCCCCCTTGCCTCTTTGGGAAAAGGAGGAGGGGAGCGGGGGCGACGCGGCAGAGGGAGGAGGGGCTCTGCCTCCGTCCCTTGGCAGCTTGCGCGCGGAGTGGCGGGGGCCGGGCGATGATGACGGCGATGACGGCGGGGCGGTTTGGAGCGGGGCGACGACACGGGTGGCAGGCGCGGACAGGCGCGGCAGAGGCTGACGGCGGCGGCGACCAGGCGGTCGGCCACCACGGCACGTGCGCGCGGGAAGCAACGGGCGGCGCGGTGATTTGAGCGGCGCTGCTCGGGCACGCGGGGCTGGATGACGCAGACGGCGCAGGCGCGGCACGGGCGGCGACCGCGCGGGCGCGCGCACGCGAACAACGGCGCGCGGGAAGTGGCAGCGTGGGAGCGGAGAGGGAGGGCTCGGCTCGGCGCGGCTCACGCGCACGCGCGCGCGGCGCGCGGGCAGAGCGGAGAAGAGGGAGAGAGAGATAGCGAGAGCGAGAGAGAGAGAGAGATAGCCGGGGAGGGAGGGGGAGATGGGCCGAGAGAGATTCGGCCCATCGAACCTGAGGGAGGCGAAACAGACTTTTGCGGAGGGATTGATTTGGGAAGGATTTGGATTCGGGATTGAACTCGACGATAGATCGGGGATTTGAGATCTGAGATGGCACGGACACTAGACAGCAAGCAAAGAAACAGATTTCGCAAATAGGGTTTTTAAGAGATAGTTTTCCCGCTATGTGCCACGACGGAACGGGCGCTACAATAATTGAATATATTTTTATAATATATTTGTCTTGGGTTAAAAATGTTACTACTTTTTTCTACAAAATTGATCAAACTTGAAGTAGTTGACTTTAACCAAAGTCAAAACGACTTGAGGGGTATACAACATGGATTTTTATTCTATGCTATGCCCGACTATCCGTACATTGCAATGGGCTCATGCAGGGATGGATTACGCATGCTCATGGTATCCAACCATTTGTTTTAACCAACCATTTTTCTCTGATTTTCTTTTTAACCAACCATTTTTTTCCTAGTTTTAAGGGTAGGGCGGTCGTGTGTGCAACGTAAGGGGAGGAAGGAGGGCGACTACGTTTTATAGTAGTAGAAACCATGCCAAATATATCAAATAAGAGAAAAGATTACAACCGTGTTTTACAACATCAGAAAATATAAAACCTAGCAAATAGAGCATCTTAGATTGCCAAAAGACATGTAAGTAGACGAGCACATCCATAACGTTGACCAACCCCGGTACGTGCAAAAGCATATGAACGAGCATTGGTCGCCATCTTCATTCTTTTGACAGGTCAATAAACCAGTATCACCAAAGGAGTCTACAACTCGAACCTTGAATCAAGTGTCGCTAGTTGGATCACCAGCAGACACCTAGATTTTCATCAAGGTTCACACAAACAAATAAGGCATCAACAAAGAGAGATAACAAAAACCAAGATACTCTAAACGTATCTAAACCGTAGACGAAAGACACCTAAATTGTCTAATAGATTTAAACCTCATCCACTTTGTTTTAAAAAACCCTAAAATCATAGTTACTCCATAAGGACAAGAGACATATACCTTTCTAACATATTTGCTTGCCTCTCGACGCCATTGAGAATGCCGCAAAGGAGAAAGGGGATAGTAGAGATGGTGCATGAAGAGATCCTCGAGAGTCGTTAGATGCAGGAGACTCGCCACATGAAAGACTTATGTTTTCTATTTTGTGAGCATATAGCATGATGTTTTGCTTGTCATATTACATCAAATTAATGATCTTAGCCATTAGACTACTTATATCTTGGTCATTTTTCTCAAGCGTAACCATATGCGCACAACATACTCACGGACACCAACCACACTCTCCCACATCTAAACAAGATTAGAGGCCTTGCCTCTCATAACGCAAGAACACCACTTTACCACTGAACATAATCATGTGTGTATGTAGCCATGCATACTTTACGAGATTAGATTAATTATAAAAAATACGAGCATTGTATGCAAGTTTAAGTTTGAGATTTGAATTCACGTGGATAGGTTCCACTATATAGACCCTAATCGATCGAGCTATCTTCACTCCTCGCTCGGTCATTCTTTTTAATTAAAAGAGTGCAAGACACATCACTTAGGAAACCACGATAGACCTGCACCCTGTTTCAACAAGTGAACCCTATCAAAACCATAAATAAAAAGGCACGTATTTTTTTTTGAAGATATGTAGTTCCGACACATAGGAGCGAGTAACTATCCATGGTGCATACATCATTCATGCACAGCTCCCCTCTAACCCCCTTTCTCTTCTCCCTCATTTTAACCCAAAGATACGATCGATCAAGCAACAAGCAATCAGGGCTCTGAGATTTGCATTGGATCGCGAGTGTGATGATCTCAGCGCATGAGAGGGGCACCAAACCTAATGGAAGCAATCAGGGCGTCTCTCCGGCCGGCCCATGCAAGCTAGCATAGCAGCTAGTGCTTGCTGATGTGCCAAGTGCTTCCATGCCGGCATGGTGCGCTCCAAACAGGATTTGCATCCATCCATCCGTGCGTGCGTGCGTGCATGCATCCATCGCCTCTCTTCTCACCTCGCGACCCACGGAAAATAGTACCGCTAGGCTTTAAGCCTTTAACTTCATCTGTTGATCTCGTAGAGTCCGAAAGTTATACTTTTCTTACTAGTGTTTTGAGCTCTACCGTGTTTACAGCAGCATATCGACTGCAACCAAAGTTGAAATATTAAATATTAAAATATAGAGCTAATTTTATTTTTTTATCGTAGTTTATTTTTTACATCGGCTTTTAAGTCGTTAGAATAATATATTTTCTCTGTTTTTTAATTAGATGACGCCATTAATTTTTAACACATGTTTAACCATTTATCTTATTAAAAAATTTTATACAAATATATAATAAATAAATCATGATTAAAATACTCTGAGTGATAAAAACAACTCATAACAAAATAAATTATAATTACATAATTTTTTTAATAAAACGAATGGTTAAACGTGTGACAAAAAGATCGTTATCTATTAAAAACAGAGGTAGTATGTAAACAATTTCACTCATAATTTTCTTAATAGATATTATAAAATATTGTCGTCTTTGTCTCTCTCTCTCTCATCAGCTGCATGCAACTGAATGTATCCTTTCCTGGAAAGTAATTTGGTTGCTTACCCTAGTCATCACAAAAGCACCTGGTTAATTACGTAGCATCCGGTTTGGTAATAAAAACCAATGACTCAATGAGGAATCCGTAAGTGGTACAGTACAAGATTACGAGGTGGTTAAAGGGACGGGAGTGTTTAATTAGGTTGACACACGATTAGTGAGTGGCCTCCAGCGTCCACTACGTACGTGTTTCTGCATATCTGCACGAAAAGCTAGGCACAAAGAACCTTCTGATCGGTCGATCGATGAGCTCTGCGTCAGAATTCTATCTAATCCCTCTTGCGCTCGCGGCTTCGGTTCTCTCTGTCTTTCAGCCTGTCATCCAATTCGATCGCAACCTAGGCTAGCTGCTACTGGTTGCTGCTGCCTGGTAGGCACAAGCCAAGATGAACTTGTACACCCACTACTATAAAAATTTACAACATGAAAGTTGCCATGTCCAGTGGTATATACACTGGACAATGTCTTTTGTTCCTGGTTGGGATGAGCAGGGTTCCAATAACTGTTGGGTAAAAGACCAGTTTGGCCCCAGAAATATATTCATATATTCATTGTCTGAAAATGAGATAATTGCTTTAAAAAAATTCCATAATCCAGTACTCTATATAAGATGGACTGCTTGTTAATATATATACTTTCCACACTTGAGGATCTGATAGAGGGAGACAGCCCAAATACATTGTAAAAACTTGAATTGGAAAAAAAGGTACAAATAGATAATACAAACTTGACCCCTGATCTTTTTGTTACCATCTTCCAATTGAAAAAGGGTACAAATGGATGATGCAATTTAAAATTTGTGTGAGTCGATGGTAAAAGACTCCAATCTTCCAAGTTTATCCTCAAAACTGACTTCCAAACAGGTATTCAAAACCAAGATTATCTTCACTTGAACAACAAGAACTAGGGAGCTGCCTAGCTCTGACTCACTGCCACTTTGTGGAGTCATTAGACATAGTTTGATCCAGTGATGAGCATATGCTCTCCTTTTTTTGGCCGCGGCGGCCAGCCGGCGAGACGCGGCGCCTGACAAAAGCAAAAGGAGATGAATATGGACATGGGCGTATCTTCCCAGCAATCCGATCCTCCTGCCGTGCGTGGCACATCATCATACATTCCACAACGACCTCCGCTGCACCTCTGATGAGCTGATTCGGCCATGAATCAGACGCACTGAAATGTTTATCTCTCTCTCTGAAGGTCAGGTCAATATCCAGGAGAAATTAAGGGAAAGGGAAATAATTACATACCCAAGCCAAGTTAGTGCCATGGTGCGCATGCAGCTAGTTTCATCCAAAGCAGTGGGCTGATGAAGCCATTAGAGCTGAGTAGTTTATTAGTCAGCTACTGATATAGCCAAGTTGCCATCGTTGTGTGATGCTCCCTGTAGAACGACAGTGTCTTCTCTCTTCTTTATGCAGCTGCAGTTCCAATACATGGACATCACTGAAACAACAATTTTTTTTTGCGAACGCCACTGAAACAACAATAACAAGTTAACAACCACAACTGAAGAACAGAAACACTATGAATTGTTAAATATGCATGGGATGGTTTCTGTTGGCCGGCATTGTATATTAGAATGTTTAATGGAGGTAATGCTGTTGTTAACCTTCATTCTTGCAAAAGAAAAGGGTTAATGCTAACCTTGTCACATGAGGTTAACAGAGAGCCAACAAATATTCAATTGAAATCCAATGCTTACATGCAGAAGGTGATGTCATTTGCAGCAATGATTTGAGGCTTTTGAGATGCTATATTAGATTAAGCTATTGCGTACATTCTTGCACATTTCGAGTTCTTGGCCACTTCTATCATGCGTTCTAGAATATCTGCGTTTGCTTTGCCTTCACGAAAATGCCCCTTTTGTTGGAAAGGAGAAAAGGATTCATCCTTCTTTGCTGCATCTTATCCGTTGGACATACAATTAGCTTATCTAAGCAGATACGCTGCTTAATTCATTATTGTAATTTATAAATGAATGATAAAGTACATCAGGTTTGGTTCTTTACCTGAAATCAGCTCTCTAATATTTTCAGTTCAGAAGGCTGCACACTTTGAAATTTACTAATACATCCCAACTGTTTATTTTTTTTTAAAAAAAAGCAATAGTTCAATTTAGTGGCTTATTTAGTTATAGTTGATACTCTGTTGTCGCAATTTATATTCTCTTACTGATTAGGCATTAGAGTTAAGAAAAATACTACTCCAAATTTTCTTCGCTGATTGCTCCGAAAAACAATTTCCTGACTTCAGAGTCAACCAGCACCGAGACTAATGCACTTTGCCAAAATTCTTCAAGAGTCGGTTGATAGTGGAAACCATACTGCAAAAAGATTAAAAAAGGTAATATTTATAGTATTTCATCTTTTTGAACAAAGTACTAGAACAATATTATGGGAGTGAAGCTATCCACTAGTATAGAATCTCAAAAAATCATAAATTGAGACTTAGCCCATGATGTCATCTACTATTATCTGTCTGTTTCATCATTGTAATTGTACAGTACAGTCTAGATAAGATGCCATCATCATAATTAAGCATCAGTTCTGTATTACTTACAAAAAAATGGTACGAAGTTGCATGTGAATAAGTTCAGAATATCATTGTTGTATTTTTAGTTGAGACTATGACAATCTTCAAAAAAGAAAAAAAAAAGACTATGGGCTGTAATATTCATTAATCAATATTACAGTTTAGGCATAAAGATTTTCAGCGTCAAGTTTTGTCCCCAGGCCACTGAGGCCAGCAGATGGGGCCCTTTTTCGTCAAGGAAATCCAGTTCTACAGAATTTCAGGTGGAGAGATCAAGGAGCCTCATTATTTGAAATCATAAAGATATTCCAAGCGATTCAGTAGTATAATGCAGAAGCTTCTTTAGGGAAACACCAATCAAACTGCCAAAAAAAATAAAAATAAATAAATCACAAATCATGTATTCATGTTCCAGCTGAAACCTCTCTAAGGCTGTGTTTGAGGAGAATGAGATAGAGAAGATTGGGAAGATACGCAAAACGAGGTGAGCCCTTAGCGTGTGATTAATTGATTATTAACTATTTTAAACTTAAAAAATAGATTAATATGATTTTTTAAAGCAACTTTCCTATAGAAAATTTTTACAAAAAACAAAAGGTTTAGTAGTTCGGGAAGTGTGCGCGCGGAATATGAAACAAACTCACTCCCTTTATTCTCCAAACGAACGCAGCCTAAGAAAAGTACTTAATAAGTCGTTCACATGTTCTGATCAAGCACATATCAAACTAAAGACTGATTTTGCCAGTCCACCTACTGCGCTTAAAAAGTTGGTTTTGTTGCTAACTGTTCAGCTGAAAATAGGATGATAAATGATTGCTGGTAACCATATCAAGCATTTCCCAAGAAACCAATCATGCCATGTCAAACAGACACAGAAAAGGTCTCATCATGTGCTTCCCCTCTATCATCTGGAAGTCGTTTGGCATAGTAATTGGGACATGGAATAGACTGGCCTAGCTGCTTACCATCTTCTTCATAGGGAAGACCTACATGCTGACCATGCCCTACACAAGTTTCAGACAAGCCTCCCTCTGCGGCGCACATCCAAGCTCTCTACATGCTTGCGAAACAGCGAAAGGCAATCACCAACTCACAAGATCCGATCTTACGGTGGCCGGACATTGATGGACACATGAAGAACACGATGCGTCCTTGCCAGCTAGGGGTCCATTCCAATTGGCTCTGGTGACACTGACAGTGACACCAAAACGCCCTTCTGCTTTAGCAAGTAGCCACAAATCCACGATGTTTTGCCATCTGAGTGAGGTACATTAGTTCCTCCATCTTCCACCATGGTTGGAAATCTACCCATTCTATGGAGGCATCATTCTATTCTATAATAATTCTTCTAAATCAGTTCAAATCCAACCTCGAAAACATCATAAGAACTAGAATAGGGCTAGTAATAATTTAGATCCCAGAGAAGGCAAGCACGATTGCACGAATACAAGTAGGTAATTAAGCAACAGAGGAGCAATTTGGATAAGCAGTAGAAAAAAAAACAGGATTATATTTTTGGGTACCTGAGGCGCCAAAAGAAGAATCGGCGGCGGCGGCGGCGCTTGCATCTCCTGCATCGCCGTCGCCGGCAAGGCTTTGGCTGCGAGTTGCGGCTTCTCCGATCCCCATATTCCCGAGAAATTTCAGTATTAACCATCCAATACGATAACCTTTAAAGAATTGCCACCCAATACGTTGGCCTTTCAAGATCTACCACCAGACACGCGAAATTCTTCATTTCGTGCCATTCCGTCTGCTTGTCCGCGTCGTCCGTCTTTGTCTTCGTCTCCGAGCTCGTCGGCCGTCGTCTCAAGGCTTGACCATCATCCCTGAGCTCACTCCCGTCGCGGTTGCCAGCGAGAGACATTGCACCTTCGACAGGGACGAAAGAGCACATGGTTTTGTCGACGTCTAGATGGTAGACGGGGACGGAGTTTGCGGACATGGCGGTTCAACAGCAGAACACGAACTCAGGGGCGACGGCGACAATGATCGGATGAGAGCTTGGGCATGGCGGCAACAGCGGAAAGCTCGGGGGCGACGGCGGCGACAGCGGAACGTGAGCTCTGGGGCGACGACGGCGGCAACAGAACGCGAGCTTGGGGGTGACTACGGCGGCGACCGGACGCGAGCTCAGGCATGGCGGCAACGGCGGAACGGAATGCGAGCTCGACGACAGTGGCAGACGAGCTCAGGGACGGCGGCGATAGGGCGCGAGCATAGCAACAGCGCTGAACGAGCTTGGGGATGGGAATGGTGGCGATGGAGGTTGGGAACGGCGGTGGCGACGGTGCCGAACGAGCTTGGGGATGGGGACGGCGGCGGGGGCGGGATGCGAGGTGACGATGACCGTGCCTGGGCGACGACGCCACCTAGCTCGGAGACAGTCGCGCGGATGGACGGCGGGGCAGGCGGACGGAGTGGCTCCAAATAAAGAATTTCGCGTGCCTGGTGGTAAATTTTGAAAGGCCAACGTATTGAGTGGCAGCTCCTTAAAGGTCATCGTATTGGATGATAAATACTGAAATTTCTCCCATATTCCCAGTTGGAACGGTAAATTCTACAAAGTACGAGGACTAATATGCAAAGAGTTATCTTTTTCTCCTTCCAAGCCGATCTGTACCGTCCGCCAACACAACGGTAATACGAGATCATACGAGGGCTTTTCTGCAAAAACTCCACAATGGCCCGAGGGAAACCCTCCATCTGGTCGTTTATTTTCGATCGAACGGTGTACATCGCCACCGGGAGCCCCATTTGGATCGCCAGAATTGGTAGTGATCGTGTCAAGAGGTGGGCCGGAGTAATTCACACATGGTCCGGGCCTTATCCTTCACGAAGAGAACCGGGTGATCTGGCCCGGCCCAAACACCACTCGCGATCTATCCGCACTTGTCTGCGACTGCGACCACATCACGGGGGTGGGCCCACCTGGTCAGGCTAGCTACCACGCGAGCCGCAAGTACCCATCGCCTCGTCATCCGGAGAGACTAGCTCCCACTTTCCAGTCTCCCGCCGCCGCCGCCGCTGTTCACTCCGCACCAACTCCGACGATCCCCCGGCGAGCTCTCGACGATGGCGACGGCGGCGACGGCGTCGGCTACGGCGGCCACCCGCTTCACGCGGCTGGCGGGGGTCGGGCTCCGGCGCACGGCCCGCCTCCCCACGGCCGTGCGGTTCCAGCGCCGGGTGCTCGCCACCACCGCGCTCCTCAGGACCGCCGAGCTCCGGCCCAAGGAGCAGGGCCTGCCCGAGACGCTCGACTACCGCGTGTTCCTCGTCGACGGCGGGGGCCGCAAGGTGTCGCCGTGGCACGACGTGCCCCTGCGCGCAGGCGACGGGGTGTTCCACTTCGTCGTGGAGATCCCCAAGGAGAGCAGCGCCAAGATGGAGGTCGCCACCGACGAGTCATTCACCCCCATCAAGCAGGACACCAAGAAGGGCAACCTCCGATACTACCCGTAAGGACTAGAAACTGAGGAAATTCGTATTCTGAATGTCTAAGTTTATGTTCGTTTCTGCTGAAAATATTGCGTCTTTTGTGTTAAAATTGGACGAGCGACTTGCAAATCGAGGATATAACGGCCGTTTAATTTAACTGGGAATTCCTTCTGAGATCTTCACTCCACAAGTGGATGCCATGATTAGTTTGCAAATGTAACATTTTCTTTTGTGTCCATGCTTGTTCGTGTTTGAGAATTCTAGAAATCCTTAATGTTGTTGCATGAGTTTTGTTTATTTAATCCTATCCTGTTTGTTTAGGATGTCGCATCTTCTTTTATTAATAATTTTAGTGTATTAGTGAGTTTTTTTTTTTTGCCGGGTCGGCCGAAAGATTCGGTCGACCAAATTTCATTAAGAATGGGGGAAGTTGTATTAGAGAGTTTAATTGGTCTGTTTCAATTGTTGTATCAATTGTTGATAGGTTGGTCTTTAAGGATAGAATAGCAACTCTTTTCATACCAGAAATTCATGCTTTACAATATTTGTTGTGGGCTGGGGAAATAATGTAGGAGATTGTGTTTTTTATGTGGTGCTCTTTCGTGGGACCTTACTTCAGTGTGAAAAAGATGGGCTGCTTGAATTTTGTCAATATCAGACTGTAGCTGCCACCACCTTGTGCACTTTTGGGATTCCATAAAAGAACATTTTGTTCTCCCATGTTTGGCGGTGGAATCACACAAGGTATAATGTGGCCATCTTAGATATAGCAGATCTTTACAAAGATGTGATGTTAATTGAACTAGCTGGATTTCCACACAGTTTTGCACAGAGCTAGGCTAAAGTTTATTCGAAAGCAGAGTTGGATTTTATGTATAACTGTTGTTTCTGTTTCTATACATTCAATTTTATTTTGTATACAACTATATCAATCAATCTACACTTTATAATTTGGACAAACCATGATAAACAACTGCGTAGATCTTACTCTTTTTATTCAGTTAATATGGTAATTTTCTAGGACCTTGGAGCGAATGCGGTGACTCTTGTTAGCCTTCTCTTTATCATATAATAGATTTAGCTGACCTGCTCTTGTCATCAAAACTGTGCTACAAGAAGGTTTGAATTTCGTCTGCTTTCAAGTTCAACCTTGCAGTCATGGTTCTGTATAATTTTTCTTAATCAAAACAATGCTAGGCTGTTCTGTTACTTCCATTTCAGTCCTTTTGAAAAGGATTAGTGTACATATTTTGTGGACAGGTTCCTTTTCCGCCTTATAGCTGGTATCAACCTTGCAGTGTGAAACTTGCTTGTTGGCAAGCAATTGATTTTATGCTGTTACTGGCCTTGTTGATGAACATTGTGCATCTTGTCCTTGCTGACCCTGTTTATGAACTTTGTGCATGACCCATCATGGAATTATCTGGTATATCAGGTACAACATTAATTGGAATTATGGATTATTTCCCCAAACATGGGAGGACCCAACTCTTGCAAACACCGATGTCGAAGGAGCATTTGGGGATAATGATCCTGGTAATAAACATTTCGGTGTCATTGTATTTGGTAGATATGGCTCATATATCATCTTCAGCCACTCTGACCAATCTTGCTGATGGCCTTCTTTCCAGTTGATGTTGTTGAGATTGGTGAAAGACGTGCTAACATTGGAGATGTTCTTAAGGTAAAACCGTTGGCAGCTTTAGCAATGATTGATGAGGGTGAGCTTGACTGGAAAATTGTGGCTATTTCTTTGGATGATCCTAAAGCATCTCTTGTGAATGATGTGGATGATGTTGAGAAGCATTTTCCGGTATGACTGATGCCTGCCTTTATTTTTAGTGTTTGTCCTTGTTCTCCACTGATTGGCATTGCCTATCTCGTTGATAGAATGTAGGCTTTTTTTCCCTTAGATTATGACAAATGTTTTCTGTTTTGAATTCTGACCTTGGCTAAGCATTTTTTAAAAGCAAAACATATTTTAGCAAACTTACCTTTTATTCATAACATGAGAAAAAGACAGATGTGTTACTCTTGCCATAATTATTATCCTAGATTCCTAGTTGCGCACATCCTTTTCTAAATGACTACTGCATTACCCTGAAGCTTTTTTTTTGCTGAGGTTATTAGGTTTTTTCGCTTGGAAGTTTTGATTAGTTTTGCATTTAAAATATGTTACATGGGCAGGGTTAAAAATGTTGCTAATGCAGTTAGTTTTCACCCCCTCTATATTTTACAATTGCTTTGTCCGACATTTTACATTACCTATTCAGGGAACATTGACTGCCATCAGAGACTGGTTCAGGGACTACAAGATACCAGACGGTAAGCCTGCAAACAGATTTGGTCTGGGCAACAAACCCACAAGCAAGGTAAGCCTGGACTCCTTCAGTTATATTTAAACATAGAGGATATTTTTGCATTCTGATTGTATAATTCTCTCTCCTAGGAATATGCTCTGAAGGTCATAGAAGAAACCAACGAATCATGGGAGAAATTGGTGAAAAGGAATATCCCTGCTGGAGAGCTCTCACTAGCCTAATCTTGTCCATGAGAAGCCATCAGATTCTTTTGGTCATTTACCTAAGCATGTTGTTTTCATAAGCTATAAGCATGCTGCTTCTTGCGAACTCTTTGGTGACCTGTGTGCAACAGGAACAGCTTGTGGAGTGAATAAGGCTTTCTGAGCTAGTTTTTCTAAGGGAATTGGGTGTTCTTGAGCAGCGATTGTGTTTGGAACAAGCTTTACAAAGTGAACAATCAGTTTAGAAGTTGAATGATAAGCAAATATAGTTTCAACATTGTAATCATTAACCAAGATGGCCTAATTGTTTTTTACCACACCATGTAGTAAATATCGAAATGCTGACCCCTTACACTTGAAAATGCACTAATATGACAGATACAGAAGTTAGCATACGATTTACAAACAGGTTAAGCCACTAAATCATTTTCACATCTAAATCTGACGGGAGAACGGCCAAAGCAACCGTTATGAACCTAAATTATTTGATACAGTCGAAAATGAGTTCCACTTGATTCTTGGCCTCGTCAATCATCAACCGAGTACAATGCTTCGACCAGCCAATACAAAAGGCATTGCAGATATATGTACCCTGGCCTCGTCAATCATCAACCGAGTACAATGCTTCGACCAGCCAATACAAAAGGCATTGCAGATATATGTACCCTGGCCTCGTCAATCATCAACCGAGTACAATGCTTCGACCAGCCAATACAAAAGGCATTGCAGATATATGTACCCAGACCCAGCTCTATCTAAACCACCATCTTGTACCTGCAAAACGGACGTTGGTAAGTGTCAGTTCAGTTTGTGAACAATGTGACTGACTGCAAGGTAAGTGTCAGTTCAGTTTGTGAACAATGTGACTGACTGCAAATAAGGTAAATTGAGATCCTGAGAGCAATGAAGTTTGATAAGATTCTTTTCAACGGTAGTGCACCAAACATAGAAAAGCTGCATTGAGCTGCTGAGCTCAACAAATTTGACTACCGCAGTAATACCCTTATACCCAGCAAGCACCAGGTACTTCGCTATATAAAAGATACCCAACAGATATGCCTAAACATCAAACATTCTATAATTCTATCAAATAAGAACAAAAATTCAGCAAAAAAGGGAAACACAGTACATCCTATGAATGAAGATATATGTAGATATAGTCATATAGATATAATGCATCACGTCTCCATGATGTTAAACAAAGCTGATCAGATCGTTAATAAAGTTTGGCAATGAGGCTGGCAAAAATCAATAGCCGGTTCTTCCATTAAAAAGAAAACTGAGGTAGTGCTCTAACGCTCTGAAGAGACGAAATAATAATCAACTTTGCTATAGGTGTCAAACGAAGCATTCAGCTGCATGCAGCATGCCTATTAAAGGACCTTGGTGCTCAGTACTTAAATGTTCCTTTCAACACCCTGTTATGTACTACTCCACTAATTAGTATATGACCTTCCTCATCTAATTCTCGATCACTATAGGTTACTTCAAATATGTTATCTCTTAGTCATCAATCTCATATGTAATAGCTCGTGTCTAATATTTCGTAGATGTATCTCTCTGATAATTTTGTTTCCCTAACCAAGCAGAATTCAAAATTTCAGGTGCACATATCTATATCTGGTCTTTCAGGTGCCCATGAGATAGCCAAGTAGCAGAGCCAGAAAATATATCCTGTGGCCCTGTGGGGTCAATTATTGCTAGTCCATATCTTAGTGGGGTCATTTCTTCTTCTCTCTTTTTACCCTTTTTTTTTTGGACAACTGTACGGCTTATGTGTTTACTCCTGCCAAAGCCAAGAGACCAACATAAGAAAATACATGGCAGAATTCTCTATGCCATGGACTTGATTTGGCAATCACATACTTTATTGGAGAAGTTTTTTCTAAATTCAAACAGTTTTATTTGAAGTAGCTTAAAAACCTGGGTTTGTGACCTCTCACAAATTCATTTTCTGATACACCTCAAGGAAAAAAGTATTAGCAAAGATACTCTGTTGGCTTGGTTGTTGGTTTTGACAACTTAATTGAGATCATCATCATCATATGGCTTATAGCATGTGCTGTATTTGGTTATTAGATGTGTATGAAGTTATGCATAATTTATTGTGTGTCATCTCCAAATTCTCCTTTCACGCTACTATTCCATCTCCAAAATCCAAACTATCCAGTCAGAGACACAATATACATACTAGTAGTGCATAAAAACTGGGGTGTTGCAGCCATTTAGGATTGGCATGGTTGATTTCTGGCTTTGCTCAAGGTTGATGCAAAGAATATGTAAAGCAAGTATGAAACATGAAATTCTCTAGGCTTTTTTGACCACAGAAACCAAAATCAAGCTGATATTGCTTGCTTCCTGATTATAAGACTGTTACTTCCATCATGCTATGGGAAGCATAATTGCTTAATACTTCGATCTGTGGTGTGCTGATGGAGAAAAATAGCTTCTTTGCTACTTTGTGAACAGACGACAGACCACACAATCGTGTTATCCTTTTTGGTAAAATACCCCAACAGTCAGCAAGAACAATCAATTGCCGAGTAATAGATTGTATAAGTTCTACTGTAATTGAACGAACGAGCAATGCGTTAACGAATTCTCCAGCGAGAAGTTGGACTAGGGAAGGAAATGGCAGAGTTTGGATAAATTACTCGTGTAGATGACAGTCATACCCGAGCTAAGGCCCGAGGGCCTTGATGGCGTCCATGAGCAAGGCGTAGACCTCCTTGGCCAGATCATGTCGCCGCATCTGCGTTTGTATCTCTGAATCAAGCTGCCTCCTCCACTTGCCCTCGATGAATCTTGCTTCCTCTGTCCCTAGCAGTGACAACCCCTTCGCCAGGGACACACTGGACAGCGCTCGCCCATCCGTCTTCCAGTACTCATCAAGCATCTCAGTCAGCACAGGCAGCATGGCGGCGGCGTCCGGGACAGTGCGCGGCTGGTCGGCGGCGGCGGCGGCGGCGGCGGCGGCGGCCCTTTCGTCGTCGCCCTCAGCAAGGGGCTCGAGGTCGGCGCCCCAGACGCTCGCGCAGAGGTCGCGCACGCGGCGTTCGTGCGGTCCCGCGGACGCGCCGGGCGCCGCGTGCAGGTACTTGCCCTTGAGCCGCTTCAGCTTGTAGTACACCTTGGCCTGGTCGATGTGCGGGGAGAGGGAGCCCCTGATGGAGTCGAAGAGCGCGCCCATGTCCGGGAGGCGCGGGACGTGGCCGGCGCGCGCGCGGAAGGCGGCGGCGCCGGCGAGGAGCGCGACCTCGTCGGCGTCGCCCCAGAGCTTCTGGACGGCGCCCCCGTGCTGCCCCCCGGCGGCGGGCGCGGTCACCGCGGCGGGGTCCGCGAACGCGCCGCGCTGCCTGCGCTTGCGCTCGCGCTCGCGGCTGCGGGAGGAGGCGGGCGCGGCGGCGGCGGGGGGCGGGCTAGGGTTGGGGGCCGGGTGGCGCGCGGCGTCGCCCGCGCGGGGCTTGGGGCGGGACGAGCGCTTCTTCGACGACCTGGGAGGGGATGGCGAGGCGGGCGCGGCGCCCGCGTCCATGGCGCTCTGGGACGGCCGCTTGGATGGCATCCGCGCGGCGCGGCGCGGCACGGCACGGTGCGGCGCGGCGTGGCGTGGGTGCGCTCTGGATGCGCTTGCGGCCTCGGCCTCTGTGGGGAGAGAGCTTGGAAATTGGAATGCTCGATCTGGCTGCACACTGTGCGCTCTGTATACGGATGCCTGATGGTTTTCAGGCCTTCGGGGGAGAGTGTGTGTGCGCCGTGCGCGTCAACCCGATTTGGCCGTGGCCGTCGTCTCTGATGATCTGATCTGCATCTACTAGTATATTCGCCGTGCTGTGAGTCGCTTTTTCTGCTGGCTGTCCTTTTGAAATAAGGCCTTGCATAGATAAAAAAAAATTAGCAAAAAACGTCACATTAAATATTTGGCCACATATATGAGGCATTAAATGTATAAAAAAACCAATTGTACGGTTTACATGTAAATTGCGAGACAAATCTTTTAAGTCTAATTACGTCATGATTTGACAATGTGGTGCTACAGTAAACATTTGCTAATGATAGATTAATTAGGCTTAATAAATTTGTCTCACATTTTACAGGCGGAATCTGTAATTTGTTTTGTTATTAGTCTACGTTTAATACTTTAAATGTGCATCCGTATACTTCAAAAACTTTACGCCTAAAGAACTAAACGCACCCTAAAAACTATTTGACAGCACTGTGTAGTTTGTAGCTTGGGCCTCTTTATTCTCCAATCTCCATCCTCTTTGTAATGGTGAATGGTGTGTATATTTCACCATTTCTGTTAGGTGTGCATTAGTACATTGAAAAGGCTAGATACATTGGAGGAAGTGAATCTGGTATACACATGACTTTATACCTCTCATCATCTATACTACTACTAGAACACTTGATTTTAGAAAGTAATGAGTATAATTTTCCTTGATATCCCTACGACTAGGCTGGAAGCTAAGATATCGGTACAATTTTCCTCAGGTCACAAGATAGCGTACGGATAACACTGCGTGAAAGGGTGACTAGAAAACTAGTTGGTAGGTTGGACTGGCTAGGAAATGACGTGTGGTTGTCGACCCGCTAGAGGCTAGCCATGGGAAGGTTGCTCGGGTCTAGTATGTGGCAACGCGCCTAGCTCGAGACCATTCACGGGAAGATTGCTCGGAGGCGACAGTTCAGGGGCCAATGCGTCCATCTCATGGTCATTCGCGGGAGGATTGCTCGAGGACGCGAATGGTTGGTCGCGTGGGCGCCCTCGGTGGGGGATCACATGACCACGCTCTAACAACAGGTACAAATGAAGCGTGCAATAGCTCGCTCCCATCATTCCACATTAATTAGGCATGCTCACCGCAAGTCAAAGGTATTTAATGTAGGGATTTGGTGTATCACGCCTCACCCCTCATGTCTCCTTTCTCTCCATCTGACCAAGCTATACCGTCAGGGGGAGGCCTAGTCACTTCTATGGTAGACCTGTGGAAGGTGGCATCTTGTAGCATGGAAGAATTATAAGTGGTGGATGGTATGATAGCGGGTACGGTGTAGGTAATGATGTATGACTATAGTACCTTTGTCAGTTATCCCATGGTGATTAGGTAGATTGTGGGAGAGTATATAACTTATAAGCACCAGATAGATCACCGAGTGAAAGGTTCAACTCTCCTAGATACACAAGAACACAACACGTAGAAGTTGTACGAGCTCTGGACTTAGCCAGTTCTAACACACCTCCGGTGCAAAAAGTTGTCCAGATATTAATCAAGAAAGCAAGAATATAACTATCATCTCTCGAGAGGCGCGAAAACCTGGGTAAATCAAGTGTGTATGAGCTTGTTTAGTGCTAAAATATGCGATCATAGCTTTTGACCCCATCTCCGAACACCAAGTTTTTCGGATCCTATTTGCCCACACTAGGACACTTAGAAACTAGTTTTATAAAGGTAAGGTTTTCTTACTAGGACACTTGATTTTATTCAAGTTACAATATGTTTTATCAAGTGCAAACTTATCAAATTACGTGTTTTATAAATGTTTTCTTACTTAGGACACTTGATTTTCTTCAAATTACAATGCCACATAAATCAGGGATAAATGAGAAAAACACATCAATTATCGTGGGTGAAAAAGCAAACCCTTATATGGTCCATAGCCAAGGCATGTCTATGCCATGTTGGGTTATCTTTGTGTTTTTTTAGGTGAAAGTGAATGGAACTTAGTGGGCCTTAGCATCAAGCTTAATGCCATTATTTTTGTGACCTAAGGTCAAATTCACTTATAACCATGGGCCCATAACTTTACAATATGGTAACATTATAATATTTACCATAATATGAAGTTGGTATATACACCTACAGCTGTAGGTCAATAATATCCGGTAAATGCAGAAATATTTGTCTATGCTCTATTGTATCGACAAACAATCTCCTTAGTGAGCATAGCAGGAAAGGTAGAAACGACAAGAATGTCCAAATATCCAGTAAATGTAGTACGTGAATTATTGTCGTTTACTAAGACTGGTACGATAAACGCTATGTTGCATGCATGTATGCTTGCACGCTGGAAAACAAAATGGCATGCAAGAGAGTGTGAGTGATTTTGGAGCTTATCTCGTAATGTTATATGATAAATTTGATAAAGATCGGATAAAAATACATGTCATGTTTATTTTGGCATATTTGTGAAGGTGTCCATTTAAAAAGTTATAATTGACTCGCAAAGTTTCATCTATTTTTTTTGTCAAAACTATATACGGTCAAGTGGAAAAGAAACTATATTCCAAATTAAATGTTACCTAACCCAATCATCTTCATCCTTTACCAACTCCCTTATAAAATCGTTATCTTAACCATGCATAGTTCATTAAACCGTCAACTTCATTGAAACTTCTCCGCTAAAAAAACTCTGTAGATTCTTGAAACTCATTCATTACCGCAACGTATTTATTACTGTTTTTAAACCAAATATCACCACAATGTAAATTTCATTTTACTTGCACCGCACTCTATTTCGAAGTTACTTCGATACCTCACGTTATTGCTAGCGTGAAGAGGACGGTGAGTAAAGGTGCCTGCCGGTAGTAGTAGTATAACAAACCCAACGAGAAGAGCAGCAGAGCATATGCTGCGTGCCTCCCGTGCAAAACCGAACCCGTGTCCTGACGCCGCGAGCCTCTCCCAGCCCCGCCCCTCTCTCCCATCGGATCCGAGCGAGACTGACGCGGAAAAATCGGGCCGGAAAGGAGTCGAAGGAAGAACAGACGCGAAGGAGACACTCTTCAATACTCGGGCTCGCGGAACGAAGCCCTAGCGCCCTAGCCCTAGCCCTAGCTCCGCCCCCCGGTCCTCCGCCGCCGTCCCTCCTCGCCGGAGGCCCTACCCCCGACCCCCGCCGTGTTCCGCGGGGGCCTCGGCGGCGATGCCCCCTTCCCTGGCCGAGGCTTTATGAGCGGCGGCCGCCGCGGGGAGATGGCCCGCGCCGAGGGCTTGCCGGAGGGGGCCGCCCCGGGCGTCGGGGTGGACCTGTACGCGCAGGCCAGGAAGGCCCTGTCGGTGCGGACGCCGTTCGAGGGCGAGGGGACGGCGCCTAGGGTTCCCACGCTGCCCGCGCGGCTCGTGAACTGGTCGGGGCAGAGCGACGCGCGGAAGAAGCACAAGAAGATTCAGCCCCAGGACGTGGCTGATGTGGAGCTCCCGCCGCAGCCAGCCACGGAGCCCTCTGCGAAGACTGGCGTGTGGGAGCAGTTCGAGGCGTATTTCCGGCCGGTGAATTTGGATGATATTGATATGTTAATGCCAAAGTTTCCGTTCGGCTATGGCGGGCTCGATTCGTGCATCCTCATACCATTTGTGGGCAGTGGCAAGGAATTGATGGACACAGCTGAGACATTTGATGTGGCTGTGGCTGAAACAAGCTCGTACTTGGGTCTGGGTGGTGAAGAAAGAGTCAGTAACAAGGAGCATAGCGAACGGAGTGAGCGAAGTGAGCAAAGTGTTGAGCAAGGCATACATGAGGTGATTGTGCGACAGTTCGTTGGTAACAAGGAACGCGGTGAGCAGAGTGTAGAGCAGGGCATACATGAGGTGGTTGTGCAACAGGAGAATTGGCCATTGGAAGTGGAGCAAGCTACTAGCAGTGCTGGCATTGTATCATCAAAATGTGAAGAAGAGGGAGAATCATCACTGAATTGGTTGCTAGGATCAAAGGAACGGTTTGTGCTCACTTCAGAACGGCCCAACAAGAAGAGGAAGCTTTTAGGTGTGGATGCAGGGTTAGAGCAGCTTGTTCTGCTACCGCGCTCGGGAGCTGAGGCTAGTTCTGTATGTGATGTTTGTTGTTTGGGGGAGAGTAGTACGGTGTCCAATAGCATGCTCAATTGCAACCGCTGTAAGGTAACTGTGCACCAGAAGTGTTATGGTTTGCATGTTGTGCCTGATGGCCAGTGGTTGTGCACTTGGTGTAAGGATTTGGAGTCACTGCAGTCGTTGAAGAAAGATGCGGACAACACCTTGTCGATGCCTTGTGTTCTATGCCCAAAAGAGAAAGGCGCTCTAAAACCTGTCAAAGGGGAGCCTGGTCAAACAGCGCATGGGGGGAACCTTAAATTTGTGCACTTGTTTTGTAGCCTTTGGACACCGGGAGCTCTTGTGGAAGACATGGAATCAATGGAACCTGTTACTAATGTTGGAAGTGTCCAGGAGAATCAGTGGAAATTGGTGTGCAGCATTTGCAAGGTTAAGCATGGTGTATGTGTCCGATGTAGTCATGGTATGTATTTTACCCTATGTCTCCATTTTACTATTTTAGTTAGATGAACTATATGTATATATACATTTAAGTTATTTAGAATCAGTGTTTTGCAGATAATTTTTCTTGCACACTTCCATTTTGTACCACCGCATAGAATTTCCCTGCATCATGCTTCTACTGCGGTCTCGAGTTTCTTAAGACCGAGTCATTGCTTATTTTTTTTTCCTTTCTTCAATGTGGGCCTTCAAAAGCAACCTTTAAATTTGCCTTTGAACTGGAAGATATGTAGCAACTTTATCGGTCTATTCAATGAAAAACCGCAAATATGCTGTCACTCAGGTTTACCTGAGGAGGTAATTCTAAATCAGGTGTTGCACGGTAGCACAAAATTCTTGCTAAAATAGCTGGGCAGTAGGTGTGTTTGGTTCCTTGGCTACCCTTGCTAATGCACAATGAAATCATTGCTAGGAGAGGAGAGCTGAATTGTCTTTTCATCAAAAAATGGGGAACACTGACTTGTGTGTCCATTACCAAACCAAGCAAGGCAACCCAGTTTCCTTGTCCACTGACCTTGCTAGATAAGGATGAGCAAAGCTACCAAACATGCCATTTATCTCATTTCTGGTGATAACTTTCCAAAGGAAGTAATCCTCATCTGAATGGATGACTTTGCTCAACTCATTAACTCAACGTAGTTTGTGGCAGAAGTATTGCTACACCATACAATGATGGAATATTGCTGGCAAAGATAATTCTATGTTTGGCATGCGGGAATTTGGTAGAATGGTACTTTTTCATGCAATAAATAATGGGTTTACATTGTTACCTTTGTTGGCTTTATTTAAATATTTTTCGTATATATAGTAAAAAGAAATGTGTATACAGATATCCATTTTAGTTCTCTACATGCCAGGTTATCTTGTAAGTTGTAACTGCATTTTACATGACAGCATATCAAAATGATAACTGGGTTCTAGTCCAACCAGTTACTATGCTGCTGTTAATGATGGATAACTGCATATTAGTTAGTTATACCTATACCCTTGTATAACTTTTTTGCAATTAATAACTGAACCAACTTTTGGGGCCACACACATTTTGTGGCTGGTTCACTGAAAAACTGTCCACTTTGGCCAGGGTTTTACTTGTTCAAGTCAGGCTAACTGCTTGAATGATCCAACAGCGTGCCAGACTGGCTGGGATCTGGTCCCTTTTTTTCCTTTTTGGACTGCCAGGCCGGTCTGGTTCTGATAAGTGTGGTTTACATTATGTATTTTTTGCGAACAGATACATAAAACCATACATTTCTCAATGTATGCGAACATCCATAATATCCATTTTTGAAGAGAAATTGGAAAACGCCATCGTAAAGATATGCAAATAGCAAAATACCATCACATGTGAGAATGACACATAGGGCATGGGCCTATATATATTATTGCCACATATGATAATATTTTCCAACTCTCTGATTTTTGTGATGGTGCCAAGTATTTGACCCTTTGTCAAAAAACATTGCAGGAAGCATAATATGCTTTTAATCATAATTTCACCCTTAATTGACTTATGCCATATCCACAGACTTCAAAAAAAGGCTGCTAAGAACAATGTAATAAGTAATACTGAGAACCCAGGCTTTAAAGTTTAGTTCACAATATAATTACAAAATTATGTATTTTAAGACACTAAGTACATGTGAGTTGACATATTAAGTCTTAGCTGTGAAGATGGAGTAAGCAGTGAATTATATATTAAACTATTGTTCATATATAATATTTTGTAGGATAGAAGCATTCTATGATTTGAATTATCTTTGATATTTTCTGTCAGTTTTGGTGGCACTTAAAACTAGCATCACATTTTTTTAAGTCCTTTAACTAGTTATCCATGTGGTTTTCAGGAACATGCCGAACACCTTTTCATCCTATATGTGCACGAGAGTCCAAGCATCAAATGGAGATATGGGGAAAATTTGGGTATCCTAATGTGAGATCATTTTCTTCAGGTGTTTGCCATTAGCCTTATTTAGGTCGCTGTTGTTCAACTTGTTTGTTTTCCATGTAGGTCGAGCTGAGAGCATTTTGCTCAAAGCATTCTACTATTGGATATGCCAATTCTCTAGAGAGAAGTAACTGTGCATCTCACCAGAGTCCTACAGAAGCAAGGCTAAAAGATGCAAACCTTATCACTGGAAAGGTACCAAAACTAAGATTCACGCGCAAGAACAAGGATAAATTCATGAACTATGAAGCCACTAGCTTTAACTCTAGTAACCTTATCAAAGTAGAGACCATAGAGCAAGCCTCTTTACCCCACACTGTTAGAAGTTCAGATTCCCTAGCAATCCAAGGGATGGAAGTGGATACTGACAATCTCTCGGTTGGTGGGAACCTTATGAGAAACTCTGCTGATGTTGCTCTTGTTCTTAGAAAGGTAATTTCTACTCTGGCAAAGCTCAGTTAGGACTCTGATATTTACTACGTAACCCATGCCAAGGAAAGAAACATTAATTTCTGTACTGTATTTTAGCTAATTGATCAAGGAAAGGTTAGTGTTGGTGATGTAGCATCTGAAGTGGGTATTTCTTCAGAATCTTTGGAAGCTGCTCTTGTGGTACGTTCATACTATATGTTTACTATGCCAATTTGTTTATAAGCTACTTTGTCTTTTTTTTTTGAGAGGATATAAACTACTTTTGCTAATGATCTGTTTGTCAGGGTGAAACCACCACTTTTTCCCATGGTCTGAAACTGAAAATTATCAAGTGGCTCCAAAATTCTGCACATATACCAGCTGCTCAGGCAAAGATTCTTAAAGGGGGCCCAATGGTGGTGCATAATAGCAAACCAGGCAGGTCTGAGGATACAAATAGTGTAAACATGAAGAATTCATTGGTTCCGAATGATGAGAAAGGAACAACAGCTTACTTGTCAGATTCTGCTGTGATGAAATCCTCATCAACAAGATCTAAAGATAATAACAAGATTATGAGGGATAACACAGCTGTCTGTGCAACTGGAGTAACAACCCTTTTGCAGAATGGAATAAAAAAGATGGCTGAAGCAGGCGCTGAGCGTGAGTGTTCTTCCCCTGCTGAAGATTGTGCTAAAGGTACTCCAAAGGAAGAGCATGGAGGATTGGTAAGATTTATTACTTTTAATGATTCTGTACACATGCTCATACACGCATGCACGCACGCACATGTGCCAATTTGGGAAGTGGAAGATCATTGCTACATTTATGGACAGCCAACTATTGTTTGCACGAATGATCAAATTATAATCTTATTACCTACAACTTGGCAATGAAAGTGTTCTCTACTGGCAGCGAATAACTGGCACAAGCATTTAAAGTAGTGAGTAGAGGCCACTTTCATTGTCAGTGTTGCAATCTATACTTTTCTGCCAGCTGTCAGGTGAGACTATAATTTGCTCATTCATGCAAACGATAGTTGGTCTGTAAATGTAGCAACGATTTTCCACTTCCCCAATTAGTCTCTCTTGTGTATGTGCGCGTGTTGGGTGCGTGTGCGCGTGCCTGACATGGAAACACTTGCATTCCATTTATACTGGTTACACAGCAATACTTGCCTTAATAATTTTATCGCTAAGTGTTCAACTAAAAAAATATTAAAAACAAACTGGTGAATTTATCATTATTTTATTATCTTAAGGAACTAAATCTTTCATCATAAATACTATCTGACTCCCATCCTTGTGACAGATATCGAACAACATCTCTGGCAATACACAATTTGGAACTTCCATGGCGATACCAAATGAAAATAAAGGTAAAATATGATGAAGTATCTCCCTCTGCCTTTTCGTCTCTCTGTGTAATCGGTACAATTTCTGGACTGTAAAATACATTTTGATTGTTTGATGGCCTATCCTTTTGTTCTCTTTTGCATTAGTTACTGGAAGTTCAATTTACTGTTGGTAATTGTTCATCCACAATCAGAATTAGGAAAAAAAAATTAAAATTCCACAAAGCCGCAAAAAACTTAAATAGCCTGAAAAGAGATTGCACAACATTTTCTCTGTAATGCTGCATCAGCTCTGAATGCTATTTGTAGTTGTGCTAGATTGACTGCTTTTATCAGAATGTAGTGCCTACTAACTTTGTAAATTTTCTTAGTTAGTTAGCTTACTTGGAATATTTATATGTTGATGGTTGTAAATTTGCAAGTGTTGATTTAACACTATTTATATGTTTATTGCTAACCATTTAAAATATTGCCACTCTTTAGTGGTTAGTTAAGAGTCAAGGTATGTGTGCTGTTATTATTATTGGTAATACTGAATTTGTTGACTTGTGAGATGTGATAGGGCTGGTCTGTTCCTCTATATCTATCTGTTTTGTCGCAGGCATTTAAGGGCCATAGTGTATGCCTTCTCAATTTCTTCTGTTTATGTTCTGGTTTATGGGCATTTACGGCTATTTGGATGTCTTCTCAATTTCGTCTCACTTGGATAGCTGTTGCTGCAATGCTATCTGGCAATGCATTTGCCCTTTCTTCAGATATCATTCCCTTTCTTCCATTATCCGGTCATTTGTTTGCCTTTTTTTAGTTCTTACAATATGTTATTACAGGTACATCTCCTGGAAAGAAAAGATATAACTTAACTGAGGCTGAACCTGGCTCGGAGCTGGAGGGTGTCTCTTCATTGAATCAATATTTTCCTCCAGGTGATAATGTAAAACATGAGTTAAACTTGGTTGAAAATGGTGTTGGGAATAACCATGATTGCAACGCAGATCATGTTCCTGGACAGCCCTTTTCCAAGTAAGACGAAAGAAATTTCAACCAATTGAATTATAGTTGTTCTTCTATGGTTTTACTTCCCTTCTTTGTTTAATGTGACCCCCTTCCTTATTTTCTTTTTCTGCATGCTCTCTGGAAGATCTTAACTGCTGTTTTGCTGTGTGCAGCTTCAATGATTCACACTATTATATCCATCCACTCATCAAGGAAAAGATGACTCAGCTTTGGGACAACACGTTCAAGCAAGATAAGCTGGCACCATGTCACCCTGGTAAAGTTTTAAGGGCTTGTCCTAGCTAACTACTTAACGTACATTCATAATACAATTTTTTTTGCTATGATGTAATTAAATCTGTTTTCTGTCCAAATATCACCAGAAGATCCGTTATGTTATCCCGATGAGAGAAGGCGTGTGGGTTCCTCGATAAAACTTACAGAAACAACAGATGTGATGGATCAAGTTTCAAGAGCAAAATCCTTGGGTATCCTTGAGCACTCACCTGATGATGAAGTAGAAGGGGAAATGCTGTACTTGCAAGCCAGGCTACTTGACACTGCTGCCTTTCTGAAGCACAGATATGGTAAAATATACTGTGGTTGTTTATTCTTTGTATTTTTTATGGAATAATCAAACTTTTTATGTTTCCTCTATTGCTTGTTTACTTCTTCAATGGACCTTTGCTTGAACAGTGTACAATACTGTCTATATGATGAATTTATTGTTTCTTCAGTTTTCTGAACCACTTGGCTTCTTAATCTCGCAGAAGATTTAATAGCAAAGGTTGTCCAGAATCTCTCTCGTGAGTTGGATGCTTTCAGTAGGAGAAAATGGGATTTTATTTTTGTCAATCAGTTTCTCCGTGATGTTAGAGAAGCTAAGAAACGTGGGAGAAAAGAGAAGAGACATAAAGAAGCCCAGGCCATTCTGGCTGCAGCTGCAGCTGCAGTTGTGGCCTCCTCACGTAACTCAACTGTGAGAAAAGATGCCAATGATGATGTAGTACCTGCTAAGCAAGAGGTTTATTGTTGTACTTTGATTGGTCAATTAACAAATTCTTATTCTTGCATAGGCTATGTTTCTTATTTCTTTTGTACCTGTAGAATTCTCCAAAATTTGGCACTGGACCTCCAAACGTTGGCCAGCGGACTTCTTCACTACTACGACTCAAGGATTTGTCAAAGCCACCCAACAACAAAATTTCACAAGATAATAACCGCAGCACTTTTCATATGCCAAATTATTCCAAAGAAAATGCACTATACTGTGATGTATGCATGCGAAGTGAGACTGTGTTGAACCGGATATTTGTCTGCTCCAGATGCAAGGTGTTTATTTGTATTTTATTGAATTCTGAAGTCTTATGGTACTCCCTTGTGTTACTAATTCTGACATGTTCAACAGGCTGCAGTCCACATAGGTTGCTATAGAAATATTGAGAATATTTCTGGCCCCTGGAAGTGTGAACTTTGCGAAGATATTTCACCAGAAGACACTTGTGTTGGTGATCAATCAGATTGCAATGGCACAAACCTGTCCTTAGTGCAGTGTGATCTGTGCCATGGCACATCAGGTGCATTTAGAAAGACTGCAGATGGACAGTGGATTCATGCTTTCTGTGCTGAGGTATTTAAATGAGTATTATATTTGGTTTTCATGTGACTCATCTTGTGATATCTAATATTTCTAATGCTTTCTTAGTGGTTGTTGGAGACTGAGTATGTGAGGGGACAAGATAGTCCAGTCAAAGGAATGGTAGTCTTCTATACCCAACATTACATTTATCCCTTTTTCAATTTTAGGAACTCATAGGATCGTCTCAACTGCGTTTATTGTTTGCACAATTAGAAGCTGAGGTTGTTTGTCAGTGTTGGCATATCATCTTATATTGCATCATCTTGATGCTTGGCTATTTGATGCATTTATCAGGAAAGTCTTGTAAAGGACAAAGATACTTGCTGTGTCTGCCTTCATACTGTTGGCGCATGTCTAAAGGTACATCATAATCTTTGCTCTTTCTTCTAGTTCAATGCATGATGAAACCAACCATTTGGAATCTTGATAAGTTTGTCTTTTTCTACCATTCAGTGCAATAATGGGGACTGCCAAACCACTTTTCATCCTTATTGTGCTAGACATGCTGGTTTCTACATGAACACAAAAGGATCTGGTGGTATTTTGCAACACAAGGCATATTGTAGCAAACACAGCATAGAGCAAAAGGAGGTGAGTGTATTAGTTTAACATAGAAACTGTTCTGGAATGATGAGCCTCTTCTTTCCTACCTAAGATCAGGATTCTCTACTAATGCTGTAGATAATCTTTCATTATGATAGGAAATGAAATTAGTCAATTGCCTTCTCATTTTAGCATTGTGACACTTAAACAAAAGAAAGGGGGGTGGATGAGGGTTCATATAATCCTATATCCGGTTTGAAGGCTTTGGTTGCATATTCTCATTTTCCTTCCGATATAATCGGAAAGGGAGCATGTGATGCATGAGTAGATGGAAATCCTGTGTTGGTACAATTATTTTCTGTAATCTTATTTTGTTATTCGAAATTGATGCAGGCTGATATGCAACAGTATGGACTTGAGGAGTTCAACAACATGAAAAGAATGAGGGTTCGTATATATGATGCATTTCACTTTTCCTATTTTGATCTGTGATACAATATTTTTGTTCAGTTACTATCTAAGGTTTCTAACTTCCAGTGCATCAAATCCTGTGTTCCCTCACTTCCTCTTTCTTCTAGAGGCCCTGTTAATTTTTTTTTGTATTTCTATAAGTAATATTTGTTTTTGTATTTCTTTTTTGTACTTCAAACAATCCTTGAGGAAATGTCTGAAGGATGTCCATTCTCATTGAACATTGATTAAATGATCCCTCAATCCCTGATGAAATATTTACATTACAATTTTGCAGGTTGAGTTGGAAAAATTGCGACTCTTGTGCGAGAGGATAATTAAGAGAGAAAAGGTGAAGGTATGTGTGGCCCCTACTTATACTTTTTGCTTTGTTTCTTAAAATTGAACTATATGAGGAAGCTACTTTAAGCCCTGTTTGGAGAAACTACCTTTGACCTTGTGTTTTTTCCTCTTTGTGAATCACCTTTTGTTTCCTTCATATTAATAGGTGAAAATCTTGCTTGAGTTACTCATTTAGTACTCCTTCCGTTTCATAATGTAAGACTTTCTAGCATTGTTCATATTCATATAGATGTTAATGAATCTAGACACACATGTATATCTTGATTCATTAACATCTATATGAATGTGGTTAATGCTAGAAAGTCTTACATTATGAAACGGAGGAAGTATATATTATTTGCTAGAAAGTCAATTTTGAAGAGATATTTGGACGTGTTACTAGTATTTTATCATGAAAAAGAAAAGCCCAGATAAATACACCCTCAATTAACAAATCCATATGGTTTTGTGCACGTGAATGCTATTTCAACCATTAATCCACTAAAATCTACTGCTGAGTGTTGAGATTATTTTCTTTTTTATACATCAGATTTGTCTTGATATTTCCGTGTGTAAACCTTAAAATAATTTATGCAGCGTGAGAGGGTTCTATGTGATCATGACATACTTGCCAAAACGAAGGATACTCTTGTTTTCTCCTACCTTACACATGGAGCAAGTTCAGAATCTGCCACTACTTCTGTTAACAACAAATCATACAGTGGAACCATGCAAAGGTCTGATGATGTCACAGTGGACAGTACTATTTCTGGGAAAAAGGCGATCAGGTTTTCTCTGAATAACAGGGATGCTGAGATAAACACAGCTGATAGCTCAAGGACACTGATATCGTTCAAACGGAAGTTTAGTGAAAGAGGATCACTTGCTGGTAAGCAGCTCCCGCGAAGACCAGTTACCTCACAGAAATTGGAAGCTGGAGAAAAGAAGACGAAGGATAAGAAGGTTTGTACTTCTGTTTTCAGGTTTTTTACTTCTTTTCTGTACCTTGCTAATGTGTAGACCACATGGTTTTTCAGAATAGGGAAACATTTCAAAAGGAGCTTTTTATGACATCTGATCAAGCTTCTACACAGAACCAACGTCTTCCGAAGGGGTATGCATATGTTCCTCGTGACTCTCTTTCTAAAGACAAGTTGCGGAATCGAAATACACAGGCCCATGAACCACAAGAGCCTGGTGGATAGGAGCAGCTGAGATCAAGATGGTTAATCTTGTCTCAAGAAAGGCCAGAAGACGTTTGTTTCCTTGGTCTTCACAGCCAGAAAGTACAAGCGTCAAGTGGGGCTGGCCAGTCTTTTGCTGCTACAAAGGGTTCCAAGCAAACGATGATCCAATTGGGCTGAAGTTGTAGAACGGTGCAAACTGAGTTAATGTGAACGAGAGAACGAAACAGATGAATGTATGGTGTGGGATCTTTACCAGAAATCTTGCTCCGCCTCAGGTCGCTCGGGTGAACGGCAACATGGGTGGATTTACCTGTTTGAGGATATACAAAGATGCCTTTCTCGCCTGTACATATAAATTCTCTGTAATTTCTTTGTACATTCTTGCCTTTGCGTGTGATAGTTTAGCGTTGCAGAAGTGATAGTTTAGCTTTGCAGAAGACAAAAAAAGAAATAACCACTCTTTGTTGGGATTACAAGAAAAGAAATGGTCCATTGGTGCGAGTCAGGGCCACCGCGGGGCTGATAATCGCTCAAGGGATTGGAGACAGGCAATTGGTAATGGCTAATGAGGTCTGATTCATTGCTGCCTGTTGGGATGGAGACGGCGAAAGCAGTTGAAATGGAACTGTTGGTTTACAGCAGCCATTTTAATGGTGAAGTGGTGATAGCTGGTATAGTTTTAGATACAGCAGTACAGTCTGACCCTGTTCTTTTTTATGTTGATTGGTTGCGGGTGACTTGCTCGGAGCTTGTTAACAACCATTTAATATTTCAGCAAACAAGAGGTTTTTGTTTTAATGACTAGTAATAACTTAGTCTGGTGTGGTAGTCAGCTTTTTTATATGTTAGATGCAGATAATTTTTTAGTCTGAGACAGGTGTTTTCCTCTTGCCGTCCAGATTTGTAACTTGGGTTAATAATCTTTCCTACCATTGGGAGCCACACAGACGATGTAAAAAAACATTTTCTAAAGATTTTAGTGGTACTTATGTTCATTTGTTGTATGCTTGGACCGGACCCCAAGTACCTGGTGTATATTTCCAAATATTGATTTGTCATTAATTGTACGCATTTGCATTTTTGTTTTTTAGTCGTCGGAAAGCTGAGCTTAAGGCTGCCGATATAGTAAACCGTTGTATGACGTACTGCACGTAATAATGCTGCTGTCCAGTACTCATGTTACTGTATTGCAATATTGGTATGCGTTCAGTATTGCGTTTGCTTATGTCACCCACTCCTATTTCGGTACGCCAGTGTCCTGCCTACTTGTCATAGGCTTGTTTAGACTCAATTTTTTCTTCGAACTTCTAATTTTTCCGTCACGTCAAATGTTTGGACATATGTATGAAGCACTAAATATAGACGAACAAAACTAATCGCACAGTTTGTATGTAAATCGCGAGATGAATCTTTTGAGCCTAATTACGCTATGATTTGATAATGTGATGCTACAGTAAACATTTGTTAATGACGGATTAATTAGGATTAATAGATTCGTCTCGCAGTTTACGGGCGGAATCTGTAATTTGTTTTATTATTAGTTTACGTTTAATATTTCAAATGTGTGTCCGTATACTTAAAAAATTTTTAGCACAGGAACTAAACACATACTGATGTACTACATGAGGGTTCATACAAGATTTAACTTGTAAATTTTTGGGGATTTAACTCGAATGATTTAGCTGGTCATTACTACTACCTCCGTCTCAATTTAAGTGCAATTATGGATTTTTGTGTTCGTTATTTCAAAAATTTATGAGCAAACTTTTTTAAAAAATAGTCACACCTAAAGTACTATTTATGTTTTATCATCTGATAACAATAAAAATATTAATCATAATTTCTTTAAATAAGACATATGGTCAAACGTTAATAATAACCAAGACAAACCTATACTCTTTTTTGGATGAATGTAGGGCTATAATTTGCGGCCGTTCTTTAAATTTTTGGAGTCATCGTAGCAATAACAGTTTTTTTCCTCTACGGCGTTGATGTTTAGACGCGTCCCAGCAGATATGGGCACGTCGCAAAAATCACTGTCATAGGACCTTACACTTACTTTTTAGAGTACAGTTCCCTTTCCCAATGTGTACCTTGTCCCCTTATATACAGAATACAGTACTGCTACTACTATTTCTCCCTCGATTAACCGTTCTTCCACGGTTAATTATCACTTGGATGGAACCACCGATTAGTACATGCTCGAGAAACGCAATGCACAGTAACATGTAAGCATGATACGCTCGTAGTCATAGAGCATTCAGGTGGTGTTTAAAATAGATTAAGATGAAGACAAAGTCAGTGTATACAAAATAAAAAAACTATTTGCACATAATTAATTGAGTTTTATTTATTAAAACATGTAAAAAAATATTTGATATTTTAAAGCAACTTCTATATAGAAAGAAGCATACCGTTTAACCGTTTAAAAATGTGCTAATGAAAATCATGAAAAAAATTTACATTTTAATAGAAAATAAATGGGGAGAGATATATTGATAAATAAGAATTAGATGCTCCTCTACTATTGTTGACAGGTGATACCCGTAGACCTATTATGAGGGTATCAGGGTACGCTGGAGTAGGATCTACACAATACGATATCAAACACACAGAATACAAAGATTATACTGGTTCAGACCCCTCGTAAGGTGATAGGCTTAATCCAGTTTATATGAGATTATGAAGAAAACCACAGAAATTAAGAGAACAATAGAACCGACGAGTACCGATTAGACCTTTGTCGAGATTAACTCGACGAGATTAACCGGCGGCTTGGCTCCGAGTCCTCCGAATTGATTCTGCTATGCCCGGTTGTGAGATTATGATTCGATGATCCCGTATCCTTGAGAGCTTTGTATTTATACCCCTAAGTGTCTTGGCCTTCAAATAGAACTTGGAGAATACCTTACGCGTACGAGATCACAGAGTCCGCAACTCCTTCGAATATGACTATAACACCTTATATTTGGAAAGACAGTTTTCTTATATATCTGCTGAATTCCTTAGGACTAAGATAACTTTCCCGTATATTCGAGGGTATATCATATCTGTACACTGCACAACCCCAAGGATACTGAGGTATGTCTTATTCATACCCTGATAACTACTAGATAATAATCATTGTGAAACTAGTAAAAAAGTAGCACTGAGTAATATGCTTGCTGATTACACAAATATGAACAAATAAATAAAGCTATTTACAGAGTCGACAGAAAAGAACTACTTCCTCCGTCCTTAAAAAAAACCTAATTCTAAATTTGAACCAGGTTCAAATCTAGAATTGTGTTTGTTTTTGGACTGAGGGAGTAGGTTGGAATCATCTGGCTCGTAGTCGTAGGAGGGTGAGGACTAACCAACATTTTATTGATAGGCTTCACGTTAATTTCTCTACTCTGTTCAGCCTTGCTGTACAGATCAGTACCCGTGCAGGGGCGTGAAAAACCGCCGCGAGATATACTAGCAGGCAATAAACAGAGCCACAATGTCAGCTAGCGAAGGCAACGACGACTCGTTGCAGGCTTGCAGCCATCCGGCCACGACACGACAGTATACGGCACGAAGCCGAGCCGACCAGCAAAAATATCGATCGGGACGAATGAGCATCCGTGATACGGTGGTAGTACTGTGACAGGCCATGTCGGTGTGGTGCGCGGCGCACGCGATGCGACCCCCCAACTCCAACTTGACCGACCCTTCGAAAAGCCACCACCGCCGCATCTCCAACCGATCGACCGAATCCTGTTGTTGCAGCCGCGCGAGGCGCCGTCTTTTGCAGGGAAAATCGCACGCACACACACACGCACTGATATCTCCAGGCTTCTCTGCTTCTAGACGGTCGCGTCGACTCCTGTTTTTCTGTCCCTTTTCGCCGGGGAGATTTCGAGCCGCCCGTCTCACGGGAGCCTCTCTTCTCCTCTCTTGCATTGCATATTTGCCTGTACGGCCCTACGTTGCGTCTCGTCGTTCCCTACCAGCACTGGGTCAAAAGCGCAACAAAAGGCCAGTACCCTCATTCAGGCAGCTTGGGTCGGCAGCTACTAGCTTGGACCAATGAACAGTGCTGATTGCTGACCAATCATCCAGCGAATTGTTGCTTTTGGAAAAAGAACCGGAAGGAGGAGGAGGAATATTTGCTCCTGTACATGTGCTATCTCCCTCGACGATGTACGTGCCAGGAGCAGGGCGGCGAGGGAGAGCGATTCGATCCGCGAGTGGCTCGGGCTCGGCGTGTGGCTGGGCTCCGATACCCCACGTTGCTTTCACCTCCAAAGCGCGGATTATTCGGTGCCCTGCTGCTGCATGCGGTTGTTCGATTGATCGATCGATCGATCGATCTGCTTCGATCGTTCTGATGATCCTGCAGGGTCTCGGTGACCACGACATTGCGATCATTGCAATCTAGTTGTTGTTGTTGTTGTTGTGCGGTTCGAGATGATGGATGGGACGGGAGCCGTGCCCTGCACCGGGGGGAAGTGGAGATCGATCGAAGCCGGTAGCTTAGCTTTCTTTCGCTTGCAAGCTAGTATAGCACGCAGGAGAGGAAGAGAAGAGAAAAGAAGAGGATGGAGATAGATCATAGATGCCCACGCGCTAGCTCGAGATTTTCTTGTTGACCTCTTGACCCCGGCCATCCTCGAATGGCCCGGCACTTTCTGCCGGCTTTGTGTTTTGCATGGAGTTTGCTGCTTTACTCGTACGGCACTTTGCTTTGTGCGCTTGGCGCCTAATCATGAGCGTATCGATCTTATTGCTGTCCCCTGGAGTTAATCACGCCAGTTGTGCTAATCCAAGTGTGTCTTGATCTCTCCTCGCTTTGTTAGTTGTAGGATAATTAACAATAACTACTAAAATGAACTGGAGTTTCTAGCTAGGATATCATGTACGTCCTGATTGGTTACTCTAAAGGGTAGCTATCTGAAGGGGACGAAGTTGATTGCAGGCCCTTCCCACTTACCATGGTAGGTCACTTTTTTTTTTTCATGTGTGGTGATCGAGCGAGCCAAACAAGTACCAAAGCAGGTGTACTCCGTCACCTCGTGACAAACTCGCAAAGCTCCATTTTGTGCACTTTTCCTTTACGAAATTATTATTATACACTATCTTGTGAGCACTGATAAAAAGTCGATCGAGCATCGTACTATCGATCACCAACGTACAGCGGATATCTGCTCGCAATGCCATCGCCATCCTCCTCCTTTGTTAGTTTAGCTTTTTCTCCTTTTTTTTTCTTCGAAGAATTTAGTTGAGCCTTTCGTCGTTGTACCGACAAAGCCAACGTGGCAAGAGGCTGCGGGGCCGGCATGCACGGGCGAAATCGAATGATGGGTGCCTCCACGTCCACCGATCGACGCGTCTTGAGCGGTTGAGCCCCGTACGGCTTCCGCACCGCACAGGAGGGGATCGATCGATCGATCGCGCGTGCACTCCCGTTCCTATCAACGACAACGGGAGCCGGGCGGGAGCAAAGGCGAAACACCGTGTGGCGCCCGCCCCGGGAGCGGAGCGCGCACCACCACCACCACCACCTATACCTCGCTGTCAGCTTGCCAACGGAGAGAGGGGGCTCGCGCTCGCGACGGCCACACGCGCGATCCCGCGTCCATCCACCCATCCATCATCCACCATCCCCACCGTGGTGCCGTGCCATCGCCTCCGCCTTATCGTCTCCGCGCGCGAGCGCGCGATCACGTTACGTAGTACTACGTCGCTCGCTCGCGTGGGGGCGGCTGCGGCGTTGCGTTGAGTTGCGGCGAGGCGAGGCGAGGCGTGGTGGAATCACGCAACCGTTCGGTACACCCATCGGGCGTTTCGCGGACGGGGGGAGCAGACGTTGGGTCTGTTTAGAGAGCTTCTAGCAGCTGCAGCTTCTTCTAGAATCTCCAGTTACCAGAAGCTCTCCCAAACAGTATAGTTTTTTTTACCTAGATTATGAGAATATGTGCTTGTAGAATCTGGAAAATAAACTAGAAGCCAGAAGCTAAGTTTTTCAGTTTCTTCAGAT